TCTATAACTTCATCATCATCATCCATTGAGTAATTATTTCACATTTTCAACACAAACTTTATTTGGACCTACCAACTGATTGATTTAGTTACCTAAATCACTACACTTTCTCCAATCAAATTTCAATTTTCCTCCATAACACAATCAAATTTATGTACACAAATGTTGTTGGATTTTGGAAAACACTACAAATGTGGGACATGAAAGAAAGAAAAGTTGGTTAAGTGAAATACTACATGCATTATGAAATATATGACCACTATTTTCTAAATTTTTATAACAATTTTAGTAACATATAAATCTTTAAATTTTCTGCAAATTAATATTTTTCCTCTAAAGGTTACTCATAAAAAAATGTCCTGATAACTAATTATAAGAACTAACAAGCTTGAAATTAAAAAAAAAACATAATTATTAACACCTATACTTTTATATTTTTAATTTAGATAACAAGGTATGTTAATTAAAAATAAGAAAATATGTTAGGATAATATTTAATGGAAGAGATAAAAATATGATTTAACCAATAACGAAAAGATTAATTTATCAATACAAAATTCTAAAAACTTATAATTAATTAAATTAGACTATTGAATTAAAATTTATTATCAATTTATAAATTATTATCTATTATAATTTTAAATATTAATTTTTCAACAAAATATAGTTATACGTTTCGTTCATTTTTTTTTTTTTGTTTACGTTATACTTTTCTGTAAGTAACGTCAACATTCTGAATACTTAAATCATAAGCTTAATAATCTTAACTTCTCGCATTAGTTTTTATATTTTACCTCAAATTTTAAAATAATTTTATATCAAAATAATAAATATCTGTACAAATTGGCAAGAAGAAGGGGCCTAGGGCAACAACTGAAGGCCACGGCCCAACAAGGTTACTTCTGGGCTTGCTTCCGGAACAAAGATAGAAGATTTTGGAGGAGTTTGGATATTCACCGTGCAACTCCTTAAATTGTATATATTATCCGTGTAATTCATTTGATATGATTTATTTATAGTAATAATTAAATATAAAATTAATGATTAAGATTTGTGTTCCGTGTGAAAAGCGAACATTACCTTGTGGAAATTGATTTGATTTAATAATATTATAATAATAGATAATATCTTAACTAGAAAAATTAATATTATTGATAATTAAGACTTTTTTTCAAATAGAATATTAACGTTCAAAACACTTTTTAAGATCAAAATTATGATTGACGAAAACATCAAAATAATTAATAATAGAAATGGATCTTAACAATATTATTTTAATAGATAAGATTAAAACGTTCATAAACAAAATAATTTGAAATATAATATTTTTTAACAAATTGGAAATATAATATTCTTGTAAAGAATTCAAATTTAGATTTAATAAATTGAGATATCAATCTCAATCTAAATCATTAATTTTATTTTTCATGATTATCAAAATTAAGAATATAATAAATTCAATTATGCAAATCATATAAAAGATATTAATAAACAAAATATTAAAATCCTAATTTTTTAATCCAAAAAATGTATAAAGAAAAACAAAATATTTAAGAATGTTCTTAAAAAGACATGAAAATGAATAAGATATTTAAGAATTTAGTGTTTGACTTGATTACTTGATCTAGTCTAGTTAATTAAATAAAGTTGGTATAGTTGGTGTGTTGATTTGATTACTTGATAATAAATAAATTGAGTAAATATGGTTAATTTTGTTATGTGGATTGGTCACGAGTTGTTCAAAGTATTACAACCTTTTTGATGAACACGTCCAAGATTACCACCGGGTCAGCAATGGCGATTTACATATTTAATTATTTATTAACATTTTACAGAAAAAAAATCCCACATTTTTTTTTGTCTTTTGTGAAGACATAAGCTTGATGGAGAATATTTAAATAGCTTCCAATTAGGTTGTGTGTCGCTGTCATGGTTAAAGGAAGAAGCTTGAGTGTTTCCCCAGTCCCCAAATGCTTAGTGATGTTATGCCATGCGTCTTCTTTTAGAAAGCAATGTGCTTTCACATGACAAGTTGAGTTTTTGGCCAAACCATTTTTTTATATATTTTTTTTAAGCTTTTCATTCTCAAATACTTCAAATAGAGAATGACCTCCATAACACATTAACGCAAAAGTAATGGGTTGCAATGTGTGAAGGTTGAATAAATTTTTGTTAGGAGTATATATATATATAAAAAAAAAAGTTACAAGATCAGCCCACACATGATTAACAGACCCAAGAACAAATAGAAGCTTTCAGAACCGTTAACTGTGACAAGATATATTTATTAAAAATATTGAAATATTTAATTTAATTTTATAAAATTAATTTGATATAATAAAATTATATTTGTTTATATATTATAATATTATTATATTTTACTATTTTTTTTCATTTATTATTTTAGTTGTCATTTTTATTTCTTAAATTTCATCTAATCTCTTATTAGAGTTATAATAATTCTAAAATCATGATGAACGAAAATTAAAAAAAGATAAACCTCAAACGTGTTATCACAATACATACCAGATCGAAATATATATATTCTCATGTAGTCATAAACGAATAAAAACAGAAGCTTCATTGTAATATAATCGTGAATTAGAATAAGAATGTATCCAATTTGTATAACCCTGGTCCAGAATTGATTGGTATATTCACGATTCAAGTGTTCCTTGAACTGTTAAAGACAAAAAGTTGTTGGAACTTATATGGAGTCTGGTTGAAAACTCACGGGTTGTCTTATAAAAGATAATTTATTTAATTTTATTTTAGTTCCACTTTAATACATTTTTGAAACTTCGTAATATATTTAATGTTTTAAATTATTTGAAAAAGTGAGTTGCAGTGAAAAGAATCGAAATTTAAACTATATTTGAATAGTTTTTGAAATTTAAAGTATGTGTAAGTGTATGGTGCCCACATGGTCTGTGAGAAATTAAAAATCACATGCATGAGGCGTGGATTGGATACAGCGAATGAAGCAAAACGATGAATTAATGGTTAAATCTTGATCGGATGAGAAATTAAATTTATGTTTATTGTGTGATTGAGTGTTGAATAAAGAAGAAAAAGTAGATGCAGCAGATACAGAAACATACATTAAATTTCTGCTCTGTCCAGAAACACGCGTCATTGTTTTTCGTTACAGCTCGCTCAAAAAACCGTCTCTCATGTTGTCTTGTTAGGTTACGGTTATCCTCTGTGTCTTCTTTTTCCCCTCCAAGTTTTTCATCCTATGCTATTTTCTTTTTTAATTTCACAATTATATTTACATCTAAATTAACTTTACACAAAATTCTTCAAAACTGCATAATAACTTCAAAATATTTTATTTTTAATGAAAAACATGGTAATATTCAATTATTATTTTAATGTTATATTAGAAGACTATATATTGCAAAAAAAAAAGTTAATCCATTAGTTATCATAATTTATATTACTTTAATTTTTTAATTCAAATATTATTATTGTTTATATATATGTTTAATATTTTATTTATTTTAAAAATATATAATATTTAATAATAATTCAGTAACTTTTAATTAGTACTGTTTAATAAAAATATTTTAATTTCATATTTATATTAATTTTAATATTCGAAATATTATCCATTTTTAAATTATAATTCACTATTATGATTGAAATAAATATTAAAATACATATTTTATAGGATAGGATAATAATTAAAATACATTAAAGATAAAAAATAAAAAATAAAAAAATAAAATATTTATAATTTATTCTTTTAAATACAAATATTTTAATTTTTAAATTCCTAAATCAGTCGGATATTATAATTTCATATATTTTCATTTTTTAAAATTTAAAAAAAAATTGTTAATCATATTTAGAAAAAAACATTTTAAAAACCATTACATTATTACAAAATCTTAAAAATTTTTTTTTTTAAATTCCAATTATATATACATCCTAAACTTATGCTGGTGATATTAAATTAAGAAAAAACACTAAACAACTTTAATGATTGAGTTAATATCATTATTCATGGTGGTAACCAACCGACGATAATTCCATCAACATCTCAACCATGTCTTCCATTTCATTCTCTTGCTGGCGCCATTAACACCCCCTGCATCACCACCAGAGAGAGACTAGGTTAGCGTTGCCACACTTAAATTTGTCTGACAACTCACAGCGTCAATATTTTATACATATATCAAATTACTCTTTATCTTAACTATATTTATTGTTCTAATGTACTAAATTTAAACAGTATAATACACTTTTAACTGTTGGATTGAAAAGAAAATGACAGATTAGAACACATAACATGAGTGATCACATACATGATGTTATAAATTTGTTTGTACATGTACTTAGGTATCTACATAGGCAGAGACAAAGAAGAAAACAAAAAGTAGTCAAACGATGAGTGTGAGTTGATCATGTACTGAAACAATTAACATGAGTCATAATTGAGATGAAGTTGAAGAGTGTGGTGGTGATGAAATGATACAAGAGAGGAGTAGGGTAATGAAGAAGGTAGGCTGAACTGTACCAACTGCATACGTGTACACGTGGAGGGCCAGCTGGTGTGACCAATTAGATCTAACATTCATTGTTCACAAGAGAGTAGAGACACAACTAGATTGATATAAATGTAAAAAAATTTCCATTTTGTTTTTGTTTTTGTTCCTTACAGAAGAGGAAGATAGAAAGAAAGGAAAAGATAGTAACAGTAGTGGATACAATGTTGCACCACCCCTCTGGCTTTTAGGACTATAACTCAGGCACCCACTTACATTAAATGAAGAAATTAAGGCTGTTGAAAAGTCTCAACTACACAAACATCAATTAGGTGCTAGCATTAACTCATATCCACCCACCTCGTGTAATATCAATTTGCTACTATAAATATAAATATAAGAACGCAATCCTAATCCCACACACATTGTGAGTATATATCATACATATACTCACAATATATACAATATATCATATCAGATATCAGATATCATCGTTCATCTCTTAATATCATGGCTAGTGAACGTGATCTGTTCTCGGCGGAGATTGTGAACCGAGGGATTGAATCCTCTGGACCAAACGCTGGCTCCTTGACCTTCTCTGTGAGGGTTAGGAGGCGTTTGCCAGATTTTCTTCAATCGGTGAACCTCAAGTACGTGAAATTGGGATACCATTATCTCATAAACCATGGCATATACTTGTTGACCATACCCGTTCTTCTGGTGGTGTTCAGTGCTGAGGTTGGAAGCCTCAGCAAAGAGGACCTGTGGAAGAAGCTCTGGGAAGACGCGCGTTACGACCTTGCCACGGTTCTTGCTTCCTTTGGGGTCTTCGTCTTCACCTTGTCTGTTTATTTCATGTCACGTCCACGTCCCATTTACCTCGTTGATTTTGCATGCTATAAACCCGATGACGAACTCAAGGTACTCCCTCCTTCACTCACTCACAACTTCAACAATGTTTTTGCTTTAGTATATCATCGTGCTTATTTAGTTTTTTGTTTTTTTTTTTTCTTTCTCTTTTGTTTGTTTGGATTATTACGAAAAAACATTGTGGTTGTTTCATTCATAAATGCTTGATTATACCCATAGGATTTTTCAACCTCATTGGTGGGTTTGAATGTTCTCTCTTTCTTTTGGTTTATCTAAACACACAACTCTCATTGGTTAGCCTATGTTCGTCTGGATCCACGTTAAATTTTGTCACACAAAAAATGGTTAATTTGTATTTCGTTAAAACAAATTAATTCAAGTAGTCTATTTCATTCACTGTATTTTACAAAATATTTGGTTTATTATTTTATGCTTTAAAATAATTTTTTAAGTAATTTTTTTTTCTTTTCAAACTCAGTGGTCTTAAAAAACAAAATTAACAATTTAATTATAATTCGTTACGGAAACAACGTAAGGCAAACTAAATATATATTGGTACGTTTAGTGTTTTGTTTGTCGAACCTAATTGAGAATAAATTATTACTTTCTTTTTTGGTAGGTGAAGACATAATTACCCTCTTTAACTGTATGAGGTTCTTGGTTTTTTACAATTATATGGTTACTATTTTTGCAAATTTAAATTTTACCAAATATGTTTGTTTAGCTTTTTTTTTATGAATATTTATCATTTTAATTATAAATAATATTTTATGAAAACACAGTAAATATTAATATAAAACACTTTTTGTTCTCATTTATTTTTTATACATACTAACTACTTTGTTTATATTTTAATGAAATAATTTTATATACTATTTACAGTATAATAACATTAATGCTGCATTAATACCTTGAATTAAAGCACAAAGTATTATGCTCCAGTGGGAAAAAAAAGTCTCAATCACTCCACAAATACACGAGTATATGATAAAAAAAAAGAAGAAGAAGAAACGTAATATTGTATATATTGAAAGTCTCTAAAAGAAACCAATATTTTCAACAACAATTAATTAAAGTCCAAGTTTTGAAATGGTAACAACAATTAATTAACTTGTGTTAGTCATTTTCAACAATACTGACAAAGAAAAACCAAGATGATTTTAACCATTTATAACATTTTAATGCTTACTGATTACAAAAATTACAAAACAATACCTTAGTCAAGAAAAAAAAATTAATATAAGAGATGATAATTTTTAGAGAGATAGAGTTCAAAATAAAATTCTTTGAAAGAGTCATATACAAGTTGAATGTAGGACATTATTAATAACATACGACGAAATTTAAATCTTTAAATTGCATGATTTTATCAAAATCAAGCTCAAATATTGTTGGAAAAATAAAACAATACAAAAAAGTTAAAATTTTGTGCGAAGTGAGTGATTGTGAAAAACATGAATTAACATACCTTGCATGGCATGGCAGGTGTCAAGGGAGGAGTTGATGGAGGTGGCAAGAAAATCAGGGAAGTTCAACGAAGAGAGTCTCCGCTTCCAAAAGAGGATGCTAATGTCCTCCGGCGTCGGCGACGAGACCTACATCCCCAAATCCGTCGTAGCCTCCACCGAGAACACCGCCACCATGAAGGAGGGTCGCGCAGAGGCCTCAATGGTCATGTTCGGTGCGCTGGACGAGCTCTTCGAGAAAACTCGCGTCCGCCCCAAAGACGTGGGTGTTCTGGTGGTCAACTGCAGCATCTTCAACCCCACGCCGTCGCTGTCAGCCATGATCATCAACCACTATAAGATGCGGGGGAACATATTGAGCTACAACCTTGGAGGAATGGGGTGCAGTGCAGGGATCATAGGCGTGGACTTGGCTAAGGATATTCTACAAGCCAACCCTAACAACTACGCGGTGGTGGTGAGCACTGAGATGGTGGGGTACAACTGGTATCAGGGGAAGGATAGATCGATGCTCATTCCTAACTGTTTCTTCCGCATGGGCTGCTCCGCCGTCTTGCTCTCCAACCGCCGCCGAGACTATAGCCGTGCCAAGTACAGTCTTGAGCACATTGTTCGCACGCACAAGGGTGCAGATGACCGAAGCTTCAGGTTCACTTTCTTACTCTTCTTGACTCCTCTTAATTTAAAAAGGTTATATGAAAATAATTGTTTAAACAAATCATACTCATTAGAATTTGTTGTAACTTTGTGTGCCACCTTCTTCTTCTAAACTCTATTAATATTTGATGCTATTGATATTGGTTTGGTCTAATCTACAACAAGGTGACAACAAGGTGTGTGCTGGTGATTTTTTGTTGACAAGTTCTATTAGATAACAAAACAAGATCCTATGAAAAAAAAGACAAAAAAAAATAGAGTAAAACAACATAAGTTTTTTTTTACATTAATTGCGAAAATAAAAATAATATATCTTCATATTTATTTTACTTTTTATTTCCTTTTCATACTATGATAATCACTATTCTTCATTTCACTTTCTATCTTCTACTTTTTTTCAAAAAATAATAATAATAATATAACAGCTCATAACAATGTTTGATGGCGAGCTCCATGCCACATAGTTTTTGCATAAATTAGAGGTTTATTGTTTATTTTTTCCATATATACTAATTGGGTTACTGTATGTACTTATAGACCTATGGCACATTATTTTCCCAAATAATTTTTTCAACTTTTTTCTAAGTATGATTCTATAATATAACTTTCTATAGATATCACTACAAATTTTTCATATATATTTCAATTTCAAAATTTTCTTTAAACACAGAAGCATATATGCCTATTGTTCCCCTTACTTTTGTAATGAAATATGATCAATTGCTTTATATATTAAATTGAAATTTTTGGAAATATCCCAACTTCCAATGTGGACCCGTGAATAGAATTGCAGAGAGGAGATGAACTAATATATGCTCTCAGAATTTTAGATACTGTAGGGTTCTGTGATTTTAGATATTTTTAACAGATAATTGAGCATGCTAAAAGGTTATTGGGATATATAATTAAGACTCTGGCCTCTAAAATCGGACTTTTAAGAGCTTCTATAATATCTTTCCTTGGTCCTATGCATGTAAATAGTTGTCTGAAAAAGAATTTGCAATAGTGGAAGGTAGTGTACAATATATCAGTCAACAAGAACATCATATAGATGGATTTAATCCTCCAGGAAAGAAGGATATTCTGTTTATCTTGACCAATTCAAGATAACTCATTAGAGTGGACTTACTAGTAGAAATTTTAAGGAATTTGCATCCCAATTAAGTTCAGCATCATCATTGTACACCAATTCTGAATCAGAAAGGGGATTGCAACTTGACTAAACCAGTGGTTGCTACTTAGGCAAACTTGAATAAAGTTGAGCAAAAAGATATCCTAAATTCATTTGATGTCAAGGTGTATTTTTAAGAGGGTTGACATTTGAGTTTCATCCTCCAACCGTCTAATTAATAACTCAGGAGACACATTGGACCACTACTCCAGGGAAAGTGTCCCACAAGGAAAACCCACTTTAATGAATATGGAACTTGCCAAGTTGTTCATCCTATTTCTATTGTTAGTAATCAATAACCATTCATCAACTAAATCAGCCTTGCTCTTTTAATTTAATTTTTGGTGACTTATAATAAATATCTGTTTACATAAACAGGTGTGTGTACCAAGAAGAAGATGATGAAAAACTCAAGGGACTAAAGATCAGCAAAGACTTGATTGAGATTGGTGGTGATGCTCTGAAGACCAACATCACCACACTAGGACCCTTGGTGCTACCCTTTTCTGAGCAGCTTCTCTTCTTTGGCACCCTTGTGTGGAGGCACTTATTTGGGAGCAAAACTGATGGGAGTTCCCCATCAATGAAGAAGCCATACATTCCTGACTACAAACTGGCTTTTGAGCACTTTTGTGTGCATGCTGCAAGCAAGACCATTCTTGATGAGCTTCAAAGGAACTTGGAGCTGAGTGACAAGAACATGGAGGCATCTAGGATGACACTGCACCGCTTTGGCAACACCTCTAGCAGCAGCATTTGGTATGAGTTGGCTTACATGGAAGCAAAGGAGAGTGTGAGAAGAGGGGACCGTGTTTGGCAACTTGCTTTTGGCTCTGGCTTCAAGTGCAACAGTGTGGTATGGCGTGCCATGCGTAGAGTCGCTAAGCCTTCAAGGAACCCTTGGCTTGACTGCATCAACAGATATCCTGCACCTCTCAACTGAGGCTAAATTTGAGTACACTAGATTATGAATCTATCAGTGAGGTCATATGCATGTGGAAGCTATGGTTAGGATCAATAAGGGTAGTTCTAAGTTGGTCTTTGAATTTTACAACTGCTTTCAGTTTCTTTTCTCATTTTATTATTCCTGGCTTGAGATTCTATACTTTTAATTCCTCATTAGGCACATGGCTGCCTCCTTGCTTAATTTCTATTTCTCTTCATAGGATGATATGATTGATATCAACGTTGATGGATGACTTTTACTCATAGTCAATGCAACAATCCTCTATGCTTTAATTAGTTTGGAAATACTTTTTTGAAAGTTCAACGCTTATGCATGGTTACTGTAAATCAAAATTGATTAAAAATGATAGTAAGCATAACTTTTAAACCAGTTATGATAAAGTCTCAATGAATACATTACTTTCTTTAAATATAAATGCTGTCACAAGAATATGTATCAAGTTAGGTGGCATTATGTACAGAACATGAATTATAGAAGATCATATCCATGTGATATATAGATATTGTCTGAGTAATTAGATGATATTTTAATTGGCTGATTAGACAAGGAAGCGTTATCAGTACTCAAAAAACTGTGGACATGCCTGCTGAAAGTGAAAGCACCTCTTAAAGAAGAGACTTTGTTGTTTTTTATAAATGAATGTTTGGACTTTCACCAATTCAACTCTCCAAACTCCATACCAATTTGACACAATCATAATAAATTATATTATCAATTGCAAATCAAAACCCTTTTGTGGTTCTGTTATCATCAGGAATCTGAGAAGAAACATATAAGTGCGGTTAAAAATTATATATATTTTATAATATTAAAATCTAAATTTAATTATTCTTTTAGTTCCTAATTTTTTTCATTTTAATATTTTTTCAATAAATAGGAGTGTTGCAATAAATAATTTTTTTCAAATTAAAAAAATTCATTTATCTAATTTTAATCCCTAAGCACTAAATTTAAAGAATAGAAATAGTTTAAAAAAAATATTTTACTCTTTTAAATTTATTGTTTAGAGATTAAAATTATATTTTAAAAAAATTGTGAGATTAAAATAATATTTTAAAAATTTGAGAGACTAAAATCAAAATAAATATAAAATTTAAAGACTAAATATAATGAAGCCTAAACTTTATTAAGAACTATAAAATTATGAATACAAAAAAAATGTCGTATATTCTAAAATACTTGTGAGTGTCATTGGTTTCGGCCCAAGTTTTTGTTCAATAGTTGGGTTGGGTCAGGGTCTGAACATACTTTGAAAAGCCTGACAAGAAAATAGCATGTAATATTACTAATTGATTATTTAAGAAAATGGAAGAGTAGACGAATAAATAAATAAAGTTTAAATACGTTTTTAGTTATCAAACGAGTGATTTTATTTTTATTCTTGTAAGAAAAAATAACATGGTAGAATAATCTATTTGATATTTAAAAATTGAATGTGATTTCAAGATAGTTTCTTAATGTTAATAAGTGGAAAAAAAAACTGTCTTTCATATTTATTTATTATTTAAAATAAATATAACATTGTATCATTAAAAATATAATTTAATATTTATACTTATATTTTAAAAATAACATAATAACTAAATTACATTTTTAATATAATATTAAGAAATTTATTTTAAATTAAAGATGAACATGAAAAACAAAATTTATTTTAAATTTTAATTTATTTTAATTAAATAAATTGTTAACATTTTGTTACTGGTACCATGTGAATGTGAATTCTAATATTCTTTATCTATTTTAAAATGAAATTAAGAACCAAAAATAGTAATTTTAGATTTGAAAACTGTGTATGTACTAAAACTAAAATTTATTCATTTTATAAGAACTAGAAAGTAATTTTAATTGTGGTAGATCAGAAAAAGTTACAAAATTGGAATGAAATTTCACTTATTTGTAAGCACTAAAAACATTAAATGAGCATATAAAAATCCTTCCATATAATTTTTTTTTTATAATAATATATTGATGATGCCAAGTCAAGTTGAAACAAAATCTTCTTAAATGATCTGACATTTATATCAAATAGGCAACTAGACTTGTCAGCCTTTTTTTGTTCTACGCCGTTTGTCTCGGTTCCTTTTGCCTTACTTTTTCTTTTCCTTTTGTTTGCGTCTTTACTTCCTTTTCGCTTGCCTTGGCAGAGGTCCTCGGGGAACGAATAATTTCAAATCCTATAACAACTGACTCTTTCTTTGGATTATAAACAATTACACTTTCTACGGTGGGAAATTAAGAAGCAAGCATTTGTGTTATTATAACTTTTTACAAACAAGCCATGAACTAGAGAATTACACGTACTGATATTACTCAATATCGCAAAACACATTGTGATATAAGAGCAATGGGAGTAAAAATGCTCATCACTCGAATTGATGGTGTCTGCTACAACTGATATTTTGCAAGCTTTATTTACTATACAAAAATAAAGCAGTGAAATGGGGAGGGGAACTATAATGATCGTGCTCAATACCCCAGTTGCCGGAGGAAATATGAAATTGAGAGCAGCACAGAAATTGACTTAAAGACAACAACTAATCCTTGTAGTGTCACGCTAACCAATCGTCATCCATACTGTCGAAATCTCCAATATCCATGCTGTTGGTAGCATTGTCAAGAAAGAAAGAAAGAAAAAAGAAGAAAAACGATTAGTATGAAGCATATATAGATTGAAAAGTCGACATCCAAAAAGGTATGCACTTTTTGAACGGTCGCCGCCACAATTCACATAAATAAGAACTAGATATATTTCAAGAGCAAAAAAGTTATGATCATGGGTTAGTCAAACTAACGCGGCGTTTACAAGAAAAGCAATAACTATATCATAATAGATAAGACCTGTTCATCATAAACCCTAAAATCAAACTATAAACATAATTTAAAAAAAAATAACTTTAAACATTAACAGTAGTACAATAGTATAACATGGCCTATGACGTGCATCAAGAATCAATTGGACAATGCCTCACAAATTGACTGGTCTACAAGGCCTACCCGAAGACCACAAAAGGGAACATACCATAAACCTTATAGCGTTTACATGACCAAGAGAAGGGCATACGCTAAGACAAAGAAGACTTCCTTTAATGGGGGGTACAATTATAAATCTTTTTGAAGGTTTCACATAGGGCTTTAAAGCCCTCCAACCTACCCATGTTTGGCTAAAAATGCGGAAAGAAAAAACTATTTCAAAAGAATCAATAACAGACTCAAAATTCAATTTGGGGATTGACCTATAACTATCAGAATTTTGACTCCTGACTTTTGCTCCATAGCCAAGTTTAGCAAGTTCAACACGAAGTCGCAAGGACAATTACTATTTAATTGTATTTCAGTGGAATTCAATCTACAGTTCAGCCTGAGCAGGCTAGATCACATCACAATCTCTGTATCAGTAGCAATTAGGATACTAATGTCTCCATTAGATCCAAAAGAAGAAAAAGCATAATGAACTTGTATACAAAATTATCCCACAAGAATTAAAATAACAGTAATAATCTCTAACTCTGTAGGAGTAGAAAAAAATGAATCTTTGGCGTAAAGAAAGGTGAAACCTAATTAAATTTCCCCCACCGTAGTAAGAAACACTCCAACAAACTGCAAACTGCCCTGTTTTTTTTCCTCAATAGGAGGTACATACAAAAAACACTTCAAAAACAAAATTCATTTTCAAAACTTAAGAAATCTATGTTCAGCTTACCAAGGCAAGGAAGAATCTTCAAAATAATCCACCGAGCACTGCTCTAAGCAGCTCTCGTTTGCGTTCAACCAAGCTGGAAACTCCAGAAGTTGGTCAAAATTATGGTATTCATCATCTTCAGTCTTGTCTTCAGGTGCACTATGTTCCATGTTTTTCAAGAACTTGAACCAACATGCTGATTTGACCAAATTCATGGTGTCATTCCATTCCATCTGATATTGCTCTCCCAATGATCTGATCTCTGCCATACCCTCATCGTCCATGGCTGTGTGTAGGCCTCCAGTTACCTGTGTTGCAGCATTGGATTCAACAGTATCCACCATTGAAGAAAACCCCTCTCCATGTGATATTCTAAGGGAAGGAAGTTCCTGTGGAGGAGAAGACGAGGTTGCAGATGAGTTAGAGGATGATGATGATGAGTTATTGAGGAGAATGGTAGCATCTAAGTTGTTGAAATCTTGAAAATTGAGATTCAATCCCAAAGTCTGTTTTGGAAGTAAGAAATTGAGGTTTTCAGCCATAAGGAGTGGTGGAGTAATTGGGGAAGCAGCCGGCCAGGTGAAAGAATTTGGAACCCAAGGAGGAGTTTGGGATAAGCATGAATAGGATAAATCTTCCAGGTAACCTGAAAATTTGGATGTGCATGCAGGATAAATTCTGGGATTTCTCCTAGACTTGAATTTTCCATCTTGGTCAAAAGTTAGGCACTGGGATGGCTGGAGGGATGCGGATGGCCTTTGCTGCTGTTCTTGGGTTTGTTGCTGTTGCAGCTTCTGCTCCCTTGCTTCTTTCATAGCTGCCCTGTGAAATTTCAAGGCGGTGACAATCTCCCTCCGAGCCTCTGCCATATTCAAATATCTTTCTTGATAAGGCCTGCTGGTGTGGAGTCTCCTCCTAACTTGTTTTTTATGTCGTTGGGGTTGTGCGGATTGATGTGCCTGACGAGCATGTGCAACTTTCCCATGTTTTGAGTTTAGACCCTGGGAAACCCCACCGTTCACAACAAACTTTTGGTCTTTTGGATTCATGGAGTCTTTTGTTCCAGAGGTGGTTAGTTGTTTCACTAAGCTACGGATGTAAGCGCTAGAAAGAGAAGATTCTTCAAGCTTAGTGAGCTTATCTAATTCCATTCCTTTTTTCACTTCTTACAATAAAGAGAATTGGCCTCATCTATGTATGGCTAGGAATCAACTTCACTCTAATAGGATTTCAGAAAGGTGATAAATTGGTAGAATCATATGGGTCATCTCCTACAATTGTGAGGGACAAACAAAGTACACAATGCAGATGCAGATATTGATCAGAAGGAAGTTCTGGTCCTCTTGGATGGCTCATGAGTGTTATAAATAGTTGGGGACAGCCTAGGGCCTTTAAAATATTTTGGACTTTAGTAACAAAAAAATGTTAGACTTTTCCTTGTTTTGGCAAACTACGTTTATTACAAATTTATTACCTGCTTTAAATGATTTCTTCCGATGTTGGTCTCCCCATACCATATCTCAACTAAAATTCTTACATTAATTAGAGTTTTGACTAAATTGTAATATATGAGTGAGATGCAAACCTCACTTTACAAGCTAGTTTTATAGAATTCAATTAAGCTCATATCCACTTTTTAATATGGTATCAAAATTTGTTCGACCGATGTTTGTTGGCACCTTTGTACCAACCACTATGACCACTCATATCCACGATGAGAGAGTGTATTAAAAATCTTACATCCACCAAAGATGACTAAATTGTAGTACATAAATAGGATGCAAACCTCATTTTACAAGTCCATTTTATAATGTAAGGTTGAAATAGACACATATCCATTATTGTTTTTAATATCCTTAAAAATACAAATGAAATGGAGAAATGTATCCCAAATATTTGAGAACCTGCTTTAGAACGAGCCTCACACAAAATTCATGAATAAGCAATAATTATGTTACATTTGTGAATCAACAATATGTTGATGGTAGTATTCTTAAGGAGCAGCATCATTGTCCAAATTAAAAAACTTTAACTATAGTAGCTTCACATTTTCATACAAAAGTTCAAGAAGGAACATCTCTTAATTTGGAAAATGTGCATGAACCAGGGAAAAAAATAACACTAAAAGATAAATCAATACTCCAAATGATTAAAGGGAAGCAATAGTAAAAGGATAAATGATTCTAATTCATTTCTCCCTAGATATTGTCCTCTGGTGAAGTTTTGATTTGTTCTAGTTCTTATCTTGCAACTCATAAAGAAACTAAAACTTCTAAAACAACGCTCAAACATTTGGTGTGAAAAAAATTGAGAAAAATTGACCAAAAGACAAAATAGATATATTGTTTACAGACACCTATTCTTTAAATGCTCATGTTAGTAAGTAAAACTATTTTGAAGCACAATTTACTTAGTACTAATAAGTAAATAAATTTGAAATAATAAGAATTATAGGGTTTAGATCTTCTACTATAAATATGAAATATTTAGTATAGTAAATTATTTATTATGAACAAATAATTTCATAACATGCACCTTAAGCATACCAAATTTGGCTTCCTTGAAGTTCTAATTTACTAAACAAAATACTGCACAATTTTACTACAAAAAAGACAAAGTCAATATGGGTAGGAGGATGTTAGGGGTGGCAAAACAGGTCAATCTACCCCATTATAGTATGCTAAAAATAGGGTGGGCACGGCAGATTGGTCTGTCATAGTCAAAAGGTGAACTGACGAGCTAATGGGTCAACCCGCTAATATTTTTTTTATATGTATTTTAAAAAATATATATTCTTAATTATATAAATTTTTTTAAAATTTTTGTTCATTAATTAATATTTTTATTAGATAAAAATTGAGAAAATTACTACATCTATTTATTAAAATACTCAATTATAATCTATAGTTTAAACTTAATTAGTTAGTATTTATAATTTAAATTATAATATTATAATATATTTGCATATTACAATAACATAACATAAAAAATATAATATTTTAAATTATAATTTTTTATTTTAGTTTTAATATATAAATATTTTTTAAAGCCGGTCAGGGGTCACTCTTGACCGCTTAGTTGGCAGACGAGGCAGGACAGGCTAAAACTAACAATCCATCCCACTAATTTGAGGTGGGTTGGGCGAGCCAGCCGTCAGACCTAATCCGTTTTGTCATCTCTATTGAATATCATATAACTTTGTGTGGCCAATAGATCCTTCATAGCATCAAAGATTACACATTTCTACAACGAAAATCAACCCTCCTAAAAGATCAACTCTCTTGATCTTGATCATAGAGACTCTGACATCGTATTAAAAATCAACCCCTCTAAAAAGCTTAAATGGTTTGGTGAAGAATCAAGAATAACTAATGATTTACATCCAACTTATGGTTTGTTGTGTGAATTAGAATAGCATACGTAAACAGAAAAGAAAATTATATACATTAATACCAAGGAACAAGTTGGATTTGTAAATTATTCATGCAATAGTCATAGGCATGAATTATTCAATATGCACCCTAAGAAAATGTTAGGAAATATGAGAGAGATCCATGATCTGCACAAGTGAAGTTGAGATCTTATCTAATCCAAAACCTTAAGATATTAGGTTTGCAAGTCCTTCTTACAAGTTTCAACTTATTTCTATCCAATATAGGACTTTTTCTCTAACACTCGTCACTTCATTAACTTGTCTCATAAGTGAGTCTCTTCAACAAGATATGTTCTCCCTTAAGGGAAAGTTTCATAAACACCAGAGAGATCTCCATTAACAAGTTACAAGCAAAACACAAGTGAAGTTGACTTCACAACAAATCCAAAACCTTAAAACATTATGGTTATGAATTCTTCTAACTCATAAGTTCTCAACATTTCTACTCCATATAAAACTTCTTTGTTCACACTTGTCACTCAAACCATCTTCCCTTTAAGTGAGTCTCTTCCACATGGTTGCTCCCTCTCAAGTTTCATAAAAAAGGGACATCATCAATAGACTACAAGCTATGATGCATGGATACAATTCACATATCAGATACTATGTGTAACCAATACAACGATACACTTGTCCTAAAAATAAGTGAATATGATACATATAAGATATGTATTTTAAGATGCATCATAGTTCATAAAACATAATAAATATATAACAGCAATTATGCAAATTCAAATCAAAATCACATTTTTAAGACATTGTCAAGATAAAAAATTATAAATCATTCTCATCATAAATTACTTTATATTATTCACAAATAGAAATAACACTATCAATCTTGTTAAGTTTTAAAATAATTCATAGAGAAAATTTTCCTTCTTTGGCTTATGAACAAACAATATTTGTATGTTTATATATTACACATACTTATATCTTTCTTGTAGTTTTATAGGATATAAATGTTTTAAAAGCATGGACACATAACCAATGCATATTGGTGAAATGAAGAAGTATTCAAAAGTATCGATACAAAATACATGAAACAAATAAAAGTATTAGTGCTTTATAATCCTATAGTATCTGAAATGAATCCGTGAAACAAATTGAAGTATTGGTGATTCATAGACAACAAGCAAAGCACATAAGTGAATTTAACCCAAAATCTTAAAACATTATATCTGAAGATTTCTCTCACTTATACGTTGTTCAACGTGAATATTTCCACTTGAGAGACTTCTTCACTCACTTTCTAATTACTGTGACATTCCCATCTATATTAATATAAATGTTAAAAAAGTATGAGAATTATAGATACAGCTAGGAAAGATAAAATGATTGCATCCGATACGGATACAACAAGTTCAACATATTATTAACGGTCTTAAAGCTACTGTTTTCATAAAGGTAAAATGGTGGAGGATAGGCAAAGGCATGAGGGTACTTATGGTGTTCAACAATTATTGGTATTTTGGTGCCTTGTCTGCAACTGCAAGTATTATGGGACCAAGCTTCTGAAACGTCAGCAAGAGCCTAAGAAGAATAAGTGAAGAATCTTCATTCTTGTTATAAACTTGTCTTATATTTTCTACATATTGCATGACAGAAGGAAGGAAACCCCAATTTTTCTGTTTAAACAAGTTGAACACCATCTTTTTATTCAGGGAACAGACTAATAGGACAAACGTATAGGTTATCAAAGACAAAAACACTCCATCCCTCTCTCCTTTCAACTGTCTATGTACTCTTCAAGCTATCGTCCACCTTTTTCCTAGTAATTTTAAGTTTCATTATTTACCAAGAAGTGGATCCTATATTTTTTTCATAATATCATTTGGCTAGTCAAAATGAAGCCATCAACTCACTTTAAATGATAATGTAAATAATCTCAATTTATATGAAAAAAATCAAGGGGACATTTTTTACATATGCTTACATAAATCATGTCCGAGCCAGACTATTATTGGTAAAACTTTTTTCATTCAAAAATAAAATTGCTTATTTCATCCTTACTCACCCTAACATAGTATTCGGTTTGAAAAGAGTGGAAGAGGTTTTTTTTTTTCAAATCTTTTTTGTTTGGTTCAATTTTAAAAAGGGAGATAGGAGAATGGAAGGGAGCAAAATCCCTTTCTCATACAATTTTTCCCCCCTTCATTATTGGGGATTTAGAGGGGAGGAGAATTAAAACATTTAAAGTGTATTGGCAAAATAATCCTATCTATTCTTTGAAATACAAAATTATAAGGATATGAAAATATATTAATTTTTAGAACTCCCCCTAGTGAACTCATATAAAAGGGCCACCTCTCCTCTATTTCATTAAAATCATCCAAAAATAATGTCTAAGTGAAATATCTCCCTTCCATTCCATTCTTCCATCGAACAAAAGAGACCCTAAAACGGACAAATTGAATCAAAACAAACCCTATACAAAGAGAAATTATTACATGCTATCAGATACCATGTGTTCATGGTTCTAGTTAATCTCCACTTAATATACAATCCAATATTTCAGTTTACGAGAGGAATTAATAAAACTCAATTATGTACATAGATGTTCAGAAACATGAAAGATTTTTTACCAGTTATAACAATTTCTCCAGTTATAACTTTTATTTCTCTTGTAGTACATAAGCATAAGCACCAAATTGAGGTGCTAGATTTTGAAACAGATTTTTATTGCCGCAACATGTACGTGAAATGGTGCTAGACTAGACTAGCCTCCCGGATTAATAGTTAAAAACAGTAAATGTGCAGAAAGTAAGTTGGTCCATACACCTGAGAGACTAGTTGAAAAATGCAATTGTCGTTCCTAATAATGCAACTGCTAAACTTCGTCACACGGAAGGGGCATGACATTTGACATAAAGACAATCAATGATACAAGTTGCAACAAATTTAACGGCGCCATACATCCCTCCCACGCGATAACCTTCATAGTATGTATAATAATAATAAATTGGTGACAGAGGAAATTGTTGCATAGCATAAATAGCATATACACAAAAATTCCAAATCCTAACATTGACTGTATTATTGTGCAATATAAAATAGAATAAAGAAGAAATAGGTTAAAAAAATGGTATGAAATGGATAATGGAGAAGAAAGAGGGTAGATAAGGGAAAGGGAAACAGACCTGTTGCAATTTGGATAACAGCAATTTTGGATGGCCGGGGCTGATGGGTGCGTTCTTCTTTTTCAGTCGTGATCAGAGATAAAACCAAGGGAAAGGCAAGTAGCCAAATCCCGCCAATCCCAGCACACGCACGCAGTGTCGATAAAAGCCCTCTTCACGAATCATACGCACCCACTTTACTCGCTTCTCTGTTTAACCTTTCGATTCCATTCACATTTAATCTCATCCAACAACACAACATCAAAAACCCCATCGACACACCTTCGCCCCCAACTCTCTTTCTCTCACAACACAAACCCTATTTACTCTCTCCATTTTCGTTTGTTTTGCCTGTTAAACACTGCAATCACATCCCATTATAAAATAATCACTACTACTAATATTTTTGTTTTAATTTTTTATTAAAAAAATTATTAATAGCTTTATTATTTATAGATTCTCGTATAAACATTTAATATTATGTAAAGAAAATGTTAATATTTATAAAAATAATCATTGTTGCGTTGGAGAAAAGAAAGTAGTTGTTGAAGGAGGTGTGGTGACCACTCAACCTTAAAAGCAAAGCCTATCTTTTATTTTTATTTTTAATTTCATTTAATTTTGAGTGATAGTGATGCCACGTCAGCAGAACAAAAAATACAATCATAATTTAGTAAATTAAATTAAGTTTGCATTTTTATGAGTTTTTATTGCATAAAAAAGAGCAAAATAAAAGGTTAGTTGAAGTGTGATAAATTGGCATGCAGTGCAGAGAGAGGCACACACACCATTTGTCTGTGGAGTCACTTTCAGGTATAAATAAGTAGGCATGGCGGTGCATGGGACCACTTTATGCATTTCTTTCCCTTCTTCACCAATTTCTCTTCATATATCCCATTTTCTAACTTTTTTTTATTCACTATATCTTATACTTATTGCAAATACAATTTTATTTATATATAATTTTAATGTCACATAAATTTTGAGAACTATGCAATTTAAGTGATTAATGACAGAGGGTGGAGAATTGTTGAAGTCGTCCAGTAACCAACCCTCCATTGATGGTGCATTAAAATGTTAGATCCACGAATGTGGAATGCAAATAGAATGATTATTTTTACTAAATATGTTATTCTTGTTAATTTATCTGGAAGAGGTGTTTTGATGAACCAATACGAAGTAAATTTGGTTGTTTGGTTGAAACTGGTTACAACTACAGTCTTTCTTCTTCATTTTGAATCAGCTCAAAAAGTTCCAAATAATATATGTACGAGGGAGCACTAGCTGTTTTCCCATGTGATGCAGGTACCCGTCAACTTCATTCGCTATCATATGCTTCAATTCAGAGTTAAAGCCAAGAAAAATGGAAAGAATCTGCATGGTAATTCTGTGAAAGTACCATCACTAATAATATCAGTAAAAAGTGGTACATATGTACAAATGGACAACATGAGTTACAAATCTATTATCTTAGGATTTTGGATAAAATGTGATATTATGTTTTTTAATATGATTGATTCATGACTCAGTAACGAACAGCTCGTTGTGTTTCTTCTTTCGGATTTTCAAATAGATACCTATTTTGCTTTAAACAATTCAAGTACAAGTGTACAACTACAACTGATGGGAAAAATTGTGTCAAGGGAACACAAAAGAAAGGGTACTAGTGAAGTGCACTTGGCTGTCACACAGAAGCCTCTATCCGAGGTTCAAATGAAAAGGCAGACATAAAGTCTATGACTTCTCCATTTATGCAACATTTTGGCAATTCAACCCACTTGTTGGTTTCCAAATCACACAGAACATAAGTGCATAGCTCAGGGGAGCTCAAGCATATCAATATTTGGTTACCAGCCCCAACACAGTTAATATCTGCTTTCTTTCCATACCACTCATGAGAATTTGCTGCAGGCATTGCCGCAATCTGATGCCACCCTTTATTAGCTTCATCATACCTCCATATCCTAATAGTTGCAGTTTCCAAGAATTCTGATAACAAAACAACTAGCATCTCCCCATTGCACTCCACAACATCAATGGAATACTCACTAAAAACAGGCAACAACCTGGGGTACTCAAAGAAGCACTTGCATGTCAAATTGCAACCTACTACATTCCCTGAGGAGTTGAGAAAATACACAATCTCTTGGCCATCTTTGTTGGTAATAACTGACGAGTATTGTTTAGACGGGCTTCTCTGCATGTTGCTTGCCACAACAATTCCAGCCTTGCTGAGGAAGTACACAACATTGTCATCAGTGGAATCATGTTCCATTGAATTGTCTTCAGTCTTTCTCCTCAAAGCAGTCTGATCATCCCAACAGCCAGACCTTGAATGGTAGACTTTAAACAAGAGATTTGGAAGTTCACCAAATACCAAGACAATTTTGAAGGAGAGTTGGTCTTTGCAAGCTGTGTTCATGACAATGGCATTGAGAGGTTGTTGTGGGGCATGCAGTGGAGGGAGTTCTGTACAGGATCCTGTCACGGGGTTGCTCACAATGAAGTTTCCTGATAATTTTCTGTGGCAAATCAAGCCTCCAGAGGCTGCAACTGGCACGCAATTTTGGTTAGACTCCTCTTGCAGAAGTGGTGGGTGGTTTAGTTTCTTCCAAGAGCGCTCAGCAGAGTCAAAGATAACAGATTGATTAACGTTGGGAGCAACCATTAAAAACCAAGGATCCCTGGAGGGAACGTGAGAGCAGGCAAGCTTGAAACTGGCAGAATCAGCAACTGATTTCCATCTTTTGCACACAGAACTTAGGCGAAAGAATGTGGAAGTTGGAAGCCATGAAAGTATCCTTTCAAATAGATCTTCATTAAGGTCATCAAGAGAAGTGGTGTTGAAGATTGCATGCTCTCCATCTCCTGGCGACTTTCTCTTCAAGCTTACAACACTTTGGCCGCCACACTGATCATTATTACATTCCATTGGTAAGCAATCTCTGTAGAAACAATAAAACAAAATGTTACCAAGCAACTAACTTTTTCATTTCCAAGCCTACACTATCTACTAAATTACTAATTTCGGACGTGAAAACAGGGAATGAAGAAGACTTCCAAATTGAACCATACATAAAAAAAGCGTAGCCTCGAGTTAGTTAATAATATAAATGGAATCTCTCAAGCCAAAAATCAAGAACATCACGACCCATCGTTCTCCACCCCCCCTACTGTGACATTATTTCAACATATTCAGCTTTACCGCCGAAAATTGCAAGACTGACAAGTTACGAAACAGTTAAAAGACCCCTATTGCATATGAAGATACCTGCTCATTAAAACAATCCTGAAGTGTGAGAACACCCTTCAATCAGTACGTGCCCTCGTTCATAGTGTTATTTGAACTTAAAACAAAACAATAAGGAGAAAAAAACAGAGAAAACCTTGAAGTGAAATCGAACACCTTCACAGCGAGAATAAGTAAAAGCAGTCACTAGGATACATATATTAAATGGTTCAATTGAAGGGGGGGAAAGAGTAAAGGGTACCTGGTAGAAGTTGAAAGTGGTGCTTGGTAGAGTAGTGTGGGGAGCGTGTTGCAGAATAGAAGACAAAAGAGAGAGATAGGGAGAGAGATGGGGTTGGATTAGAGGGTGTTTTGAATTAATATGAGTGATGGATGGGGGAAAAAGTGAAGGAGCTGAAACAGTAGGAAATGTGGTGGGAAGCTTCGTTCGTTGGAGTTGGATGGTTGACACTTCACATCCTCACATGTGGATTACACACCTCACTCACGCCCACACGGGTCTCCCTAAAATGTCAAATGGTTTCATGTACCTACGATTTCTAGTACTGTTATTGCGGTTGATTTAATCAAAATTAGTATTTGCCATAATCCTTTAATATATGCCTTTATTATTCACAGTATAAAAACACAATTAAAATTCTATTAGTACAAAACATGTGGCTATATCAAACTTTTTTTTCTACAAATACTTACAATTATATGATGAATACAACAAAGATGGGTTTGAGAAGGAAGTGGTTGACTCTACTCTCAAAGGAATCTAAGGAGGCCTTGGATTCGGGGGTTGGAAAATGGAAAGAGTAAGTGAGAAGAGTGCAGAGACACACTCACACATGACATGACACACATGAAAAACAAACAAAAAACACTGGTGGCACATGTACCCACTTTAATCGTCGCCACACAGACAGGGTGAGGCAGTGCCTAAAAGAAAGAGAAAGGACGAGGCAGTGAAAATTGTCAAAGGGGGTGTGTTTGGTTTGGTTTTTGTCTCTCATTGGTCTCATTTTTTTGGCTTCCAAAACCAAACCAAACCAAAGCAAATGAAAAAGCAAGGGCCAACCAAACCATCCCTCTATTTCCGGTTCCTTTGGTTCCTCGTTAAGCGAATCTTTGTCTTCTTTTGCCCCTCATCGGACGGACCCTACTATGCTACCTCAACAACTACAAGTCAATGCTCTTTCTCCGATGCTCCTTCACAACCCAACCATTTTTTTTTTCTTATACTATAGTAAAGTTCACGGGTTTTTATTATATTACACTGAATTGAATTAGTGGGTGAAAATATTGAAATATAAAAACCCTAAATTGACATCTTTTTCTTTTTCTTTTGCACCTCCTCGTGTGCTTTCTGTATTGCACTTGTCTCGATTCTTCACATGATGCAACCCCATTTCTCTCATGTTTCTCCTCTCTTTTTTCACCTAATATATATCATACATAAAAAGTTTTCATGAACCTAAAGTAACATTGCAAAGATAAACCTAGTTGACATTTTTTTTTCATAAATTGTCGCGTTTTTGAGAGATTGTTAATGTGGTTGTGAAACATTAATGATGTGGAAAAAGGATAGTTGCTACCAAGGTAAGGTTATGATATTGTGGTAATAAGGTTTAACTTTAAAAAGAGAGTAATGAATTGAAAAATAAAAGCCTTCACAGAATCAGAAAGATGTTTCAGTTATTAGTCCCTTTCAATATCTTACAGAATTTATGTTGTCTTTTTCGAAGGAAACTGAAATAACAGGACAATGTCTTTATTTTTCTTTTTGGAATAAGCCACTAATTAAAGTAGTATTTTTTTTTTCTCTTCAATGGATTTTTTTTAAGCAAACACATTATGCAAATAAAGCAGACACTAAATGCTTTTATAATATTCTCATTATTGTTTAATAATTTTAATGAAATTAATACAACCGATTAAGATCATATAAATCATTTTGTATGCAAATTTCACATTCTATGTTCCTCTTCACATTCTATGTGTCTATAATATTTCTCTGTTTTCTATCTTCTTGTTGTGTTCCCTCTCCCTCACCTTTTCTTCTTCTATCCTCTTCTTCGTCTTCTCTTTCATATATTAATATTGATGTAAAAATACTAATTATTTTTAATTGTTAAATAGCTAAAGTTATACAATGTTATTTTTTTATATAATATTTCAACTTTTCTACATATACTTCATTTCTTTTTCGTTTTTTAAAAATTAAACTATTCTATCGAAATCAATAATTTCAAACTTGATAAATTTGAATTCGTTCATCTTAATAAAATATTGAAAAAAAAAATCAAAGCAATTGATTTTTAAAGATTCCAAATTTTATAAATTTTAAAATTCTGTCCAAACACAACCAAAAGACTTTTTATTTATTTTAAAAAACATTTCACACTCTAAAATATTAATACAGTTTACCTCAAATTTTACTTAATGTAAGCAAATATCTAGAGATAGCTTTTGTCCCTTTGCAATTCTCAATACCACTAAATAGTTTTAAACCTGCGTTATGAACTTTCAAACTTCCACTTATCTTTCGACCGAATCTTGGAATATTTTGGGAGCACAAATTTGTTGTATTTGCAGTTAATAGAAAACAGGAGTAAGGACTTACATTCGCACTATATGATAGCATTAGAGAATCCACGTAGAAATGTTACAATAGGATCTAAGGTTCCAACAAATAATGAAACCCCAGACAAAAATTTCCCAACTCACCTCTCCTCTTTCCGATGATGGGATAATCAAATTGATACGAACAAATGACAAAAACAGCTGCACCTAGATTATCAACTTATTCCCTGTTATTTCCACATTCTTAACTCCATTTCCTTTGTCACCTTCAGAATTGTCGGAAGCCAATCTCCCCTTAAATTGATGCTTTTCAGCTGAAGGTGTCATTTCAATGGGAAAAGAACCATCCCCGTCTTCCACTGGGACATCATCATAATTGTTTGCACTGACATAACTATTATTATGATTTGCAAAGCCATTTGCTGTTACCTTGCATTTAGTCACATCTACATGCTTTGAATTTGAATCTTCCCTTGCGTTTTCATAATCCATTGAAACAGAAGAATTCTTATCAACACAAGAAAATCCATTAGGCAAACATGAAGTAGGACTCCACTTAGCCAAATCACTATCATCTTGCTCTTCCTTGCAGACTGAAATCTCTTCTAAAACAGATGAGCATGTATTTGATCCATCTAAATCTTCTATATCCCCCAGATCTTTGACAGCTTCAGAGCCGTGCATGTAAGATGATTCAACACCATTACAGACAGAGTCATTAGCATTTACATCAATAATTTCAACATCCTTCGACTGCTCTCTTTTAACTCCAGGGTTTATTTCAGTCAAAGGCATGTTTTCACAGCCAACAATCAACTCTGGACTACTGTCAGATGGAGAAGACTCGCATCCTCCACTGTAAGTCTCAGTTTTCAGTTCCGAGAGGCATCCAGCTTGTTCAGTTGGGCTAGGCTGCTCCTCCGTTTGCACTTCTGCAGTCTCTGACAATTCGATACTTTGAAGTCCTGATGGACGAGCTTTAACCCTGTACCGGAGCAAATCAAGGAATATGGGAATTACCTCCATTAGAGAGAGTATTTAGCACAAACTATTGTGCACACAAGCAAATTGTATTTGCCCTTGCTTTGAATATTGGAATCGTTCTTTATCAAACCTTGGATAAAGGTAGCATAAATAATCCCACGAGGCACAGGACTATGGAACTAATTTAAATAAGCTTCCAAGATTTAAGATCTCACACAGAAAGGAAAGAAAATACACTACACATGGGAATGCAAACACACAATCTCAAATTATGTAAGCAAGCTAGTTAAAACAGAATACATCACCAAAGCAAATGGGGCAAGAGGTTTCTCAAGTGAAATATGAAACAAAAAATAAGGCCAAGACAGATTGCAGTAACAAATTAAGCCTAATTTGGTCATGCCTATCAAAAGGTTGGTTAGTGTTCCAGAGGTTCCGGCCTGGCCTTGAAAGCCACTAAAGACTAACTAACAAATAGTTCAAACTTGTGACCATGATGACAGAACCAGATATTTGGTCAAATGACTAGAATAAGGCTCTCATTAAAACCCAAGCCCAAAATAATGTCAATGAACATAAAGAAAAACCCTAAAATGTTAAATATCAAATGAAATAATAAGCAGCCAAAACAGATATTTGTTATAGTAAAAGAAATTTCAGATAAAGTGAGTTTAGCCTGAGTTCAAAGAGGCTCTCATCCTTTAGGCACCTCATGAAAGACAGGAGAGTCGCCTCTTTAACTCATGGTCACAAGCATACCTGCTATACAACAGCATATATGCACCCTGAGAAAGCACCTCTTCCAACTCCACTCTCAGGACCTGAAAATTATAATGGAATTCAAATAAGGGCACTTGAACTTCACACCACATAGAGTTCGGTAAACAAAAAGGAAAATGTTCAAAGTTGCAGAGAGACAGTGAAATTTACCTTCCAATCATCTATTCTATACCAGTTTCCACAGAAATCCTTGATGTAGCAGATGTAATGACCAAAAAATGAAGCATTTAACATGTCAATATGTACTACAACAGCATATAGCTTATAAATATCAGATCCATCTCCAACTTCACTCATGTAAGGGCTAAGGTCTAAAGTCTCCGGGAAAGTTACTCTCTTGTTAAGTTTTCCAAACCTCCCACTCTGCATGTTCACAACAACCCAGAAAAATTAAATGAGAAAATTTCTCGATTTCAAGAAATATTCAACTCTAAACGTAATGACTAAGTATGATGTATAGTCATAGTACACCAACATCCAGACAATTTACACCACATGAGGCACATTTTAAGAAGTAAAATTATAACTAAACATAAGAACAAAACTATCTGGATAAAATTAGTCAGACCTGAAATCTTTTCAAGGCAATTGTAAGAATATTTGGAGCTCGTTTAACTGTGAGACGTTTCCATGCCTTGACATAACCCTTGCACCTGCAAAAAGAAACAAAACTCGGTTAAAAAGACAGGATCTACTAGCCACACAGCAAAAACATATTATTATAACGAAACATTTGCATTCTAGGTTTCATGAAATAGCAAAATTTGTACCATACAAGTTCCCTACTTATAAATCACTCTCCAAATTTAGTGCCTCAGCCATCAGGATATACACCAAAAAATGAAAATTAAAAAATAAAAATAATCAACAAAGACACATTTAAATATGAAATAAGTTGACTAAGTAATCAAGTATAATCAGGACAAAAGAAGAAGTTAAATTAATTTAAGTTTTTTCCAATTTAAAACATTATGGTTATTGAGAAAGAATGAAGCAGCGAGAGAAATTGTGTTAGGCTACATATTTGCTGCGATGTTTATTGATTGATCTGAAGTCAATTATAGTATAACATCAATAGACTAAAAACAAATCTCAATCCTAATAATCAGTAATTGATTATTGTAATCTAATGACCACATATGGATGGTCAACTGTACTACCATTTATTTTAGTATTCTAATATAGGTGTACTATTTTAAAAATTATCACTTTCGAAGCAGAATTTCTATATACATGTTAATAAAATTTACAATATTTATACATATTTTTCTAAGCAACCTTACCCATCACATTTATACATATTATCCCCATGAAGCCACTCTTTAGCAGTAAACTGGTCTAGACATTCCTCCAAGGAAGCAGCATCTCCGTGAATTTCGACTGTCAAGTCCATCATATTTTCATATTGATTTGAATTCTTCTCACACTCGGTGCAAATCACCTATTTTATTAGGAAAAAGAAGAACATCACTTAAAGAAAAAAGAAGGCTTCAAAGTTTTAAAATATTCAATATGCACAAGACTAATCCCTTTGGAAATTGTAACGTGGAATGCATGAGAAGGAAAATCACATAACGGCTTGAACCCATGGTTAGAACTCAGTAAGACAACAAGAAAACTATCCTTCTTCATAGTCACTGTTCAGCTTTTTCCACTCACCAAAATTGACCAATTCCAGGTTACAAGTTAAATTGAGCACCTCATTACTCCTTTATGAATTGTACCATAAAATGTATTCCCCCTCCCTTTTAAGCTTCAAATGCAGCTAAACACAATTTTTCTAGGTTTATGCTTTTATTGACAAACATGCCCTATATTTTCATTAAACTTCGAAACATATTTATTTTAAAAATGCCTTTCCTTTAAAACATATGAAAAAATATATACTCAAACCAGAACACTTAGATTTCAGTCTGATTAGACATCTAACCTCAGATTGAAGGTGGCCACCAAAAATGTGTTGGATAAGAGTTGTTTCCTGATGCTTGGGAGGAACAGCCCTTTCTCCACCAAATTCATCAAGGCAAACAGACTGCATAGCATCAATAGCAAACCTACAAACATCATGAACATAATGGGAGAGAGCAAATTAAATATAAGACGCCCTTCCATATAGTCAATGCACAGTTCCTTATGGAAAGTCAAATAACATTGATTCAAGAACAAAGAAACCTCATGAACTCGTGAGCATCCTCTTGTTTTCCATAACCCAGTGTACCACCAATATTAGGCAAACGAGAGAGAATATTCATTGGAGAAAATGCTTGAGAACTTAGCCTTGCCCTTGCAACATGGGTTTCAAATTCACATAGAAAGCACCAATCGTTATGACAGCCTGTAAAACCACATCCAACCTACGTAAGTACGAAGAACAACCAAGATCCACCAAGAATTAAAAAGTCTAATTTGTGACATTACATTCACTGCGGTGCCCCTTCTCCAATAGGTAGGCAATAAGTGGCCTCGTGAAAGAGAGACATTGGAGAACCACATTTGCAAAACAGCTGCACAAATTTGCAATGCAAGTTAAATCCACCGAATCCTCTTATTCCAATCTATCAATGGTATAGCATGTAGAAAAGGTAAACCTGTTTCCACAATTTAACAGTCCACGTGGAGGAAATCCTGGCTTGTCCCAGTTAAACAATTTGACAAAATCATCATAAGGAAAAAGAACCTGGAAACCCAAAACCGGATTATTTGGGCACAAAGGGCAGAAAACATAAGATTCAACTTGGTAAGAAATGTATCATGCAATCTTACCAATATACTCATAATTTGAAAACAGAGAGAAAACTTAGGTCATGTTTGATTTCCTGCTTAATTTTTTTTTATTTTTAAAAACTGTTTTCTAAACCAGATTCACATCACTCAGCAATAAAAAATCCTTGTTTAAAATCTATTTTGAAAATGTTTCCAAAATACAGAAATGGCTAAGAGACGTTGTCCCATCATCCCCTTCTATTTTCGTCTTGTTCAACTTCACACTCTACTTGTGTCTTACAACACCCTCCACCACCTGTCTAAGCAACCTTATTCAATTGCATTTTAAAAACTAAAAACAACTTCTAAAACCAGAACCAAACACACTCTTACATCCTTAGGCTGCTTGATAGGCCTGGAAATTCCGCGACCATATTCAGGAATTAGAGCAATTGATGTTGTACTTCTATTCACAGCATCAGAAGCTTTGAACCCTCGATTAGTTAATCCAGTTTGTGAAACTCCTTGCATCTGCAACTCCTTGCATCTCGTCTTATGCTCGGATTTCCAGTGTGCCTGTTGGCATGCTTGTGAACTGAAAAGGCCAACCCAAAGTAAATTCTCATTTCAATTCATTCAACTCAATGAAACACAAACACACCATCAAATAAAATGATCAATATAAACCGGTCAACCTCAAATTCGCAGCAGCACTGAGAAAACAGGAAACAGAAACCTAATCGAACGTTGTTAACATATTACACTATTGTTGTTGAAATATACGAACCAGTATCGAACGGATTTGCATCGCGAACACTTCTTGCTCCCAGGGTTGCGACAAACGGCGCAGAGAGAATCGTCCATGAGAAGACCGGGCATGGAGTGGTTGTGGTTGTGTTGTTGTTGTTGTTGTTGTTCCCCTTCGAAAGGGGCCTCAACCTCGAAGTACTTGGAGGCGGTGTTCTTCACGAGCGCGTGCAACCCCATCGCCAAGACGAACGCGGAGAACACGAATTGCAGGAGCCATTTGAGATCCCATGATGATGAGGACACTCCCGAGACAAGCATCTACGATCACCCTTTCCGCGATCCCACGCCTTTTCATTTTCGTCTCTCCATCACTGAACTCCTCTTCCTACATATGTGGAACGCGCAATTGAATTAGGGCTTTTCGTTTCAGATTCTTCTGGAATCCGTGACCCTTTCTTTTTCTTCTTCTTCTTCTCTTTAGTGTGATAGTGGTGTGTATCAGTGCCGTTCAGTTTCCATTCTCTCGGTTAGTTTTTTTGTTCATGTGTGTGTGAGACAGAACAAGTGGGATTGAGGAACAGAGTTTCGATAAAAATAAGGTTGGAGCGTTTGTTTAGTGAGTTGAGTTTTCTTGGCCTCTTAATGATGTTGTGACGTGCTATGCGGTTTTCTGTTTCCCTTGCCCTTTCAATCTTTCTTCTTTTCTTCTTTCTCCAAACACCAAATTATTCGCTGCACTTTGGCGGTGTTGGAAAATCTGATATGATTAGGGCGTGTTTGGATACTTCATTTTATTTCCACGTCTCAACATAAACTTTCAATCATAACATGTGCCAAAAAAAGGAGAAACCGTGTACCAAAGTAAAACTTTCTATCTTAGTTCCTCGTCTTTTTGCCTCGCTGATTTTGTTTGGTATAAACCAAAAATAAGAGAATAATGATAGGGTAAACAAAGTTAAAAACTCATTTTTGTGTTTGGTAAAACATGAACATCAATAATGGAAGAAAATATATGAACTCCACCTAAATATTTTTTATTTTGAAAGGAGAGACAGGTTATTTATGACTATTTTTTTAATTAAAAAAAATATATACTAAATGAGAAAGTATAATGTGATTTTTCTTTATTAAATTGATGAATTTTTTTCTTATAATTGTTTCGTCTTTCTATATGATAAACTTGTTCTTTTAAGTTAAGATTTATTTTTTATGTATAAAAAAATAAATATTTTTACAGAACAACACACATAATACAAATTATAAATGAAATGTTTTAAACGTGAGACATTAAAAATTTCTTCTATTATAGTAAAAATTAATGAATTAATGTGAAACGATAAAAATTTCAAAATACATTTTCAATATATAATAAACTAATTAATATTTTATTAAAGATGTTATCAGCAACTTAAAAACTATTTTCGTTTTTAAATATAATTTGTGGTTTCAAATTTTGGTGAATAAATAAACTTTATTATTATTATTATTATTATTATTATTATTATTATATACTAATTATTAAAATAACATGCCATTTGTTTACAATAAAGTATTTTTAAAGTCGAGGAAGTTAAATTTCCTCTACTCCATCAAAACGATTTTGTGGGACAAGCTGAAAAGGATTTTTGATGGACATAGTTTTCTGTAAATGGTTTTTTCTTTTTATAGAATAAATCAAATAACGTAAACGAACATTTTTCTCTCTATAATATGTTTTCCAAGTAAATAGATAGCAAAGACATATCATGTATTAATTAAAATATCTAAACATTATTAATTATTACATCTCAAAATATTTAATTGCACATTTTACTATTCAACTCGAAATGAAGTTGTACTCTTAAACTAAACACTTGGTTAAAGAGAATAAATAAATGTATTTTTCTTTTCACCATATTTGATTACAAAGTTTTCTTTTCTTCTACTCTACGGTGTCACAAACATACATGTACATGAAAACTGATTTGGGAGGAAAGGAAGAAATTCCAACTCCAAAGATTGGCTTATAGAATCACGTGACTCTCTCACGTGATAGGAATGGTTTTGAAAATTCCAACAAGGTGGTATCTTGTGGATGGAGATAAATGCAACACAATTAAAAGTGACCTAAAACAAACCCTACTCTCCAACTACTTAGATATAATTACCACCTAAATCTTAGATGGATTAGTTGTGATGATATCTATGTAATTTATTGTGAGTGGAAAAAAAAATCTCTTAGATCCTCAATTTCATTTCAACTAATCAACATGTGGTTGTTCGGAATGAAATTAGGTTTTCATTTTTGAAAAATCAGATTTTGGGTCCAAATTTTGTGAATATAAATATAATTAAAAATTAAATCTTCATTAAAAGTGGAAAATCAAACTTTTCAATGAAAACAGTCTTTGATGAAGTAAATACTGCGGATCAATGTTGTGGTGAAAAAAAAAAAAAATTTGAAAGATGATATCTTTGGGGATGAAATTAGACTTGTTAACTGTTTGGCTTAAAATTTAAGATGTATTCTACTAATTAACTTAATTTTGACAAGGATGATAAATGTTGGTAATTACCAGCTTTAATAAGGCTGTGAATAAATTATTCAGAAAAAGAGAATGAAGGAGGAAAAAAAAAATGACGAAGAAGAAAAAATGGGTTAGTTTGGGATCATAATTTTAATCGGTGAACCGGTTTTATCTCCTTTACTTATTTTAAAAAAATATGTTTAAATAAAAACAAACTAATATTATTTATTAAAAAGGATATATAATATAAATTAATTTAACAACAAATTTAATAAATATCATAATAATTTTTAATAAATACTTATTTTAATATCTAATAATTTAAATTAATTATTAATTTAAATTAATTAATTACTACAAATAGATAATAATAATAATAATAAAAAGTAAGTTTTTAATTTTTATTTTAAGATTGAATAAATTTATTTTCTTATAGTTTAAATATTAAATTATTATATCGTAAATAAAAATAATTTTATTAATAGAATTTAAATTTTTAAAATATATTTTTATTTACATATTTTTTAATTAATTAATTTTATATAAATATATTAATATTTTAAAAGAATCAATCAAATTAAAATTGATTCATTAATATGTTATCTAATATAAGATTAAACTAAATTAATTTATTTTTTAATTTTAAAATATAGATAAAATATTATATATTTTTTATATTATATTATTAAAATATATAAATATATAATAATATTATAATTTAATTATAAATATTAATCGATTAAATATAAATTATTAATTATAATTAAATATTTTAATATATAAAAATAATATTTTTAAATTTATTTAATAAAAATATTAATTGATAAATAAAAATTTAAAATTTATTTATATAATTAAAAGTTATAAAAAAATTATTAATGGAGTGGTTTACTGAGACATCCGTGGAACAAGTGATACTCAGTATTTATAAATTTGTACTATTTGTTCGTGGTTTGTTATTTTTTATTTAACAGTGGAAACGTAAAATTTCTTTATACGTAGAGTGAATTTTTTCAATATTACCATTAACGAAAACACATTTTCTTTGTTAATAAAGTACTAATTTTCTGACCAAAAAATTCTGTTGTTAAACCATATACAACGGAAACATAATTATATTATGTTAAGAAGTATGATACAAAAACTAAAATGTATTTTCATTATATATTTAGTAAAAAAATAAGATGGTTTAAACAAAATAAATAAAAGTATGAGAGAAATGACAATTTATTATATATGTAAAAGTAAAGGATAAAAACAGAAAAAGAAAGAAAGATAAAATGCACCCCTTGGACATTCTTGTGAGTCAAAACCTGTTATTATTGGGCTTTACAGCCCATATATTTTGGTTTAAAAGCGATTACTTATGGCCCAAAAGAAACCTTGTACTTATAAAGAAAAAAATAAAAAATTATTCTAACTTAAAAAAAAAAAACTGTATATATTATTTTAAAATTTCTTTAAGATGCAGTGCATAAATTTATTTGAACAAATCAATTTTCTAAGTAAAAAAAACAAACTAACCACTATAATTCTTTAAAAATAAATTATCTTTTCTAACCTAATACTATAAAATTGTATTATAACATATTCCTAGTACAGAAATTACTAAATATTACAGATATAATCAATTAGATTCACACCCCCTTTCTTCAGGGTTCAGATTCCATCAACTTTTTCTGGCTAGATTCGATTGAAAGTTTTGAGACATTCTATTCTTAAGAACCCGATTAGAATCAACATTAAAAAAAGATTATATTTCTAATCGAATTCTATTAAAAAAAGTGATCATGAAGATGGTGATGGTTAATTTAGGTTTGCAATGGACATTGCTTATAGTGGAAAACACCACTCCGGTTTTTGATGCATAAAAAACAACCAAAATTTCCTTTGTCCTCACATTGTACCTTAAACCGCATATAATTGATCAGATTTGCATCAATCCTTTTCAACTTCATAGGAGATGCCAATTAATTAACTTCACCATAATTCTAATTTAATAATAATCCAATTAACTTTGGTTTCAGAATAATGTGTACCAGAGAAATTAACTTGACACCCAGTGCTTAGTTTTCAGGAAAGAAATTCTATTATAATATTTTTAGGATTATTAATGTATTGAAACTCTGTCTTCTGTCACAATTTTTATCAAAAATTATTATTAAAAGATATTTTGATGAATTAATAATTTTTTTTATATAAATTATATTTGATTTTGAATCTTAAATATTATAAAACTCATGAGTATTGAAATATAATTTTTTGATTTTCATTTTTATATTATTTTTATATCAGAATTTTTATATCAGGATATTAAAAAAAAGTTAAAGAGCTAGTGAAAGAGACTGATGGAGTATCATTAACCAGAAACATTCAAAAACAATCCGGTTATTAAGGATGTTGTCCAAAGCTTTGTTATTAACTTCCTATATATGTTTTTAGTAACAACTTGTGTGAAAAACACCAACCATTCCTTAACCCTATTTAAATTCTAAGTATCCATTGAATTTAACATTTTCATAATTGTCATGTATATATAGTCTGAGTTTTTTTTGTTTTTGTTATTTTTTTTTATTATTATTATCAGTACTAAAAATACGTAAGGATAACGTTGTGACACGTATATGTTAAAGCCATGAATGATTTCGAAGTCAAAGATTGAATTGAATAAGACGAAAGTGAAAAGGACACCATAGCTCGACGTCAACCGCGTGTTTCCTACGCGCCGCCGTGTCTCCGTGACTCAAACTTCACATTAATCTATCTATCTATAAATAAAATTTTCACATTGTTTTTTTTTTCTTTTCTTTTAGAGGTAGTATACGTGCCCATTCCAAACAAATTTAGTGGAAAGTTAGACTTCATTCAACATTTTTCTTTTGAATAAACTAAATTTTAATTATTTCATATTATTAATTTTTATTTTTATCTTTCATTTTTTTTATTTTTAAAATAATATTATAGTCACGATTTTTTTAAAGTTATTATCAACAAAATGAATGATTCTATTTATTATCAATATAATTATATTTTTTTAAATATACTCATGAATCTCAATTATTTAATAATTAAAATCAATTGTAAAAAATATTAAATCGAATAAAAATAATAATTTATATTTTTACTTTTAATATATTTTGATAAGATAGGTTTATGAGTATGAATCAGTTAATATTTGAAGTTAAAAATAATATATATATATATATATATATATATATTTTATATTATTAAGATGATCTTTAAAGATAAAATGTTTAAAAATAAAATTTAGATAAACATATTTTAATAATATAAAATAATTATTATTTTCATCATATAATTTTTTTATTTCACTTTCTTATTATTTTTCATTTCATTAAAAAAATAATGGAGAGAAATAATATAAAGCATGCTTTTTTTCTTACACATATTTTGTAACCATTATATTAAATTAAAATTTTATTGTTTTATTTAATAAAAGAAAGAGTGTGTGATTTGTTGCTGACAATTCTCGTTAATTTTAGAGTACGCGAGTTGTTTTGGTAAACCCACTGACGCGTGGTTCCACGCGCGGCAGCAGCACTGCCGATGTAATTTGGCGGGGAACAGCGACGGCTTCTTCTGGATTTTAAAAACTACGTGTCCCCATAGGCATCCGTCTTCTCTCTCTACGGTTTAATCCATTTTTTGGGGAGAGAGAAAGGAAAGAACATAACTTCATAAGATATGCCATACCACATGCTTGTTTAATTAACATCTGAGTCTTTGCTTTTGCTGAGGAAAGAAAACTCTGGACTCTGAAAGGTACTAACATAACATTGCTGCCACACAAGTCACAGGAAAGTAACATAACGGCAGTTAGGCAAGCCAAACATTTCTACCTCATTTGGGACCCCCTAATCCACATATCTACCTGGGATTCCTTTTTTATCAATTTTTTTTATGAAAGTTTGTTGCTATGTACCTCATATAAACACACTCTGTCTTCTTTATTTGCTAACTGTTTCTCTCTTGTGATGCATTTGAATCCACAGCGGAACAGATTCTTCTCAGAGACTGATTTGCAGGGAGATATCCTTTTGAACATTGTCAATTCTCCATTTAATTGCTGAGGTGGGTTTCAAAGGATGCAAATGATCTTTTAAGCTCATAGTTAGTAGTTTTTCATCGCTTTCATTCAATTTACTTTATCTTTCCTGTTCTCTTACTTCTTTTATTGTATCTGCCTCCTAATTCAATAGTTGAATTAGTATTTTGGGATAAATTTCTAGATAAGTATTTATATGAGATGAGATCAAATGAATCAAACTTGTTTTATAAGCTATAGTCAACTTGTGTATTTAAGTTTTCGAAGAAGTCAAATGAGATAGCTTTTATAGAGCTAAATGCACAAGCTGATTTTAGCTTATGGGAGAAGTTCAATCAATTTATATTCTTATTTTCGTCTATTTTAAGTGCTTATAGATAAATTTATTCAACATAGGATTTGAGGTTCCAAACTTGTGCGAGACTGATTTTGTCCTAACCTAACATATTGAAGCAGGGTCTGGTGCTTTGGCTTCCATCTGAGTGTGCTATTCGCTGTCTCTTACGATGCAAAGGGCCAAAGAGCTAAACTTGGATTAGTACTTTCTCATGGTCTGCGAGATGGAGAATGATTGTATAGAAGACATGGACATCGAGGCCCTTCCTTCAATGTGGCCTGAAGATATAGGAACTGAGGTTGGAAAGCAGTTTAATATAGAAAAGCCTGGAAGGGACCAAGACATGTTAGAGGAGGTTACAATCATAGAGGAGCCAACTATAGTTGATTTCAAGCGTCTCATTGAGCTCACAAAGTTTACAGAAAAGGGGTCTTCTCAGTTGGCATGCCTAATGAAACAATGGGAGTACAAGCAGGCCAATGTTGTGCGTCTTCTCAGAGAAGAGCTCGACAACCTAAGCAAACAAAGGCAGGATGTTGAGCTCAGGAAATTAGAGATATTGGAAGAACATCGATTTGAGGAAGACAGATATGGTGGTGACAAACGCCCAGTTTCTATATTGGATGACGTTTATGATGGTATGTGGCAAGATATACCTTGCAGGAAAAGTGATGCTGTGGTTCAAAACAAGAGGAATGAGATTGATGCTGAGTATGATACTGTCATCTACTGGAAACAGCGAGCCTTGCATTTAGAGAAGCACCTGGAGGCAAGTATCCAAAGGGAACATATACTTGAAGAAAAGTTGCAAGAAAGTATAGCAAAAATTGAAAGGCAGTCCTCACCTGTGGAAGAACTGTCCCAGATCCTGAAAAGGGCCGACAATTTCTTGCATTTTATACTCCAAAATGCACCTGTTGTTATTGGCCATCAGGTAAATCTGTATGCTGAGTTTTTTTCTTCATTTGAAATAACTTATGTAGAATAATCATAGCATATTATGACTTGAATTTGATTATGAGATTTTCAGAACTGTTTACTAACAAGCCAGTAGGCACTGCTTAATGAGGGTTTTTTTAATCTGCTTGATATTTTTTTTTTCCAGGACAAAGATTTGCGCTATTGCTTTATATACAACCATTTTCCAAGTTTACAAGAAGAGGTAATGATTCCTGTTGAAACTCTTGTCGCAGGGTAGTATGATTAATGTTGCATCATTTTTTTTTTGTTCTAATTGTTTTCCATCAAAAGCTGCTGAAAACTGAGAAGAAGCTTGTTGTCCTCACTTTTAGTTCTTTTGCAAAGTATTTTTAAGCATGCTTAAATATCTTAGCTCTTTAAATTACTCATCTTATTCAGGACATCATAGGAAAAACCGATGTTGAAATATTCACGGGAGCTGGTGTTAAGGAATCTCAAGAGTTTAAGAGAGAAGTTTTGGAAAAAGGATTACCTGCAAAAAGGGAAATCACTTTTGAGACAGAACTGTTTGGGTCAAAGACATTTTTAATATATGTAGAACCTGTCTTTAGCAAAGCAGGGGAGACAATTGGAATAAACTACATGGGAATGGATATAACAGATCAGGTAAATGTTGTTGATTATCAATTTCTACTTGCATTTTTCTTTTTAACTAAGTCAAATGGTTTTGTGTGATTCATATAGCGAACGTCACTTTGTGGGATAAAACTTTGTTGTTATTGTTGTACTTGCATTTTTGTTCTTGTAAAGAGAATATCTATATTTCTTAAAAAAGCGCAGGTGAGAAAAAGGGAAAGGATGGCAAAGATTCGGGAAGAGATTGCTGTTCAGAAAGCCAAGGAAACAGAACTGAATAAAACCATTCATATTACAGGTTCAATTACTTATATCAAATTTACTTCAATTTGTTCTTGCAGCAAGAAAGCTTATCATGTTCCCGTCCTCCTTTTAATAGAGGAAACTATGCGAGCAAAACAAATGCTGGCAACAATGTCTCACGAGATAAGATCTCCTTTGTCTGGGGTTCTTAGCATGGCTGAAGTTCTTTCTAACACAAAACTTGATTGGGAGCAAAGACAACTCTTGGATGTCATGCTATCTTCTGGAGATTTGGTTCTTCAACTTATAAATGACATACTTGATCTTTCCAAGGTCGAGTCAGGTTATAAATCTACCCTTGTTCCATTTCTTAATAATGATATAAGAAACCTGGGAATTATGTAAAAAGGATTTTTCTCATTCGGATGGCAACTTGGAATTGTTTATGTATCTGACAGAATAGTGCTTTAGATTTTTTACTTTAGGCACTGGTATTTTAAATTTCTACCCATTCTCCAAATCCCCGTCTCTATGTAGGAGTCATGAAGTTGGAAGCTACTAAATTCCGGCCAAGAGAGGTAGTCAAGCATGTACTCCAGACTGCTGCAGTTTCATTGCAAAAAGTATTAACCTTAGAAGGACATGTAGCTGATGATGTACCTATTGAGGTGAGGAGTTGGTAATAGTTGCAACCTCATCTGTCACATATTTAGCATTCTTATTGTCTTAAATGCTGGACTGATTCAATATAACTGCGTGTGTGAGTAATATAAAGAAATGTCATTCGAGGCCATGACTTTAAAATACAAAGCATGACTTCAGCTGATTAGTGCTAACTGTTTGCAGTTCATACGGTTCACTTATAATTGCAGGTTGTTGGTGATGTTTTAAGGATGCGGCAACTTCTCACCAATTTAATTAGGTACTGAGCTTCATGTTATTGGTAGTCTTGTTTCAATTAGTTGTGACGTAAATGATCCAAATTTTCATTTCCGTTTATTCTTTTGAAGGAGTACTCTCTTCTGTACTTTGCTGCACATAATATGTAATAGGAGAAGAGGAATTATATAATGGAAGTAGCTCTATTGCTCTACATTTATTATTGCTAATATTTTGCAGTAATGCCGTTAAGTTCACTCATGAAGGCAAAATTGGAATAAACCTTTACGTTGTGCCAGAGCCTACTTTTGCGAAGGAAGATTGCATCCAAAAGATGACTTCGAACCATTCGACTATTATAGTGAATGGTGTGAAAGAAGACAAATATCTATCAACGCCTCAAAGTGGTTGTCAAAAACATGATGATTATCCCAGCCAAAACCATGCATTCAATGATGAATGTAGATCACCGGTCAAAAGTGAATGCTCTGTGAATGGAGACACCGAGGAACAACATCATTCAGCTGAAACAACAGTGTGGATACGTTGTGATGTATATGACACAGGCATTGGAATACCAGGTATATAGTGAGCATTATTTTTTATTCATCACAAGTCGCAACCTTGATTTCTTTTCTTTTGTTTGTTTTAGAATTATATTTTGTATTCACAAGTTTGAATTTTCTTACAGAAAAAAAGTACTCATCAGATGAATATTTTTTCCATGTTGTAATGCGACAGAAGATGCTATACCAACCTTGTTTAAAAGGTACATGCAAGTCAGTGCAGACCACGCTCGAAAGTATGGTGGCACAGGGCTAGGACTAGCAATATGCAAACAACTGGTATATTGAAAATGATATTTCATTTTTTTTTCTGAACTTACTCAATTGGTAATGTTTCTTTGCACTTGCTGCATTAGGTTGAGTTGATGGGGGGTCGTCTAACAGTGTCTAGCAAAGAACACCATGGTTCTACCTTCACTTTCATACTCCCATACCAGGTTTCAATTGCTTGTGATAATTCTGATGACCAGGATGAGCTGTCTGACGTGGAGAATAATGATGCTGCATCTGATGATACAATAGAGAGTTTCTTCCAATTCCAGCCACGCACTTTGGGGTCTCTATTATCTTCTAATGGATCTAGCAGGACACAGATGTTATTACCACACAAAATTGGCTACACAAGCACCCATAAACTTGGTGGATTTTCCGAGAGTTTATATTCAATCCTCTCCAATGATATCATGTCGAAAGAGATATGCTCAGTTGATGATTCATTGTCAGCGGTTGATGCTCCAGATATGTCTGAATCGGCCAGCTCATCAGGTCACAGCTCAGAAACAAAGAACATAAGTTTAGTTAGCAGAGAGAAACTGCAGCAAGATAAGGCTCATACTTGGTCCTTGAATGGTTATGCAGATTCCTCTGAAGCAACTGTGGCTTGTGGAGAAATGGTTGTAGCAACAAAGTCATGTGAACTCCCACAACCATGTCAAGGTCGTGCGAAGACAAACACAACTATCCAAAGTGTCACAAGCAACAGTACATCAGTAGTAACCAAATCCACATCAAGGCCTAAGATCCTTCTAGTTGAAGATAACAAGATTAACATCATGGTAACACAGTCCATGATGAAGCAATTAGGCCATAGCATAGATGTTGTGAATAATGGAGTGGAAGCTGTACTTGCAGTTCAGCGCTGCACTTTTGACCTGGTTCTGATGGTAATTTCTGGGATCTGATAATGAAATCTTGTGGAAATTTCACCATGCAAACCTATCAGTTCATGTTTGAAAATTATCTTCACTTGATTGATTTCTACTAATCATTTGGTACATGCTCTTGATAGGATGTCTGCATGCCAGTTATGAATGGTCTTCAAGCAACAAAACTGATTCGGTCTTTCGAGGAAACAGGCAAGTGGGATGCTGCAAGAAATGCTGGAATCGAGCAAAGTCTACCAGATTCAGATTATGAATGTTGTAAACCATCTACAAAGCGGATTCCCATTGTTGCGGTGAGTAATCAGTTTCTTAGTGTCCCTTTAGTGTGACTACAAACTTTATATTGACTAACTAATCTCTCTAAAAATAGTATATCAGAAAATAATTCAAATCTGTAATGCTGAACAATGTTTTGGCTGATTTTAATTTGATATTGGAATATTTTCCTCTCTATTAATTTTTGAGAGGTAAATGATCATATTCCTAATATTTATCATACTAATGCAGATGACAGCAAATGCTTTGTCAGAGAGCGCTGAAGAGTGTTTTGCAAATGGAATGGACTCGTTTATGTCAAAACCTGTGACTTTCCAAAAACTGAAAGAATGTATTGAACAATACCTAAGTTGATATACTGATATCCATGTAAATTTCAGCTAGTGTATAAAAGAATATATAAAAGCATAGGAAAGTTTTGTAATCAATGCATCATGTTCTCCACCATTGTTAGTGTCTACTTCGGCTGAGTAGATCTGCCCAAATTTTTCAACTGTTCCGAAGGAAGTGCATGAATAATAATTAGGATTAGTTGGAGTAACAAAGTAAGTCAGAAATATATTTCCTGAAAGGATATTGGCTCTACAAACGAACGTCAAGGACTAAATCTATCGAACTTCAAAAACATTAAAATAACCTTAATTTAAAAAAGGACGTAGATTTTTTGTTTAATTTGAAAATTATTAAAGATAATCATTACGATTAGTCACTGGGCTTTTAATGTTCATAATGGTATATTGATAAGCACCTATGCCATATAAACCTTCTTGTATATTATACACGTTTTTTTTTTGTGTCGTATGCATGCATTTTCGCACGTTCATACGACTTGCTCTTGGTTTCACGTAAGGTTAAGCACAACCAGACAAGGACAGACACAAATATTAGTTATGATGAACAAGTAAAAGTAAACTTGAAATCTTTATTTAATAGTTACAGATACATTATTATTATATATACAAAAGACAAATGTTACTCATAAATTAATCTAACTGGTCTCGTGGTATCATTGTCAACATTAACAGCCACTACCATCGCTGGACATGAATCCATGTGTTAGAACTTAGAGGTGCAAAAGCCTTTTTACGTGATCTGATATAACATTTTTGTTTTAACGTTAATTAAATTTGTGAACTTATATCATTACCATCTGTTGAACGTGTCTTTCTGTTTATGACCATACATTTTAAGTTTTTTGGCTAATCTAATGTATATCGAACTTCCCCAACAGTACAATATTGTAAACACGCATGGCAGAATCACAGTGACAGTGTTTAACTTGAAACTGGGTGATATCACTAACATGGAGAACACGTAGCACCCGGAGAATAAAGAAAGTGGAAAGGTCACGATAACACTGACTCGCCCTCGTGGCATGAGCAAACATATCATCAAAATCGAAAGATAAAAGGAGCATGTATTGAAGGACCAGAACCAGAAGAAGGTTTGCATTTTCATAACCACTTTCCCAGCAATTTCTCGCGTTGCTGCATACTCACTGTGCTTCAATGATGCAATTTTCTCAGAGGGTGTCACCCTACCCTCTCCTTGGTAAACTCCACCGGGAGGGTTAAGTGCTGCTTCGTACGTGCTTGTTGCGAAAAGAATAGTCACCACCAACAAAGCGTTGCGTGTGTCGTGTGATATTCTCTTTCTCAGGCGAGTTACGAAGATTGCTATTCTCTCATTGTATGTGATTTTTTCTATTAGCTCTTCTTCGAGGAGAGGAGTAGTAGCAAGTGAAAAGCCACGTAAAGCTCCACCTCTCACTAACATGTCTTTGATCTCTTGACTGTGAGTCACGGTTTGGTTAATCTCCACCATGTCCAACGCTGTCAAGTCCTCAAAGTTCTTTGCATTTATGTCTATGTTGCTATCTATCAACAACTTAACTGCCTGCATACAACGTTGAAATTAACTCATTCATATATTCAAAACTTGATGCTACTTCAAAATTTTAACCAAAGTAATTCGATGGAGTCTTTTTTCTTCAATATAAATGACTTAAGTTCTTATTCAGCAAAGTATGTTATATATGAAGAGCTTATACACAAATTCAATTGTAAAATTATACTTCTATAAGCCCAAATAAACTCTAGAGACAAAACCCACCAATCAGAAATGAAGCTTCACAAAACTTTAAATTAGATTGAAAAACAACACTCACCAACAATGAAAATGTATCTAAAGTTAGTCTGTAATCAAACGCTACAAGTAAAACAAAAGCATTGAGAAGGATATGTATATGGCTCATGCCTGAGGGAAGACTTTGAGAACAGAAAGGTGGAGAATGGTGTTGCCGGCCTCATCCTGCCAGTTCAGAATCCTTTTCTCCCGGTCCCGAGCCTGTCTTTGGCAGTTTCTCTGAAGCCATCTAACCAAGACTTCCAAAGCCTGAAACTGATTATATTTCAGAGCAATATGCAGCGTGGTCTCACTACGAACAGTTACATCTTCAATGGAACCTGGACAAGCCGATAAGAACATAGCCACAAGATCAGTTCTCCCAGTTTGAGTTGCAATATGCAAAGGAGTGAGCCCCTCCCTCCCTTTGACCCTCACAAGGTCCTTGTTGATGTCCACAAAGCGACACACCATTCTGTAATGCATGTTCTGCAACGCAAGGTGCATGGGGCTAAGACCACTCTGGTTCAGCTTCCATGCAAAGGAGGGTTTGAGCCTGATCACCTCAGTGGCGAAACTGGCATGACCTGCAGCAGCTGCAACATGCAGAGGAGTATCAACAAATGGCATGAAGTCTATGTGCTCCAACACATAGGGTTGCATCTGAATCAGTTTGTAGAGCAAGTTTATGTCCCCAACTTGTGCAGCTGCAACCAAAGAGTTATTCATGGTGATTAGAGGGAAAAGAGTTTTGGTTCAAGCAAATATAGGGTTCAAACTGCATTTATAGGTCTAGTCAATAATCTTATTCACTTAAAAAAATATTTATATAAACAATTATAATTAAAATTATTATATTTTTATATTATATTATTAAAAATATAAATATATTATACTTTAAATTATAAATATTAAATTATTAAATTTAAATTATTAAGTATAATTAATTTTTTTAAAGTATAATATTTTTTTATTTATCTAATAAAAATATTAATAAATAAAAATTTAAAATTTATTTAAATAATTAAGATATATTTAAAAAATATAAAAAAATTATATAAAAAATATTAACATGAAAGACGGATTCTCTAGTTTGTGGTCAACAGTGACCATAAGTTAACATCCTCAACCAACAACCGCCGTGTTTGTTTGTCGCTTTTTTAATAAATAAATAAATCACTTTTTCCCTTGCCGTGTTTATAAAGGGCTTTTGAATTGTATTTGTTCTCTGTAAGTAACTAATTTTATTTTATTTTAAAATATTAGTTAATATTATTTAATGAAAGCTGATTTAAGAATGGTCATAAATAAGGTAAAGTTAATTTAATTTATTTATTATTTAAATTTATTATATACGATCATTTATTCTCTTTATTTAAGTTCAAAAGAAATGTGTACTTTGACATATTTTAAAAAATTGAGATGAATATAATTTATAAACAATTTTTTTTTAATTAATATGTTTTCTAATGACAAAAGGATTGAACTCAAAACATCTTAAACAAACATTGTCTCCACTTTTTAAGACTTAGACGGATTTTTTAATTTTAAAACTAATTTAATATAATTTATCAAGTCTCAGTTTATTTACTATCGAATAAAAAAAATAGTCTACATATAACTAAATGTTTCTGTCATTTTATCAATAATATCAAAGGATAAAATTGTTACACATATCTTTTAACATGGTTAATATTAAATAATTTTAATTAAAACTTACATAAAAGTGACAATAATTACAAGCACTATAAATGAATTGTACACAACATGCATGTATTTGAAAAACATTTTTTAATAACTAATGCTTTTAGTGAAATATAACTTTCTTTTCTATAGTTCTTGCAATTTTTTTGCTTTTAAAATAATGAAATTAAATCTTCAATATTATAATATTTAATAGAATTTAAAATCTTTTGAAGATTAATGTATATATATAATATTGTGCTCGATCTATCTCCCAATTCAACTAATAAATTTAAAATAATAATAAAAATAGTCATATACAGTAATTCAAATCAATAATATATACTTTGAAAAGTTGTATGAATATGTAGACATTCAATGATTTGGATGTAAAACAAAAGCCTAAATAGTCTTACACGTCAAAGTCCTGCACTCAATGCATCATTTTAGAAAAGAGAAAAAGAGAAAGAAAGAGGGATGGAGTTAACAGTCTTCCCCTTTGCCAGTTTCATATAAATTTCTTTTCATTTTCCTTGACATTTTAGTCAGCTGAGAAGGGTGGACCGTTCTTCTTCTTCCTCAACTTCTGTGATCATCTACATGGAAATTGTCTGTAATGATGACCTTTTTGTTTCGTGGAAGTCAACATATCAACTGGGGAATGTTGCATTCTTCATTTTTCTTATGAATCAAAGTCACATTTTATTTTCTCAACAGCCATCTTTATTGTGGGGTCCGGTCCTCCAAAGACTAGTTTAGTACCCTAATTAGAGGTTAAGAATCATTGAATTTCAGTTCATTAACACTATAATATTTCTAAATAAATAAAAAATACACTTAACTTTCAAAAACAATCACATTTTTAAGACAAACGGATCCATATATATATACATATAAAGAGAAATCAAAGTACAACAATTTGCAAAATATTATACCATTGAATATTTTTCAATGGATCATGTTTTTTAAAAATTGAACCTTAGATTAAAAGTTCCTTCTACATATATCATATACGTAAAATTTTATACTAATACAAAATCATTTGATATTTTATTTATATAAATCAAAATAGAAATATAATTTTCAAAATATACCAAAATGTGAATCATTGTATGACTCTATTATTGTTGTTGAATTATAATAAAGTTTAATATGAATAATAATTAAAATATAAAACTATGTATTTTCATCACTCTTGTGGTTGTATTTGTTCTTTTCTCATGCTGATGTAAGGTTATGGTGTTGGATGGAAAGAATGAAACCCTAGTCTTAAACATTTATTGAAGCAGTGGAAGAAACCTATTTGGAATTCACAACGCGCAGTCTACTTGACACAACTAGTTTTATTCATGGATTCGATCTGAGGGCATAAAGCTACGACAACCTATTTTATGTCCTCAGAAAATCACGTGATTTGATGGAGTCCTCGTTCACAATCCATCTTCATCTTCAAAACAAAGCAATTACATTTCAAACGTTCGAACCCACCTAAAGGCGAAATAATTAAACCAAAAAAATCATGGCTACATGCTGCACTTTCAGACTTTATTCTGTCAAGGAAATGCTATGAGAAATGTTGTCAGTTCAGTAAACATCCAACATATTCAGAAGCAAATCGCCCCACATTATGATTAGATATACCCAGAAACAAATTAAAGATAATTTTAGTTTGATTTATGCTGACTGTAACGTTTTATTCCGTAGACGTCTATGATCCCTGGGGGAAAAACAGGATCGGTGGCAGCTCTAACAGCAACTTTTGCCACCGCAGTAACATTGACAGGAGGTGTCAAGAGAGGCCCAACAAGAGGGATCTGGTTTAATGGTTTAGCAATTTGGAGAACCTACAGCAGTCCAGTAAATTACAGTAAAAATTCATATAAACAACAAATTCATTAAAATGATATGCAGGGTAAACTAAAGCATTTTTATGAATTAGACATTCAGTCAAAACCGAAAAAGTAAAAAGTGCTACGCCATGAATGTACACTGCGGACATACAGATATACAAACATCCCCGATGTTTTAAACACTCAACGGTAGCCTCCCTCATAAGAGTACACGCAGTAATGTTTTCCAAACACTTAAACTCCCTTATAAGAGCACATGTTCTGTTGTTTTTGAAACACTTAAAGGGGTTAGTGCACCGTAAAAAGGGATCGGTGTAATGATTTTTAAACAATTAAAAAAGGTAAGTGTAGGGATAGAAAAAGTAGAGAATTGTTTGTACAATTTTACAAAATGTCGGTGGTGATTACTATAATTTACTATTAATGTCAAATCATCGAAGGAGCAAAGTGATTTATAGATCAGGACAGATAAAGTCATGCCTGTGCCATTTTAGAGAAGCACATGAAATTACCGTTTCCAATGGAGATCCAATTACACCAAGGGGTAACTTCATACTCCCGACACTTCGAGTCCCATAAATAAATCCTGGCCTCAGAATTACTCCTGAAAAAAACATGTAATAGGGCAATCATGTAGGAGCATAATACTCCATAATACCAAGAATCATGAGTAATTTCACATTTTTTCTCGTTGTTAGATTTTTACTTTCCAGGACATATCTTTGCAATAGTTTGTAAAAAATAGAATAAAACCCGGTAGGAATGAACAGTGTCACTTATTACTAGGATAGCAAACACATTAAAATATTACGAACTTCTAAAGTGTAGCCTAGATTTGATTCAGACCTCCTCAGGAGCAATGCTAAGAGCTGAATACGTACCTCCATACGGAAATTTGCTCAGGATTTCTGTTTCAGCAGCTCTCTGTATCAATTAAGACACAATATATAAATATTTCACTAGATTAAAAATAGAAAATGTGTTCAGCATCAAATTTACGATTTTTTTCTTTCATAGAAGTAGAAGCATGTATACATGATACAGATTGCAGCACAAAGTGCAAATTCAGAATATCACAAATTGATGACTGAAGAAGTATGATTATCAGTGACAAAAGAAGTACTAGACAACCATTTAAACCATTATGTATCTCTTTACATGATCTATTGGAAGCAATGACTAGTACCCGACTGTAAAGATGGAAGCTCAATCCAGATCGAGGAAAAACCATATCAGTGGCTGGAGGTGAATCTCCCTTAATCAGGAGGAGGGGACATTATATGTTAGGGAGTGTTTACACATGTTAGTTCATGGATAATACCATTATGAGACCAAAGTTTAGAGAATTCATGATTTACATATCAAGTAACTTTATCACCTAATTCTTTTGATACTTTTACCAAATGATTTTGGACAAGACAGGAAAAATTTACAGTCCTCATATTTACTTTTCAATAAGTATGTCCACGTGACATAGGTACAATCGTAGATAAAAGTAACATTCCATTTTGCTCCAGAAATAGATTTCAAGACATGTCCCCCCAACAGGGATAGTATTGAATGAACTCTTACCTTTCATGGACAGGGTACATGATCCAAAAGGTTTACTAATTGATTTAATCACCGTTCTAAGATGATCAAGTTCCTCCTTGTAAACTTTCATATCAAGATCTCAGTGAGGTGGAGCAATAGGTTTATCCATTTCTTCATGTTCTGAGGTAGTATGGTTTGCCCATCCTTGTGAGCTTCCTTTGTCGCCTCCCATGAGCTCAAGAACTTTATTCCTTCCGAGATGTTTGAAGCACATTCCTTAGCATTCCCAAGAACAACATTCTCCATGGTTTCCCTTTGAAGAGGACTTCCTTCTCGCGTGTTGGTGCCTTGTGGATCCCTTTCCTATTGTCATGGCAATGCCTTTGTTGGAGATTTCTCCATCAAGCATGACGGCCATCCAAGTTACTTCTCCTCTTACCATAAAAAAATACTTCTCACAGTGGTGACCATTTTTCTCTCCCTAGGATTTGCACCCTAATGGGATCATATTCATGGTTTAGGCCATTTAGGAATTTGAAGGTTTTTCCTCTTTCCACAATTTCAGTATTTGTAGTAGCATTTGGTGTACACATCTTCAAGTTTTGATAATGATCCATAACCCATTAAAGATTTTGTGGTACTTCAATACGAACAGAGAACCTTGTTTTACTAACACCCTACTCTCCTTGTCATACCAAGCAATGAAATCCTTCTTCATTGAAAAAGTGTTATTTAAGTCATTCCATATTTCTTTAGTGGAGGAACAAAACTTAACTCAGGAACCATGGAATGCTACATCCAAGTCATTCATAATTAGTGAATCTTCATTATACCAAATTGCAAAATTAGAGTCCTTCAACTCCAATCCTCCACCCTCAATGTGGTCTACTCTTGACTGTCCCTGGAGGATTTAACGTACTAGTTCCACAGCAAATAATTTTGGCCATCAGAGACTAGTAGGGACCCACAACCGCTATTTACAACTGAAGGTATTTAAAAAGGAGATTTATGGAGGCAAGAATTATATACAACAGGATACTGTCAAAGGCATCTTCTTATTTATTTCCTTTACAGTACCAGTCTGTGGAAGAGAGAATGCTGCTTAAAAGTTCTTCTGATAATAGTTAGTGGACAACCAATAAAGCAGATTTTCCTAAACAGTAAAATTTAAATGAATAACAAGACAAATATCAAACAAGTGTTAATGTACCCATGATATGTTAAAAATTGTTAATACTTCTCCAGCACATATTTCTTGGCAACATTCATCAACTAATAACTATTCCTCTAAATAACCTCACAATAAAAAGTAGGACATTTTACCTTTCCTTCATAATACCCCTGCAGTAAGTAATTTACTACACCAAAGTCAGCTGCAGAGATATAGACAAATCTTTTAACACCTGTAACACCAAGAACAGATCATCCAACAGTAAGTGGCAGAATATCACCCAACTATAGTTTTTTTTTTTTTTCTAAATCTTGTAAACCAGAAAACAACAAATAGTTTCTAATTAATCAAACTCTTTGGCTAAATATCACCCAATAATGTAGACAGGTTTGCATTCATTCAACTAAAGACCAGCTTCTGTCATTAGACTCGTTCCATGTTTCACAAAACAAATAAATATATACACAAAATGGCAAAGAAAATGCTTATAGAGACAACTGCTCAAATTGGTCTACAATTACATGAAATGAAGCAACATTCTAGACACCTATCATGGCCAAACTTGGCAAACTACAAAAAAAACAAAACATAGAATAGTATATGAATAATGCACTTTTTGACAAGCTTATTCATAAATCGTTCTAAAAGAAAAAAAGAAAAAGAAAAAAATGGAATAAATTTATCCATAAGTTAAAATTGATGCACAAGTTAAAAGTAAGAACTAGAGAAGCTATATGAGAGCTTCTACAAATTAAATTTTAAGTTAATTTTAACTAATGGATGAAATCAATTTATTTTTCCTTCCTATTTTTCTCTCCTTAGAGTACTTATGGAGAAGTTTGTCCAAAAATGCCTTATTTCTTCGTCAGGGAGACATGCAATAAAGGCTGGAGACTACAATACACAGAAAGCTTATAATTCTTATGCATCTAAGATGTAATCCTAATGGAACAATAGTGTGGAACTTATATTATCATATTTCTGTGTTGGCACTATCATAATAATTGGTTATAAAAAATTAACCATAACCCCAATTAACCAGTTTTATAATAACCTGTTAATTAAAAATGGTTATAAAAATTAACCATACATGACAAGTGAATATTATATAACCAGTTATATATAGTAAAAATGGTTACAAAATTAACCATACATGACAAATGAATATTATAACCAAATCATAACTATTTTTCAATAGTTGATTTTGGTTTGATGGAACTGGTTTTAATTCTTGAACAACTGGTTATATAACAAGTTCTTACTAAACTGATTATATAACCTTTAATCAACTAATAATTGGTTTTGGCTATTAAAAACCAGTTTTAACCTTTAAAGTCAATTTTAATTAACATGACACACTTATTAACCATTTGGCTTGGGTTTTAACCCAAAACCCATTTTTAGTGGAAAACACAGGACATGTTTTAGTGCTCAGAGATCTTATGATTCCACAAATTTTACAAAAAAGTATAACAATCCCCTTGATTCCACTGATTTGCCATTTCGATGGGAATCATGCTATTCCAAAATAAAATTTGCGATTTTGCTTACATTGGTCTTCTCCATTTGACCAGTTAAAACCATGTATACCAATTGCTGGATTTATTAAGTGTCAAGGCCACACTATATACAAAAACTAAAAGCTGAAGTTGTGGTCTGAGAATGTTTTTATCATAAACACCTGTACAAATCCGTTTTTTGATTGCAATAAAGTGGATTAAATAGTAAACCCCTATATGTTTGTGGAAGATTAAATAATTACATTAATGCTGCATATAGCGGTCTCCTAGATTGTACAGTGGAGAACTGGTAACACAACCAAGTATCAACATATTCTGATCTTGACAAGCTTAGCATTCACATGTAATATATATATATATATATATATATATATATATATATATATATATATATATATATATATATATATATATATATCTTCTTTTGGTGGAAATTAAGTCATCATTAATTATTCAACACTTTTTTTCCAAATTTTTGCTAAGCCCAGTCATATCAATTGATCTATTCAACAAATCCTACCTAGTGGGACAAGGATCAGTTGCTGTTGTTGTGAGCTCTAAAAGAAAGATGAGCATGGGCATCAACCATTAGTATAAGCAGTGGAATAGAACCAAGAAATAAGGACAATAAGAATTGAACAAGTAGATTATTAATAATGGATGTGCGAATTCCTCAATTACCTTGATCTGAAGCTGCTCTAATTGCATTGATGTTAGCAGTCCCATTAATTTTGTACATGTACGAGTTGGAACCAAATCCCCCAACACATGAGATCTTTCAAAAGAAACACAAGTTAGCATAGCATATCATCACAAGGGAACATATATTTACTTATAATTCTGTATCCTAATTAACAAAATTCAGACACATTAGGTCAGTTAGTGCCACGCATGCATGATGGTTACTATAATTCTCCCAGTCCCAATCTGTTGGAATCATGATTTTCATCCAAACTGTACAATCATTCTCATCAACATTATCTAAAATCTTCCCCTCATAGAGGCTACGCTCCAACTACCTTTACCTAGCTAGGTTATCCCAAGATAAGACCAACAAAAAGTGAGGTATTTAGTCACAAGAAACTGATCAACGCATGGACCCTCACCAAACAAATGTTTCAAATCTAAAGTAACATCTTGTAATTGCAAAAGAAACAGAAAAAAAAAAAAAATTAAAACCAACTTGGCTTTGGGCTTCCTCTAAGTTGCAAAACATTTACCAGGCATTATAATAAACTAAAGGGGAAACGACCTGCAACTAAATTTTCACTATGCATTATAACAAGACAAGGGGAACTTACAACAGCAGTGACACCATTCAGAGCTTCTTTCAATGAATCAGTTGAAAGGATATTCCCTATATTATTAAAAGACAATTAGACTATTATAGTGTCCCACAAAGATTTTGTCTACAAGGAAATGCTAAAAAGAAAAAATGCAGACCTTTATACCAAGTAACATTGCCAGCCCAGGAGTCATGTAGGGATGATTTACCGGACCTGGGAAGTAAAACATGGAGTTGTTGGCAATGCAGATAATAGTACAAGTATGAAAAAGAAGAAAACTTAGATGCAGTTCTATAAATGTTTTACTGATGTTCTCCAATCAAAATTTAAGTTCACCTCAATAATCTATCCATTTAATGAAAACATTTAAATAGATTAACTAGATGAAATTTCAATTCTGATAGAAAAACAGTACCTAAAATACCTACATAACAACATATAAGTTCTGTCCAATGAGAAAAAGCATCAAACCTGCTAAGACTTGCAACAGACAAACCACGTTCTAAGGCTTCTCTACAAATGTGTGATCCAACAAACCCATTGCCTCCCAACACAAGCAACTTTAATAACACCCAACACAAGTTTCAGGTAAGAAAAGCCATATATAATAGTAGAAAAATAGAAGTTTCACATACAACTGTCGTGGCAGAATACCTTTTCTGTTGGGGGTGGGGGCACATTTACAGTCTCTGCTTCTTCAACTTTGAAGGGCTCATCAACTTTATTAGAATCTGTGCAGAGATTTCTCCCGCTGACTGACACTGCCGTTGCACTGGAAGGCAAGAAAAAAAAAGGGGGGTGGGGGGAGGAAATACGATGAAATGACTCAACGAATAATTTACAAATCATGAAGACAATCAACATAAAATTAAAATTACATTTGCACTGAACCTAACGCTGTGAATTCCACAACTCATGACACACTTAAAAATCTTATAACATGGATATAAAATAGAAATATTAACACGAAGCAGATACAACAAAAAACGATTCGATTACGGAACGTAACGGTTAGAAAGAATAGAAAGCATACTTGAGCCTGGAAATGGAAGGCGTGGAATGGATCAAGCGCGAAAGCAGTGTCCTCATTTGATGATAATTGAATTGAGTTTTGGCTTTCGAATTTTCTTTACGAAGGAAGCTTGTAGAGAGAGTTAGGAACAGGGAAAGGGAGTTTGAGAGAGAGTCAAGTCTCTACCAAACTATCTGGGAAGTGTTGAAAGCGAGAAGGAAAAACGTACACGTGGCGCTTCTTCCTGCTGACACCTCTTCACCCTATGTGGCTCTTTTTCCACCTCAACCTTCCTCACACTACTCACACGGGTAATGATAACTTACTTTTTCTAAGGAGCCACGTGGCTTGAATTCACCTTCTTCTTCGGCCCAGTAGACAGGACCCAAGGGCCTTGCTATTACCACCCCCATTTACTATTTAGAACTCCAACCATAATTTAAAGAAATAAAATATATTCTTTTAATATTTCATCAAAAAGTATATTTTATTCCGTTATTTGATTGTTTATAATAATGATGAACTTAATTCTTGCATTAATTTTTACTGTGTACAAGTTTTTGAAAAAATTAACACAAAAAAAAAAAACTTCTTTCCATAGAAAGTATATTCATAACAAAAATCAAAATTTGAGGGGTTTAAATGATAAACGAGGGTGTGAATACTCAATAGTAAATTAAAATCAATTGCCAGTTTGAACACGTGCACCAATTAGAGATTTCAATGTTTATTGTTTCCAACAACCAATGATCATTACTATTATTATCATAAAAATAATGGAAAGTTAATATTTTGAAAAGTTTCAATTTTAAAATGAATTATGAATGGCTCAGGCCTTAATTTATGCCATATCCATTCAAACAGACAGATAGCTGTGAAGATATGGTTTTGATAAAAATATTGATTATGGATTCTAATATCTTCATCGATCATAAATAGATTGCATAGAATATTCACAAAGCCAAAAATAAAAGTTTAAAAGAATTATGGTGTCCCACCAATGGTGTTCATAAGTCTATTTTGTGGTTCAAAATTTACAAAAAAACGTTCCAAGATTCATAGATCCTTATTTACACGCAGCATTTGTTATGGCCAGACAATGCCAGAAGAAAAATGAGTCTTAGAACTTGCAAATCTGCACATGAATATAATACTAGAGAGTGTTGGTTCTTATGTCAAGTTGAACCCTAGCTAACCAATACATACTATATATGCGATCCAGGTGGAATTAAGAGACTAATATTGTGCTGGAATTGACCACATGAACGCATGCGATGCCAAAATAAAGGTGTTAGAGGTTGGAAAACGAGCACGCATGATTGAAGAAAAGGAAATTAAAGAGAACTGAAAAATTTGATGCTGTGAAAAAGCTCAAGTGCTGCTGACTCGTGATAGCAACATTGTGTCCAAGAGGGAGACAACCAGAATATTGGATCCTTCAGGTGTGCCTCTTGGTGCACAAAACTCAACATGAAAATTATATCTGCAAAATTTTCCCATTTAACCTCATTTTCATTTTGTTTAATCTTTGCCTGATGCTACATATTTGATACTATGACAAAACTTTTCATCAAGTTTTCTGAAAAGAAAAGGATAAAATGTTTATTAGTAAGGAACCTGAACTTGAAGTGCTAGTTTCTTTATCCATAACTATGATGAAAAGCATGTATATCAGATATCTGATATACATGCTTTTCATCATATATATATATATATATATATATATATATATATATATATATATATATTAATTAGTGATGTACGTCGCGAATCCACCAAGCTGGGGAATCTACATCTACTATTATTCCCTTACTTTTGCTGTGTTGCAACAGAAAATTCTCCAAGATCAGAGAGTAATTATAATTAGATTGCTTTTGACGCATATCCACTTTTGAAAAAAATACATATATAGTGCTAAATATCTAATTAACCCTAATTAATTGGAATAATTAACATCACTATCTGTTATTTTATGCTCCAAATATTAGATTACTTCTAATCACGATGTCTGTTAATGATTGAGATTGTGAATAGCAACAAAGATAGTGACGTTTGTAGATAAAACAACACTTTTGGTTTAATTGCAGACTCAAGGGGTGATGATTTTTATTTTTTGGAAACTCACGCAATATATATACATAGTTGCAATTGTTCGTACTAATTATTTTTTTTCTCCTATGTATGCCCTACAAATTAAAAAAATATCTTCATTGAATTTGGAAATATCTAGAACCTTTTTTATCATCTTACCACGTTGAATTGGGCTACCCATTGATGCAGTGATTCCACCACTAGATTTGAGCTTGATTAGTGGATTTCCCCCATTTTTCTTTTACAGTGGCTAATGTGTTAATGCGTGATCAAGAGCATAAACCAATAAAATAGCCCAAAAAAGTGAGATTTGAGATGATTAGCCCATAACAATAATTGAGTGCATATTTAAAGTTAATATAAAATTTGATGGTTTATCCTTATCAGCATGACTGATAATTCAGTAGGAATAAAAGTGACCCTAAGAAATTGAAGAATAAAAGTTAGATCGCATTTCAACTAGGGGGTGGGGCTTTTATGAAATGGGTAAAGAATATAATTTGATGTACTGAAAATCAACAGTGATAGGAATCATTAAACATGATGTATTAAAATAAAAGTATTGAAGTTGGGTGATTATGTTTGTTGAGTCCGACCTCGGTATCTCTTGTTATTTATGGTGTACATATATTAAGTTATTTCACATCTTATAAATTTCACATTGTAAATTGATTTTATGTTAAAATTTTAACATGATATCAGATTCAAAACGTAACATCTTTTCGTTATTGTTACAAGTTAAAAGTTATCTTTTAGTTTGGTTAAAAGTACTATTGATCTCTTTCAAAAAGTACCATTTGTTTCTTTCGGAAGACTTCATTAGAATAAACGTATTAGAAATCCCATATCGCTTACCTCATATCATTTCATATGATTTAAATATATTGTAACCTTAACAATATTTATATTTAAGTGTTAAAAAAATTGAATCTTTACTTAAACAAGTACAGGTGTAAATATGCTGAAAAGACTCAACTACTGAATTTCATAATGAATTGAAGAAAGATTATGTTCTTTGGAGATAAGAAGAGGAAAATTGTCAACAGCATAATTTTGCCAAAAGAATATTATGAAGTTGACATTAATAAGAAGCATAACCTTAAAGTTAAGGAAACATGGATTTGTTAATAATATTGTAAGAAATATTATGGAAAAGAGGTGGAAAATAAATATGAAAGAGAGAGGTTTTATAAGCTAATTAAGCATATTAAAGTAAAAACAAATCAAAAGTAAATGTGTGTGCAAAGAACATATGCTTCAAGCTTCCCAGATCTCAAAAGAAAAGAAGTTTTTTTTTTTTCTTTAGTAACTGATATTAACAATATTCTGTAAATAAATAACCACTGACATCAGTTAGAAACAACGGTTGAGAATCCAAATGTGAGTATCATAAAAGTCAATAGTAACGTGATTAGTCCTTCACAAACATTTAGACGGTGAATTAATGAATATGGAGGCGGCGGAAGAAAATGCGTTGTTCCATGTTCCTACCTAACTGATGCTATACATGAAATGTGGTGCAGGCTACCAAGACATACTTTTTGTGGTGGAAGCAAACAGCGACAGGGAGGGTGTTACGATCCGTCCTTTGAATCCGTACTTTTGTGGTCGGAGAACGATGAAGTTGCACACATTTGGGCAATCAACTTCCTGATAGGGACTGATATGCTATATGCTTCCCAGCCACCCTTAAAATTGATTAACTTGTAAGTAAGATTAAAATTTTGAATTAAAAATAATATTATATTTTCTTGTAAGATTGATTCATGTTCTATTGTCTTCATCATTGACCCAATTAGATGAATGGGATGAATGAAAATAGCTAAAAGTAGAGCCAAGCCCAGTGACAAACAACAAGTTTTGGTGGCAATGAGCGGAAATGTACACAAAATTCAGAACCCTCCTTCGTTAACCCTTTTGATTTGAATCACGATTTGACCCTCAAGACACCATTAACCAACATGAATTTACTTAGATGTCCAATATGAGGCCACTGGACGAGAGTGACTGTGAGTTGATGATTTATTTATCTACACCCTGAGAACAAACAACAGTGGGTCTTCATATCGACAAGAAGGTGAAAGTTTGCCACTTATCTACCTCGATTATTTGATAGTTTTGTCTGATGATGTTTTATATTATACCTAGTAAAAAATTATGGAGACAAAAGAAAGGAAAGTTGAGAAATATGACATTTGGGTCCATGGCAGCACTAAGATGTTATCTCTATCCCATGATTGCAATTAGGACTACAGCACCCGGAGCATTTACAAATATTCCCACTAATACTTGGACAAGTACAAATTAAAGCGCAAACTTTCTCACCAAAACGCATGTTATGTATCAAATCAATTTCACTCATCTCGTACCATAAAGATGAAAAATAGATAGGTTACACTTTTTAAGAGCCGCGTGTAATTTACTTATGTGAAGTAAACTTATTTTTAACGTATAATATAATATTCATGATGATTTATAAGTTGATCGTTCAATAATGACCAACTGAATGTCACGAGTGAAGAGTGAGAACCGCTCCTACTTGGTTCATACAAATTTCAATGCAACGTACGATGCCCATGTTTGACTTCTTTCTTTTCATGCTGACATTTGACTTCATTTAAATCAAATTAAGGGATGATAAGAAAATGGTAAATATATGTAAAAGTATTTGTCTTTATTAAACTAATTAAGCTGATAAGTGTACATGAAATTTTACTTTGTTCCTTTAAAAACAAGCTTATTTTCCTTCACTAAAATATGAACAAACACATGTTGTATTTATAACTGCGGCAGTTGTTAGATATTTGACTTTGATATATTCTGGTGCATCTGTCTCATCAGGTATACCCGAGCGTGGAGGCATGAATAAGGGTTAACATTACATTACATGAGATTATTCATCCGAATATACCCCTCAAGCATATTCGTGCAGCAAGGAAACGACAACCACTTGCACCTAGTCCTAAATTTCATAGTTACACTCAAACAAGAGTGAATAATCAATATGCTCAACAGGTGCTCAACAATGAGACCAACGGTGATAAAGACCCTAAGTTCTTCATACAAAAGATCAAATCAGAAATGCAAATGATGAAACTAAAGGAAAACCGTAGCAGCTTTGTTTCCACTTTCCCCACATTGCTCATTCTCTTTTACCCCTCCTTCATCATTGTGGCTACTTTCATTGTACTCAGGTCTAATCACACAGCACATGGTGCGCTTTCACTGTGGCCTCAGATGGCAACCCCAAACCTCACAATGGATAAGAGGTTTTTCTTTTTTTCTTTTAAATACCTTTCATAAAACTGGAAAATATTGCATCAGCAAGAGACATGCCTTTTTTTTAATGCATTATTTGTGGTCTAGTGGAGGAGATTATTTAAAAAAAAAAACTGCAAATCGTATCTGACATCATGCATCCTATCACCGTCAAGCACAAACATCTGTTGTAATGCACGCTCTCCCTCCTCCTTCTATGCGAAGATATTTCCCAAATTACAATGACTACCAGATCTCAACAGAACAAGAATAATGGTCATCATCATAAATTATATATCTGATCTTTTCTTCTCTCAGTTCCCGATTTGTGAATCAAGCTAAAGTTCCCCACTCTACTGTCATGAGGAAACAACGACATTGATTCTGTGAATAGAGTCTATGAAAACAGAGGACATCCTAAGATTTTGTAGCGTATGAAACTCGATAATTTGAATGGTTTGGTTGAGAGGGATTAGTTAGTTTTCCATCAAAGTGAACTAGTTCAAACATGCAAAAAAGTAAGCAATTCGAATTAATTATGGATGACTAAAAGCTTATGGTATTTGAATGGCATATATTTTAAAATTTCATAAAATTGGGCTCAAAATTGAAACTTCAAAATTGTGAAAAAAGGTTGGTCAATAGCATAAAGGTGGCTGGTGCTGCAAGTCTTAAGGGGTACCCTAACACAGTACCACACTTGCCCTGCAAGTTATTTCTGTCTTGCAACAACAAAACAGGGTAAAGTCCGTGACCCAAAACAGAAAGCCAATAACCCACTTTACTTTCTTTATAAATACCAGTCACCCCACTCCTCCCTTGCAAGTTGCAACCTAATTAACCTCCCTTATCTCTACGCAACACCAATCTCTTCTCTAACACCAAAACCCACACACACTAACACGCTACAAACTTTTCTAAGTTTAACCCAAATGAGGACCATCCCCACCACAAAAACCTCTACTTCAACCGCACCCACACCCGCCACCTCATCATTAACGACTCCTCCGCACCCCACGTGGCACTCTCCCGTTCCCTACTTGTTTGGAGGCCTCGCCGCCATGCTTGGTCTCATAGCGTTCGCGCTCTTGATCTTGGCTTGCTCCTACTGGAAAATTTCTGGCCAGTTACAGAACGAAGAAAACGGTGAAAGAAACATGGAGAATGGTGGTGATGATGCGAAACAGGGTGATTCTGAAAACAAGGAATCTGTTAAGGTGTACCAGGAGAAGATTCTTGTCATTATGGCTGGAGATGAGACACCCACATTCTTGGCCACCCCTCAAGCCTCCTCTGTTTCTGGTGGACTTCCCAACCATTTTGAGAAAAGTCTCCAAAACCACGTGACTTCTGAGAAATCAGAGAAAGAGGTGGAAAACCAACTTCAACAACCTCAAGAAACGCAACAACAGAGCCAGGGACGACAATAAGATATCATTTTGCAATTTTACGATTCTATCATAGAATAGATTTGAGAAAGGGAGTATCTTCCTCTGTTTCTGAATTCACTCTCTCTTCTTTCTTTTCTCTTTTTTGTGTTTTGTTGGTTTGTTTATTGTTGTTCGGAAATTGTAAATTTAATTAAGCGAGATGAATTAGAATTGAGTCCAAGGTTAACCAGATTTTGCAGAGTCTTGCATGTCACAGAACAGAAACCTTTTTTTTTTTTTTTTTTCAGTGATGGATCCCAGAGTTCATTTGAAAACTACAGGGATATTAAAGTCATCTTTAACATATTTATGTACAGGTTATTTTACATAATTCAACGTCTATTTTAAAATTTTTATATTATTATTTATTTATCTTATTTTATTTTTTCTCCATCAATTACAAAAAAATAATAATATTTTAAAATTGAAAACAAGATGTTTATAAAAATTACTTTCAAAAGAAAATCATCTTGTAATAAAATAATTTATGCATACTTGTGTGTGATTTGATAGGTAGGATAAGAAAGAAAAATTAAACTACAAATAGATGATATAATGTAACACTAAAACACAAATATAATAATAATAATAATAATAATAATGAAAAAATAAATACTAATAAAAATATAGTAATCTTTTTTCTAAATTTATTTTCCAAACATCTTATTTATAATATATTTTACAACTTATTTAATAGTTTTGTTTTTATTTTGGTCAATAAATTCTATTTATAAGTCAAGAAATATTACTTTTACATTTCTTCAAAAATAATATTATTAACATTTTTATTAAGTTTATTTTATATCATTTTGTGGAATCATTATATAGTCTTAATAAATACAAACGATCTTAGTAAGATATTTATAAATAATCTAACTTTGATTATTATGAGAACAAAAAATTATATTATCATTTAATCTTACAGTTTTATTAATAATAATTTGTTAATTTTAAATGCATTATGATAGAAATCATGTTAATAATATTACTTATTTATAATAGTGTCTTTTTTATCTATCCGAATTTTAATATTAAATACGCAACATAAACAGAAAGATTTTCTTTGTCTAAATCATTATATTAATTAAATGACTTCGTTATATACCATACCTATAAATAATATAATTCTATTTTTTTATCTATTTTTATTCAAATATTTTTTTATATTTTTTTAATGCTGAATTAAACCATAGAACATCTTTGGTGATATTCTTTTATATGTTAACGTATAATCTAATAATAAATTGATGTCTCTGATATTCTTTTTAATAACCCAATATTTAAATTTAAATAATACCTTATGATTGTCTCAACATAAATTTGATTGCGTATGATACAAAGTGTTCATTTTTATTTCCATTACTTCTCTCTAGTCCCTGGTCTTTTCCTAAAAATACTTAAGCTTTTCACCTTTTTTTTCATAATTAACTTAATAGTAAAACAAATGTGACTTAAATAAAATGAATAAAAATAACAAATAGTGCTTCTTTTTTTCATTTCACTACAAAACTCGTTTCATTTTATCTCTCTTCTAAAAGTATTTATGAAAAAACTTGTCTAAATATATCTATAATTTTATTTTATTTCAAAAACTATTGAATTCTCCTTAACTATTCCACAGAGTGTGAGCATTTGTAATTGGTTGACTCATAGATTACATCGTTAGATAGGTTAAAGTTACGTTGAAAAGAGATTTACCTTTTTAGAGAAAAAAAAGATGAACCTTTTTTTATATAAGACATGATGAAGAAAAATGGCTTCTACCCACCTTCATTGTTCACTTCTTATGGGATTGGATGAATAATAACACATCAATCACAAAATGTGCATCCCTTCAACTTCTTATTTATCGTACCCTTTTAAACTACTGCTTAAAACATAACTCAAACATGTATCTGGCTTGTATTGTAAAATTAAAAATTGGTGTACGTGTTTATTGTTTTTGAAAAAATTAGCCTAAACAAATTATGAATAATGAGAAGAAAAAAAAAAAGAAGTGAACTTTGGGTCAGGTAGATTCTGTTGGGTTGAATGCATATGGATTGGACCAAACAATCACAGGCCCGTATGACTTTGAGTCACCAGCATATTTTATCCATTTTTCTTGGAATAAAATTATTAAAAGATTTGTTTAGTATATCTTTTTTTTTTTTTTAGCACTTGAGATATACTAACATCTTATATTACATTGGAAAAATGAAAAATCGCATCCACGTATAATAATAAAATGCATGTGTGATTCCAAATATTAAATCAAACAAATATAGAGCAACCTTAACGTTTTTTGTTCAACTATACGTAGAGAGAGAACGTGAGATGGTTGAAGCAAATTTAAAAATATTTTTCAAACTTTAAATTCTGATAATGTCATCAATAATAATTATATATTTTCTTTTTCTGTCTCCTTGGGTGACAAGTAGAAGGATAGCAGAATAAGATCATAATTTTGACATAAAATTATCAAACATATTAGCAAAAAACACATGTGCATCGCGAGTGTTGATTTTATAGGTAGGAAAAGGTAGGTGTTATTGAACATGCCCTAAAAGGTGACAGCAACGACAACGCAAAAACAGTGCATAAATATGAAATCACTTTCTCTACTCCCATGGTGGTGGCATCTAACAGTTAGCCTGTGTTAATGTGAAAATAAATACAACAATTTTATTGTTGGTGGGTTGAGATAAATAGTATTAAAAATATATACAGTGATTATTTATAGAATAAAAAGTACGAGAATAATAGTAATAATTTAGAATGATAATAATAATAATATAAAGATGCCAAAAAGGTTTGGAGGAGGTGGGACGATAAGTGTGTGAGCCCCATCCACAGGAAACAAAGTGGGGGGTGGATTGAAAAGGACGAGTGGTGGAGGGGGGTGGAATATGGCACCCTTTGCATCGCAGTTGAAGTTCATCCCCACCCCTAAATTTAATGTAGGGTCCGTATTCGGCTAAGCCTCTCCACGTGCCGCTGTTATATTGGTTCCTCTTCAGATCTCCCTGGCCCCACCAGATAGACTTGGACTCACTCGACGCGACTACTTTCACATAATCACGCTTCCTCACTTCCACACCACAACCCATTCTCAAACAAAAACAAACACATACAGGGAGCCACCAACCATGGCTTCCAAGCTCTGCGACTCTTGCAAATCCGCCACCGCAACCTTGTACTGCCGCCCTGACGCCGCCTTCCTCTGCGGCGCCTGCGACTCCAAGGTTCACGCTGCCAACAAGCTCGCCTCCCGCCACCCGCGCGTCGCGCTCTGCGAGGTCTGCGAACAGGCGCCTGCGCATGTCACCTGCAAGGCCGACGCCGCCGCGCTCTGCCTCGCCTGCGACCGCGACATCCACTCCGCTAACCCCCTCGCCAGCCGCCACGAGCGCCTTCCTGTCACGCCCTTCTACGAGTCTGTACACTCCGTCAAGGCATCCTCGCCGATCAACTTCCTCGACGACCACCGCTTCTTCTCCGACGCTGACGCTGACGTCAGCACCGAGGAGGCCGAGGCTGCCTCCTGGTTGTTACCTACTCCGAAAACAGATCTAAATTCCTCTCAGTACTTGTTCTCGGAATCCGAACCCGTTCCGTACATAGATCTGGACTATTCCGCCGCGGATCCGAAAGCGGAGCAGAAGAACTCCGCCAACGCCGACGGCGTAGTTCCGGTGCAGAGCAACTACGAGCCGTTCGCCTACGGTTACAAATACAACTCCACTCTCTCACAGTCACAGTCTCAGATGAGCCAAAGTGTATGTTGAAGCACAATCTCCATGTGTTGTTTACTTGTTTCGAAGTCTATTTACGAATATGATAACGTGAATTAATTTGTTTGTTTGTTTGTTCTCGTGTTTGGTTGTTGAATTTTTCAGGTATCGTCGTCGTCGATGGAGGTTGGAGTTGTGCCGGACGGAAACACGATGTCGGAGATATCGAACTGCAGCTACAGCAAGGTGGCGGCGGTGACAGTAACGGCGCAGTTTTCGGCGGCAGATAGGGAGGCGAGAGTGTTGAGGTACAGGGAGAAAAGGAAGAACCGAAAGTTCGAGAAGACTATTCGCTACGCATCGAGAAAAGCATACGCGGAAACGAGACCAAGGATCAAAGGCAGGTTCGCCAAACGTGCTGACGCAGATCCTCTGTCTGGATACGGCGTTGTTCCGTCGTGTTAATTTCACTCCAAAATATATATATATATATATATATATATATATATATATATATATATATATATATATATATATATATATATAATTCTACGATGATGCTATGCTGCTTACTTTTTGTTTTCTCATGTTTGCTTTGCTGTGTATATACTACGCTCTTTTTTTGTTCGAATTAAGCAATGTAAAGTTGCAAACGCTTGCTGTGAATCGATTTTGTAGTTTGTTTTGTCTTGTTGTTTTTCTGGTGAATTTTGGCAGCTTTTGCTTACGTGAGAGAAGGAGAGACGATGATGATGATGATAAAGGAGGCGGAGGAAACGATGATGGCAATTGCACTTTCTTTTCTATTGCTGCTGTGCAGATTTCGCAAATCAAATTCTGGAATACTATTGGGATTGAACGAGCTTTTAAGAGGTTTCTTTAATCACAAATTATATTTAATCCTACCTTTACACTTTATTTATTTTATTCTCTTGTCACGGAGACAGACCAACGGGCACTAATCTTGTTTAAGAAAGTAGTTTTTACTAACTAAATAGTACCGTCTACTTTTGGAAAGAATCAATAAATAAAAGGGTTTCTGGATTTTAACATTTTATTTATGATTGCCTCATGCAAAGATTTTTTGAAGTAATACTTTATGTACACATCAGTTATACTATTTTAATACGCGACTAGTATCTTTCTTTCTAGCTGAATAACAAGAAGAAAAGTCTTAGAAGCCTCTAGGTGTTTTATTTTGGTAATATTCAATTTTAATTCGTGAGTAATACTTGATGATGTCATCGTGTAAAGAATTCTATCAACCATTCTTTACGTTAAAAAATTACTAAAGCTAGATTTCCGATATATCGGGATTCTTCTTTAGATCTCATTTACCTAACTTCAAAGGCTATTCGTCGATAAAAAAATCCATTTAATCAAGATCCCAAATCGGTATCTTAAAATATCCCAAATAGATAGGTCGAAATTTGGTCAATCTGATTTTTTTCTATAATATATTGTTTTTAATTTTGAATGCAGTTAAATTGCACGATAAAAATTGAAAAATAATAAAATCGATATTTTAAAATTTATAAATATGATGTCATATTATACTATCATTTGTTAAATATATTTTTTCATCGTTGATATTCAGTTGTTTCAAAATCTTATATTTTGAAATTATATGGATACATTTTTTATGAGGATTTTGAAGAGAAATAAAAATATCTTTTATAAGTTAAAATTGGTTTATAAATTATTTTTGTAAAAAATATATTATCTAGAAATATTTTTTAATAAAGTAATTTAGTATTTGAGAATTATTTTTATTTTCTCTTCTAAAAATTGAAAGAAAAAAAATTATCCGACCGTTTTTTTTTCTAAAGAATATTAATACTAATTTGAACTGGAACAACTTTAAAAACTACTAAAATCACTTCTAAAAATTACACCAGAATTATTTTTGAATTTGAACCTGTCCATATCAACATTAGATGCAGTCAAGTTAGGATATTTGGCAACTACATTGATGCTTCTTTATGTCCATTAAAAATAAAGTTACAACAGAAACAATAAATTCTTACTTTTCATTAAACCTGACTCTGGAACATATGCCAATTATACACTAATATGTTCTTCAAAAGTATTCTTGAAAGTTACTAGTATTTCTTAGGGTTTTTTTTTTATTATTATTGAAGGAATCTTCAACAAATTGTTTGATAAGTTTTTTTTTCTAAATTATCTATTGTATCGTCTACAGTTTTTTTTTTTTTTCCTTTTTCTATTGTTTTTATAAATTACTCTCTTATATATAAACGTATTAATTGAATAAGAAATCAAGAGAATAAATCTCAGTAACTTAAAAAATACAAAATACTGACAAATCAATACATTAATTAAATTTCTTAACTATATATATACACGTAATATGTCTAAAAAGTTTCTAGAAGTAGCATTTGTTTGCCCAACCACCTGAAACTTATCTGTGTTTGAAGGTTTAGGAGGCACGGAACTAAAAACTTGACAAGAAAATTTTGGCTGCATTTAACTCCCAAGTGTGTACGTGTCTTCATTCACAACTTAAAATCATTTCTTCATTTCTTGCTTCATTGGATTTTTCTTTATTTCAAAACAAGTATGAAATCTCCTAATTCTAGAATTATTTTTTAGAGTCTACACAAAAAATCACTCTTCATTTCTTTATTCATTGGATTTGTTTATTATGCAGGAAAATGTATCAAATGTCTGCGACGTTTATGTTTCTTCTCCTTAAGATTTTGGGGGGTGATTACTGAGCAACACATTTTAATACATAAAAAAAAACTATTTGAAGATTGAGATTAATGATAACAAATTTGAAATAAAATCATTACATATTAGAATATATAATATTAATACATAAATAAAAGTTATAAGTTGAGATGATATTAAAACAGAATATACACCGTACTGAGGCATATTAAATATGAAAATGACTTGACAAAATTTATTAAAAAAAGGAGTTAAATGATATTTTGATTTTAATGTAAAATAAAATTAAAAAATTAAGTATTTATTAGTTGTTAATTATATCTTGTGTCCACGTATTTTTAGTCCTATTATATAACATGTAATTTATTGAGTTATATTTTTAATAAATTTAACATTGATTTTCAAATTATGCTTGAAAATAATAGGCATCTAAATTCGTTTATTAGTTTACAAACACGTTTCCCATGTTAGAGAACACATTAAGACACATGAAACATTATGTTCCTACTCACATGTGCGAAGTAGGTACGCCAAACAGGTTCTAATTTATGGGATATTTATTCGACTCCAATCAATCTTTAATGAAGGAAAATCACTTTGAATGGGTCAATTAGGTTTAGATTTTCCTCAATTTAAAGATTATGTTCGAGTTTATGTTCAAAATAAATTAAAAATGGGTGCTTGAAGAAAAGGCTTAATGCAATGCAATATTTTACAAAACGCATCACTTCAATTGAAATAATTTGATGAATCATGTTTATAAGAATTGGAATGGAGTATTATTGTAATTGCGTGAAGAACATGGATCATGCAAGATCCATGATGAAGTTATCTATAACTTCCGCAAAGATGAGTATTTTTTTTTTTTTTTGAAAGGATTTGATCTTATCTTATTTTATCTCATCATTATGTTGAAAATCTAATTTCAACATTATCCTAGATTTTTTTTTTTCATCTTTTTCATCAAGGTTTTCGATAACTAATTAAGATTTGATTATAGTTTAATTGAAATTTGTTTTCTATTACTGATACAGATACAACTTGAACTGTAATAAAAACTTTGACTTTCTTTCATCATCTCTCTTTTTTACAGTTTGGTGTGATGTGTCCATGGAAGGTTAAAAGCTTTATGATCAAACCATGATGGTTTGATTTTAATTTTCTTTTTAATTCTTAATTTAATTTCCTTTTTCTTATTAATCTTTATTTTCTGTTTAAATCTTGATTGTGAGTTTTTATTAAGTTAGAACATTATCATATTGGTTGTAGTTTACATCATTGATTAATATTAAAACATAACTACAAGAGAAGGGAAATCAATATTTTTATTTGTATACATTACACTTTATACAAGCCAGAATTAAATGTAGACAAAGATTGTTGCATATAACTTAAATCACTAACCCTAAACGAAAGTTAAATGAACTAAAAAAATAATGTTTACATGCACAAGGTATAATGAGAACTCTGACACACTCTTTACACACATTTCCTAGCTACCAAATATAGGTTCAATTAAGAAAGTGAGATAATGATTTGCGTATGCAACATTATTTCTAATTCTTGGTGATACATCATAGCTGCTATATTTATTACGACAACCAAACCATAAACCGAGTTTTACCAAGTTTCTGCATTTTTTGATCCATTGATCACCTATCACGCAAGCCTTCTTTTGAAGCTTGCTTATTACCACCTCCAGAACTACTGTGAGAAGAAGCACCTTGGTTAAACAAGAAACGAACCACCACACATGTGATGTTGTCAGCACTACCTCTTCGATATGCTTCTTGCATCAATCTCTTTGCTGCCTCCTCAGAATCCTCAATTGGTTTAATCATAGCAACAGCTTCCTGAACAAAACTCAAAATCTTAGCTGAGTAGGAAAAGCAAAATGTCTCACTATTTGAGTTTTATGTGTTTCTGTAACCAAGTATTTAACATATGAGTTTGGATTTTGTCATATCCCTTTTCCCCTTCTTTAAGTGGTTGGTTATGATGAAGATGAAGATGCATTTTAGTTGTCAATGAGAAGAAATGAACATCAGTGCAAACCTCATTTGTGACAACATCCCATAATCCATCACTAGCCAAGATAAGAAACTCAAGGGAGTTGTCAACTTTTTCTTCCTACAAATTGACAAACATGTAACTTAAGTATACCAAAGAGACAGGACATATAAGATCTAAGGACACATCAACAAGAATAAAGATTATAAGGAGACTAAATTTAAGAATGGATGTGACCAACCTGGATTTCTGGATCAGCTACAACATACTGCTTTAGGAGTCTATCACCAAACGCTCGAGAAACAGCAAGAACACCTCCAACTCTCCAAGTTCCTGTATTTGTGATGTTACCAATAATGATAAACAAACAGTATATATATTTCTTAAATTGAACAAAAGAAAACTAAAGCAAACTATATGTTACATGTTTACATTACCAGCCCACATAACAAACCCTCCTGCATCTTCAATCCTTTGCCTCTCATCAGTTTGGTCTGGTTTGTGATCTCGAGAAACAGCAATAGCTACAAGAAACCACAATTTGAAGACTAATATTTAGTAAATATTGGACACATGATGGTTGAAACGAGTCTCACTATAGATGCACAAGAACCAGGTATACAAAGCTAACAACAGCTTACCATTACCACCCCTGCATATAACAGCTCTGGAATCCCCAACATTTGCAACAAGCAAGCGATCACCAACTAAAATCGCAGTGGAAGCAGTTGATCCGGCATCTTTGTTTTGGTTATTTTCTGACTTCAGAAACTCAGAATCGGTATGATTATATGCATCAGCTGAGGAAAAAAATTGAGTTTAAAACGGTCACTCTTTGGATTTGGCAAATGGAGAATATCAAACATAAGGAGCTAGTAGTGATAGATAGAGACAACATACATATTGCTGATTTGGTGTCAGAAATGAATTTTGGGTGATTTATCAAATTACTGAACAAGTTTTTCTTGACATACTCAGCAGCACGAGCACCACCATGACCTGCAAAGAGTCACAATTACAAAAGTAGTAATCTATTGAATAATACAAGTACACAAACATCTTCATCTGGGAGTATTAAGTTACATATGAAACTTACTTTCTCAATATTGTAAGAAATGGAAAATTTAGAAAAGAAACATACTGATAAAAAAGAATATTAATAGGAACAGCACATAGCATGAGATGAAGATATAAATATACCATCAAAAACTCCGAAAAGGCCAACGATTTCACCATTAACACCATCAATTCTTGTCTCGTAAAAATCTTCCATTGAAGATCTCTTGCCGGGAGAGCTAGCATACCCATAGCTGAATTTTTCATTGTGACTATAAAAACATATCATAACAAATTGTGTCATAATCATCTCATGCAACCTCATATTCTTTAGTTTTTTCCATTTTTAAAAGAACCAGCAAAGAATTTTGCTGTACATTTGAATAAATCGTAATGCCAAAAAGTGTTTCATACAAAATGAATATAGAAAACAAGAATTTGATAGACACAACAAGATTATGCATATCTAAATTAACAGTACGACCACCAAGTATGAATAAAACAAAACCAATACCAACAAATAATGGTATTTATTAAATTCAAAGGTGATGTATATAAATGAGAAAAAAAAAGCACGAAGTTCTTATAAAAAGGAAGATGCAAAATGCGAGAAAGAGTTTAACCTCTGACCCCCACCGCTCACAATTGCATCATCTGCAGTTTTAACCTGGGTTGGAGCAGATAGAATTGAATTGAGATAGCTCATATTACAACTACAAATATTACTTCTTACACCACAATGAACAAACAACACCACTAGATATATTCTTCCTTGCCAATGCTTCCAAGTGATCATAACATTAGTTGGGTCATTTTCGCAAGTTCCAAGTTTAAACCTGCAAATACAGCACGGCAAGAAAAAAGGGTTGAAATAATTTCACAAGGCTTAACAACAAATTTTGCACAAAGATACATAATATTTGTTCAAATATAGATAGTTCTATTGATACAGCTAAAGGCATATAGATGCTGAATCCGTGGTTGAATATTGGAATTTGGGAAAAATTATCTAAGAAGAAAGAGAGAAAGGGTTACCTAAGAAAGAGAAGAGAAAAGAAATGTCATGACACAGAGATGGTATTCTACTCTTTTTATTTGATTGTAGTTCAACCGTGGTAGCATAATCTTCTTGAAGATTAATTAGACATTTTACTTTGAAAAAATGGTCAATCAGAATTAATGAGAGAATGAAAAGTTTATTGGAAAAAGAAGGCAACGAGAGTGTTTATTAATTTATTATTTATTTTTGGTGATTCCTTCAAAGCTGAAAGATTGTTCGGTGATTCATAAAATTTTGATTGTCATGTATTCTAGTCATTCATTTTCTACTAAAATTAGTTGCTTTGTTGCCACATGCCAAAAATAAACTAAGGTTTGAGTTGAACCTAGTCAATGCCAAAAATAAGATATTTTTTTTTTGTCATGCATTATACTCATCCATGTGATGATACATGCCACCTATGTGGTATGCATGACTGTTGACTTGAAATATGTTTTGTGTGTTTTCTTCTATAATATTATTATTTCAATTACGCAACTTTCATTTATGTTTTATTTTTATTTCAGCGGAAAAACGCCAATATTCTTTGTTTGATTTTATATAAATCCTCAAAAATGGAAAATAAATTAAAATAAAATGATAATTTTGTGACAATAATAATAATAATAATAAATTCAGTACAAGAGTTATTAAGTCATACGAAATATATAATAAACTAAAAATAAACATAAAATTACTCTCTTGATATCGGCATCATCAATATCATCTCATTTGACAATTTCAAAGTTGATAAAAATTATTGAATTAAAAAAAAAAGTTTTCAAATTTGATTTAATAAACCAAAATTAAACAAGATAAACCTGTTACATTAAAATCAATAAACTAAATGAATTTTTTTTTCAGAAGCACAATGTTTGTATTTATTAATTTGGATAAAAAATAAATAAAAGTAACTTTTCACAACTTAAATATATAAATAAATAATTATATTTTTATATTATTTATTATATCATAATTTTTATTGATATTTATCTTTATTATAATAATAACAAACTAATTTTAACTTAAAAATAATAAATAAATTTATTTTTATTTGTCGTCGATTGTCGCTCCCCTCCACTCCACCTAATCTACACAGTCTTATTTCTATTTATTTTTATTCTCTTCTTATTTTCTTTTTCTTTAATTTTTTTTTCATCATTCGATTCAAATAAAACATAATATCTCTTTACAATATAATATAATTTCATCATTCTATTAATATAATTTGCATAAGTAATTTTAAAATAATTTTTTGTTGTGATGAATTTCTGAGATTCAATTTATTTAGATATTTTTAAAATATATATCGGCAAAAATATTTTTTACGCAGCGTTTCTAAATTGGACTAATCATGCGTTTTATTTTTATAAAAAACAATTGGGCTTTACTCTTCTGCTTATACGTAAAACATTTCTTTCCGCACAAAAACAAAATATATATTTTACACGAAATTTTAATAAACACTCCTAAAATTCAAACTGTTACTGAAACTCCAAGTATTTTCTTGTTCGTATTAATAAAAATTATTTATTATATTATTGCTTAAGTTGCATTTATTTAAAATAATCTCAATTTTCATCAAAAACATTTAATTAATGAAGTCATTTATTTTTATCAATTATCAATTCAACTATAACTATAACTATAATGATATAAAAAATCCATACGTACTTTCTTATTAGTTCATAATTTTATCCAGATTTTTTATTATTTTATATTAATATGTAACAATTTATCAAACAGTAAAAAATATTAAATTATTATGAATTTAGTCACAATTTGTCTCCTATCTGACTAAATTATAAATTACTTTCTTCACTGCTATAATGACCAATAGAATTTTACAAAAAATTGTTTTTGTACAATTGAATTATTTTTTATATTAAAACTCAAAGCAATTTATGAATACATAAGTTTTTTTTTTTCAATAACGGATCATAAAATTCAAATATATACGGTAATGGTAACATGGCGGTTATGAAAAATAAATTTCCGCAAGTTCCCCATTATGTTAAAGATTTACGTTGACCAAGAAAACTTGTAAAATAACATCCAAAATTTCTTAAGGGACGGCAGAAAAATACGAAAGATGCACAATTTGGGACGCGTGTATGACGAGTGTAAATGTAAAGAATGGAATGTTTATGCTGGCTAAGAATATATTTCTACCTCATTGTCATATTTTGTGAAGAAGTCTGGACAAACAGAGCCAAGAAGCCACCTGTAACTTGTGGGTAGAATGCAAAGCTATAGCTGAAATAATGTCTAAAGCAAATCTGTGAAACTCAGGCCTCATTGCCATCCGAATAAGCATTGCTGTCCACTCCGCTGGCGCCAACTTCACTACCTCACAAAGGTATTCAAACCCTTTTCCAATCCTACCCGGGATATTACGCTCCTGCAACGTACAAATCATTCAGACATGTAGACCATTTATTTGGAAAAACGGTATATATATATAGATATATTCAGCATAGAATTCACGCGAAAAGTACATGCAACTGACGCAACAATTTTTCCCCCTGCAAAAGACACATTGACACAGCCCTACTCAAATAACTTACCCTCAATGAACTGTTTCATTCAAATAAAAAAGAGCAAACTAATGGGGAAGGTGCGGGGAGGACAGTGAATCAGGAAAAAAAAAAATTCTTTGATTAGTTTACCGGGGAGGAGAGCAAATAAAATTAATTTACTATTTCATATATATCTTCGTTGTATTGGTAAGAGTTTCTAAATTTTCATAGACCGTCTGCACACCTCAACATAGAGTAACTTTGGGAGTAGTAAATGAAAGCACTCTACAGCCATAAATACATAAAGGTATATGAGGAATGTCAACCTCCACTCTTTTATGTGGATGTATATCCCAATATAGGGGTTAAGTTATTGGATATTCAGTAACACGATTATTGGTTTAGTTAATTTAATTTCTGCTATCAAATGAACATGGATGGGTTTTGCTGTCCAACTACATGTATGAAGGATGCTAACCTCCATGAAAAGTGAAGAGATTAGAAACTATTTATTCCCTAGAGATATGCAAACGCATGTAGAATATATTTGACAATACCTCAAATAGTAATGTCCTCTGGCCTTGAGGATTCTCATTTAATGCGCAATTAATCACTTCATCTTGCAGAAACACATCAGCTGCTTCTACTATATCCCGAAGAAGGAAAAGACGCACTCTAAGACCCTTCTCAGATAATATGAATAATAAAAGATCTTCAGTGGAATCAACAACAGCGTGCATGTCAAATAATTTCCAAACAGGAGAACTTGAAAACTTTTCAGAATTAGGGTCTCCAGTTATCTCGGACGCTTGTTCAGATATTGCTGCTACCTGAATAAAAATGGCATTCATATTACATACAGTCCAAAGTTGTGAAATAATTTTATCCACGAGTACTCAAATATGAGGGAAGAAATGAAAAGGATCTGCATTTGCAATGCCAAAAAATTTACTCAAAAGGATTAGGTGTTTGAACTCTAATAAAGCACATTTACTTCTATGGAAAAGCAACATAATTCCACCAAAAGTTAATGGCAAAATGCTAGTAACATACTCTATTTGTGTAGTAGGATATTACTATTATTGGATGAAAAACAAATGTCATTAATTAAATGATGTCTCTCACTCCCTGTTTAATGGGATCCGCTCGCATTTCACCCATCAGGGTATCGGAAAGAGGCATTTCTCACACTAATAATGTAATTGTTTGACATCGGGGTCCAGAAGTGCACAAATAAAGTAGGCTACAAATTCATGTCAATGTTACAAAGCAATTACGTTTATTTGGAAAAGTTATGCTGTGAGCATTTTCTTAAAGGGAGAGTCCATATCAAAATATTAGTCCCTTTACGCTTATAAGCCTCACTTATTAGGTGAGACACCCTCATGTGGACATAACAAGTTATGATCTAAATGATACAGATTGGGTAACCTTGTGAATAACTTGCTGGCTTATTTCAAGCAATATTGGGATGAACATATTCACATTACAATTATATCGTGTGGCTGAACAGAAAAAAAAGAAAAAGATCATACCAGGCGCTCTAGCCGGTTCCACCTTATGGATCCATTGTTCCGAATGAGCAGTTCCCTCAAAATTCTTCTCATATCAGGGTTTGGGTCTGCTATAAGTCTCCCGATGACAAAAGGATATGCACTCTCAATTACTTTAAAATCAGGATCCAGAACTTTAGCTGTGCCTTCTAGTGATCCCAATGCTCTTATCACAAGAGCATAATCTGGCGGGAGGGAGAAGTTAAATTCATACATCACATCATATAGTTGGTTCATAATTCCCTGAAATCCAAAGCAAGATTAGACTTTGAAATACTAAGTGCCATTATACCTGGTAATTGTGATTATACCTGGTAATTGTGCTTCAGATAGGAATAAAAAACCATAGACTTTGTTATGGAAGACATTAGCAGAAACAGATCTATGAAATATTAACTAAGGAAATAACTTGAACTTCGAAACCCAGCACCAAAACAAAAAGTAGAATAAAACAAGCCAGGAAAAAGGATGAAAAGAGGATAACAGACACCTAATCCCAAAGCAGAGGTTGCACCAAAGATTTATGCTTGAACATTCAGGCATTCCTATCTGACAATATGCACCAAAATGGTGCATAAATTGTTTACTACTATTTTTTTCCCTCTGAAGACGCCCCCACCCCCACAAATTAAAATATCTAAAAATGCTAAAAATTCTGCTTAGAGAACTAAGACTGATGACCAAAATATATGATGAACACCATACAAAGCAAAAATTGATCCTTAAATCCGTACAGAATGCCAAACAAACCTGAAAATCTTCAGATTCACCAGCCTCGTCAGCGAATGATGCTTTCAGCGCATCAGAAACTGAATGAATATCAATACCTTCAGGAATAAATCCCAAAGAAAGGAAGTCATTGGCCAAGCTCAGAGAATCACGATTAACGAAGTGCACAATCTGAAAGAGAGAGACTTAGTACTAGACAAAGCAATAAAGAAATTATGTATCTCCAGTCCACAAGAAAGTGAAATATAATGAAGAGGAGAAACTTTAAAAGAAAAAAACGTTATGCAGCAACACATGCATTGGAATATTTCATCCAGACGAGCTATTTAAGATGAATGGATCCAATAAATAAAAGGATACCTTATATGTTAGGATAACATGTACATTAGCATCATAAAAAAAGTTCGCAGAAATATGCGACACTTTCTCTTGTAAATTATGTAATAACTATTTGAATACCTTAGATTAAGAAAAGCAAGACTCTGGAGTTAAGTCAGATCTTATGAGAGATCATGAGCACACGATTTGAAAATAAAAGCAATCAAAACCAAACATATCCTTTTGACACTTCTCCAGCATCGCCACAAGTAGGATGACCATCACCAAGTTGACATAAAGCATGCTATTAGATGTAAACCGTAGAATAGAAGTCCAAAAAATCTTATGAAGAGAAAGAAATAATATCCGAGTCAAATGCCAATTATAGGCCATTGAGCAATGTCTATAAAAGGAGATAAAGGGAACATAAAAAATGGCCCAACAGAAGCAAAGGCCAGTGTTGTGTTTGGGACAAGAGGAAAGTAAAAAGGCACAAGAGTGGAAACTTGATGAAAGGAAGTGGAGGAATCAGTTGGGACAGGGAAGTGCTCAACGTATAGCCGCCAAGAGGATACCGGGGGAGAATTAGAGAATAATAACTGTAGTGATGAAGAAAATCAGATGTGGGAGGGTCAGGAACACGAGGGGGTCTCTGTGAATTGAGGTAGAAAAGGTAGTCTTGGGCAGGAGAAGAGTGAGCACTATCATGTAGCATTTCATCTTTTTCTTCCACCCTTTTCTAGTTTTCTCAGTTTTGACTATCATATTTCTGGTTTATCAGAGTATCTACTCTTTGGTGGAATGATCTAAGCTTCATTCCTTTTGCTGAATATTATCCTTAGTTTCCATCAGTTTAAATTTTAAAATATTAAACTTAATTTGAACTTCTCAAACATATTTTTGGAACAAATAAGTTGTCATAAAATGAAGTGGAGATTATAACCAGTCAATTTAAGTTACACCCATTACAGTGGGTAAAATTTAGATATTGCTCACCATTTGAATAAGTCCAATCCGATAATGCCTAGGAATATCCCCCATCATTCCAAAGTCGAAATATGCAAGTGTTCCATCATTTATCGCAACAAGGTTTCCTGGATGAGGATCAGCATGGAAATAACCAACCTCAAGCATTTGCCTCAAAGAGCAGTATAATCCCTGCCATAAAGATGAGGCAAGGGGCATCAGTTGACAGTGCTTAGCATTTCAAGTAAGCATGCACTTAATATGAAGCCCTTAGATATCAAAACTGAGCATTCAATAATATTACAAAAACCTGCAAGCATAGTAAGAAAAAAAATGAACATAGACAGACACAATGGCATAAAAATGTATCATATGTGACCAACAAAACTTGTGTACTTCTTACCTGGTCAATGAGTTCCCTTCTGTTCAAAGAAGCTTTAGCCAAGCCTATTTCATCTGTAAGCTTAATTCCATCTACCCACTCCATAGTCAGCACAGTGGAGCATGTGTAGTGCCAATATATTTTTGGAGCTTTGACAGCATTTGTTCTTCCGTGTTTAACCCCACCTGCATATTTGTTGCTCTGCTTATTAGCACCCCTTGAAAATATTCCTTATAATTTGGGTATAGACCTAATTCAACCTCATAAAACTTGCTTGTTAAGTGAAGGTTGTCCCCCACTTTTATACTCTTTTTAGACTGGACCTCTACGTTAGTCAATTTGGGACTCAGATTTTTTCCAATACACCCCGCACTAAGCTTGGTGCATGGATAATATGATAGACAACCATTTTTAATGGATTTGAGAGAATGATACTATCAGTCTGATTCAACTCTACAAAATCAACTTGTGAGGTGAGAGATATCTTCAACGGGGGCATCCTTCAAAGAAGGTAATATTGTTAGCTGGCATGTAGAAGCTGATTTCGTGAAGTTGAGATGGGTACAAATCCAAATTCTAAGATGATATCAAAATCTATATTAATTCCCTTTGAAAGAGTCACTTCTCATATTATCCACACTCTAAACTCAATAGTGTTAGACATGAAGGAGTGTATTGGAAAAAAAACTTAAGTCCTTCATTGACTACAAATAGAGCCTACAGAGAGTACATACGTGGGAGACAACTCTAACCTCATTAACCGGTTTTTTGATATTGAGAGAACCCCAAAAATCAGTCTACGAATAGTCACCTATCTAAACTGCATACTAAAAAACTAGGCACTATTTAATCAGAAAATGTTTATAACCTAATCACACTACCCTCTTGTTTGAGGACCAATACAGTAAAAATAGAATCTTATGTGTCATTATCCTAGAATTATGCATAGTAACACATGTCTCTCATTTCTCTCGCTTAACATTACACATTAAAGTATTGAGCATTATCTAAAATTTGAATTTGAGATTAAAAAACATGGTTGAATGAGGTACATGCCAAAATTATATCAAAGAAAATACCACTTTAGGTGCAGATGTTTATCTTACTTGCAGACCAACAGTAGAGAGAAGCAAAGCGCTCAGCATTTTTTCCCTCTAGGACATAATCAATTTCATCAAACATGTGCCTGACCTGTTTCATTAATCTACAATGACTAAAACACAATCCAATTGTAATGTAAAATAAAAATAACACTCCATAATAGTCAGCTGGTATAATAGTCATCATACACACAAGTAAAATACTATATTCTGTGTTAGTGTCAGGTAGAAAATAGGTCATACAATGCAGATAATATATTTGAGCTCTGTTATGAAGGAACTCACCATTTCATTTACCGCCACCAATAGATCTTTCCGAGCCTTGGCAAACCGTTTTAGTTGCCCCCCAATCATATGGAATAACAAAGCATCAAGAGTCAATGAGAGTGACATACCAGGTCTCTGTACCTTAACAGCAACCAGCTCTCCAGAATGCAGGTGAGCTGCAACACTTGAAGCAACAAAAGTAAACACTTCAATCTTCCTCAGATATGTAAACATTATTCTAAAATATCAAATTTAAGAATAAGGAACCGAGCAAATATGAAATATTCAAATCAGAGTAAATTCTAAGCTATTTTTGTTGGTAACTCACCTTTATATACTTGCCCTAAGGATGCTGCCGCAATAGGTGTTGGGCTGATGTCACTAAAAATTTCATCAATTGGACTACCAAACTGATTCTCAATAGATCTGATTGCAACATCAGTTGGAAACGGAGGTATTTGATCCTAGCATGAATGACAAAATTATAAGGCTTTATCAATAATACAATTTCACAGAAGACAAGAGCATAGTCATGGTCAATAGATGCACCTGCAGTATTTGATTACATGCTTTAAGTACAATGGAAGATGTCACTGTACCTGTAACTTGGCGAGTTCTTGGCAATATATTGTTGGTAATATGTCAGGCCGAGTGCTCAATGCTTGCCCAAGCTGGAATCACAAATGGATTAAGTCAAACATAAGAGAGCTACACTCGTGATATATTTAATACATGTTAAATACTAATATTTGTTCTGTTCAATGCATATATCATCATAATGACAAGGTGGGAAAGAAGGAAAACAAAAATTTTGGACGCATGACTATTGCATTTTGAGGTAAAGGAAAACGTGGATAAAGAAAACTAAATATCTCAAATTAAAACAAATAATGGGAAAAATGGAGATTTTGCCAGGAAATGTATCAAAAACTTGAAACAGTCAATTAATTTCGTAACACAAACCAGATACGAATTTATTTTAGAGTCAGAGAAGAAGCTTGTATGAGAAAGAGAAAATGATACTAACATAAAGTGCATATATTAAACTAACATCAGCAAAGATCATGTATAGTATGGAAAGAGAAACGAAAGAATGAACGGATAATGAAAGCAGAAACCAAAGGAAATAACCTGTGAGAAAAACTTGCCTTAATGTAGAAAGGACCCAAGCGTATTAAAGTTTCACGAAACTGCAAAAAAATTATATATCACTGCTTATTTAAGCCAGTTCTCCATAAGTAAAAAAATAAAATAAAAATGAATCCACATACTTCCCCTGCTGGAAGAATTGCAAGTGGAAGAAATATCAGTGGTTTTGAATTTCTTATAATGCTTAAACATACTGCTGACATTTGATCTCTAAATCCTTTTTCATGGTTTCTCCAACAGTTTTTCTTGGTTTTCATCTATCTTAAAGGTATACTGCTAGGCTTCCAAAAGTTATCTCCAGGTCTATAACTTCCTATTTAATTACTCTTTACACTCTAGGATAGACCCATATCATCCAAAAAAAGCAGTTTACTCACAACAGAGGAAATTACACAATGCTCAATTACAAATACCTTTATGGTCGAGACACTATATCTAATTGATAAGCATAATCAGAGCTTGCATAGTGAGTGAAAATGAGAGACAAAAGAAGTGGCTGCAGTATTGTCTCTATGTCTATTGTGTTCTTAAGACTCCATTTTACTATTTTGTTTCCCCAACTTCTAAAAGATTTCCAATAAAGAAGCTTCCTTGAATTTTTGTTCAACCAATTAACTGGTTTTAATCCTCTCCAACATTCGGCAATTTACTGGATTTTTTTCTTAAGAAACTGATTCTGGTTCAAGTACACAATAAATTGACCGGATTAAACCTGTTACCCCAAACCAAAAGTAATGTGCGCTCATTCCGCAGTGTATATGCAAAACTATAAGAAAAGCATTGAGAAAAGATGATGTTCACCTTAACAGCACGTTTTTTCATGTCTTGAACAAATAATTGCCATAACATTAGCCTTAACACTTGAAATGAAATAGTTGCTGCCCTGTACAAAGCCAAAAAGGGGCCAAACCGGTAAATAGCATTGAAACTCTTAGAGCTATAAGTTCCAAGAGCATGCCCAAATTGGTTTTCAAGCGATTCGCTCCTCATCCTCGCATACTCAGCAGAGGGCGTTTCGCCATGTACGCTGGTGAAGCCAGTTGAATATCTGCCGTAGCATCCACGACGAACGAAAATTCGAATATCATAAAACGGACCAAAACTCGATTTCATGTTAATCGGATGTGCACGGAAGAAAAAAAATATCAACTCACGAATTTCGATGCAGTAAGCAAGACGAGGAACGGCAGTCCAGCGGCACGCATTTGCGCAAGATAATGTCAGTGAAACTCTCGTGATTTAAATCTGCAAGGGAAAGAAATCTCACTACAAAAATAGCAACAATAACTAACGGCCACTAAATTCTAAGTAAACTATAAAACAACGAATCAATCGGATAGTTTGTATAGAGTTGTGATCATAGGCAACAATACACGCGGACTTAAGAATGGGAGCGCGGTGACGGTAGAGAGCGGCGAAGGCATTCCTCGTCATCGATATGTAGCGGATACAAGTTCAGTGGAAAGCATGGGAAAACGCTGAACACCAGGTGTTTGAGAAAATGCATAGATGCGACCAATTATTCATTGGTTTGATTCGATGAGTAGCTGCGGCGAGTGTGTGTGACTTTCTTGCGAAGCTGAAAGCCGAGGAAAACTGCCACGTCCGATGTAAGGTAAGCACAACACCTGACACTTGGCACCCATTTTCGAACCCCTCTTCTTGAATTGAGATTGGATTAACTTATCATTGTTATTTATTTATAACTCCAACACAAATATTTTTCATTTTATTCAAATAATTTAAGTTTATTAATTATAATCATAATTAATTTAAAAATCACGGTGAAACTATTTTTATTGATTGACAATATGAATATTCTCATTATAATAGATTAAATCATGAACTATGACTTAATCTCACACTCACAAACTCAAATGATTGTCAACAAAATTAACACATTTCACGTGAGTTCGAAAACACAAGAGCAAAGAAAAAAAAATTGGGGAAGAAAGATAAGGTGAGAAAAGATGCAATGAAATTTATAAATTTATAAAAGATAAAAAATGTAATACGAAAAAGAAAAATAATAAATAATAATAATAATTACTATTATTATGGATCTATTTATGGTTCTCTCAAATTTTTATAATATATATCTTTGTACTTGTAACGTGTTCCTCTGGGATCATTGTGTGTTGGTTGGGGAGACGGGGATTTGTGTGATTGGAAAAGAAGGGAAAGGGAATATACAAATCGGTGCAATCGCCGTTAGAAGTAAAACGAGAATATCGCTTCCTCGCGTTTCGGAATTACAGAGTGGAATGGCGTACGAACAACACAAACCGACGCGACCATGGATCCAGGACGCAGTTCCTTTGTTAGTGGTTCTTCTGATAGCAACGCATGTCCTCGCTATGGTCATTTCTCTTTCCACACATCCCTCTCAAATTCAAATAAATTTCACCATTTCTATCTCTAATCACTCTATGTTTATTCCATTTACTGCAGGTATATTGGATTTATAGGTTAGCCACCCAGAAACAGCCGCCTAGGAGAAAGGCTCACTGAGGGTGAAGGTTCGTTATTGGTGAACCCTAATTTACCTCCTACGAAAATGTTAGCCACCATAGAATATCTTTAGGCTTTATTTTATAGGAGTTGTTTGATAATGATCATAGCATTTACTATTTCACTTATTGCAAATGGATTAAATTCATATGCAGCATCTCAGTGTTGCTTCCACACTGTTTATATCGTTCGGATTTTAATTTATTCTCTCTTGTAGAGCATGCTTCTAATTTAGGTCATTTATTGGGTGGGTTTTTTTTTTTTCTGCAACCCCTGTGTTGATGTATACCTTTGCATTCTGATTTCTTAGAAACAAATAAAATCTAGTGTTTTCTTTACTCGGTGAATTACTCTTAAGAAGACTAGTTTTTTTGTCCCTGTAAATGTTCTTTCTTGCACAACCTCTTTACAATTTCCCATCACCAATAGGATAGCTCGAGCAGGTTGGGAGAAGTAAAATGATTATCTTATCTGGCTCTCCATATTTTGTTCCTGATGAATTTTTCTTAAAGTTTGCGTGAATGTGTATGTGTGTTATTTAATGATACGGAGCATGCGTAATGGAATCTGACTATAGCAGGGTATAGTACTGCAGACAATTATCCTACTACTCTAATTTTTTTATTTGGAAAACTACTACTCTATTAGATGATATGAACAAGTTTGAAATAGGCTGTTCTAAAATGTAAACCAAGGTATGCAAGCAATGCAATCAAGAAAAAGTTAAATCAAGCAATGCAAAGCCATGACATATCAGTAACCTGCACTTAACAAACCCCACCATTTTCAGTAATGCTCCATCACCCCAGTCTAGTAGTTGGAAAACACACTCAACCACCGGCCACACACAAAAAAAATCTTAGGTTGGTATGTTTGAAATATTTGATGTGTAATTGAAACTAAGTTGTTTTCAATCTTCAAATCGCGCTTTAAATTGTCATTCAGTTTGTGAGTGACATTAAGAAAGAAGTTGAACTGAATATGCTCAATAATTGATTGTGCTATTCCTGCGAGTGCCCATCAGATTCTGGTATATAGTATAAATTACCCTTTGCAACTAACCGAACTACAATGTCCCTTGGCAACAGAATAGGATATTGCATTCCCCTGATTATTACAATTGTTGATAGGATTAAAGCCTTGGAAGTTTATTTTCCTTGCAATTATATAAACTCGCCATTTTTCTATCCAAACTTACAAAGCCACTGCTATATTCGGTTTTCTCTCATTGGAATGTATGTTTGAATTTCTTGTGGAATTATTCATGTTTGAGAAACATTCTCAGATGATTCAAGATTGGAAAAGTAGTTTACACAGAGTAGCTTTTCTGTTAAATGTGATGCCATACGAGCATACAAAGGATGTTGATGATTTATCCGAACACCCTATAAGTGAAGTTTCATTAATTTCATTAAAAGATAGATTAAACCTAAAACAATTGGACGAAGTCGCTAGAAAATACACGATAGAAGATTTTTCCTCACCGTACAATTTATTTATTTGCAACCATTCTTAAGGTATATATGTCCTCCTAATGTTTTTTAAATTTTAAACAATTCTTAGGATTATTCACGTCCATGAAACGTTAGGTGAGTGTATAGTTATTGTTGCCTTCAAAGGCATATTGTCATTGCTAGTATTAAACTATAGATAGATTTGATGACAGTACAGCTTTTATTCAAGGCCAAGTTCATAGGAGAGATTTCTAACAAGCAGTGCCCTAACCATATGAATCAATAAAAATTAACAATAAGCTAATATATATGTTAAAATAAAAAATATTAAAATTAATATTATTTTCATATATGAAAATTAAATAAGTGAAATTATAAAATGATTTATGTTATATTTTTATGGTGGATAGTCTATTTCATGGAAAGGTCCTCCCACAACGACAAGACAAATAAAAAGGAGAGAGAATGAAAGAAGTTTCCGTAATGACGTGATGCTTAGGTGGTTTGGTTTGTTTGTCGAAGGGATGTGGCGGTGCGAGTGAAGTGGCATACAGGGGTGGATGGATCCAATTTTGATCAACGGTTGGGGGTGGTTTGGGTTTATACGAAGCTAGTTTCACTTCTATTCTACATCTTTTCCCTACTCTTCCCTCAAACCTACTATCTCAATACGTGTCCCTTTCTTACGCACCCACGCACAAAACCAACCTTTCCCCTTCCATCTAAATTACTTTGTTATCCATCCATTTCTCATCAAACTACTGGCAACTATCCTAAAAACATAGGTTTCTATACTTTATATTAATTCAAAACATTTTTCAAAAGTTAAAAAAACTAAATCTTCCTACATTTCTTTTCAATGAGAAAATAGAGAAGTCTTGGACATGATTGATTGAAAGAAAACTTATTTTCTCTTTTAAAAAAAATACAAGTAGTAAATACCTTTTATTAAAAGTTTTAAATCTATTTTTATGCTGCAAATTAGAATACAAAACTTAAACCCTACAGAAAAAATTACCACTTACTAAAAATGAATAAGAACACGAGTTGGGACAATTTTTTTAGTCCTCCTCAGATACCTTGTCTTTATAATGCAAATTACCATAAGATATATGTTTAGTTACTCCAAACTAAGCTCATTTATTAAACAATTTTATTCGGTCAAATAATTAATTTATATTTTTTTATACTTATAAAAATGCTTTTTATAACAAAAGCTGACAAACTATCAAAACAACTTATTCTTTCAATAAAAACAAATATATTTTTTTTGTTTTAATTGTTTTTAAAAGTTTAAAAAATCCCCAAGAAATTGAAAGTAATATTAAAAAGAAAAATCACTCGCATAAAAGTGGTTCATAATGTAGTGAATGGCCCCTAACTTAATGTCATTAATCAACTATTAAAGTTTGAAAAAATTCAAATTCATAAGTTAATGTACCCAAAATAAATATCACATGACAAAAAATATCGTATAAAAAATATTACAGGAATTGCTGAATGTTCACTATTCCGATGACCATTGTCAAAATCCGAGTTAGTTTTTTTTTTTTTTAATGTTTTGATAGATTGAGAGAATAACATATGTTATGCGTAATTTATGAGTATTTTTTTCTTTCATTATAGTAATAATATTCAAAATTTTAAATAAATAATTATTAAATACACAATGAAATTACTTTTTCATAGTTTGAAACTCATTAAATATCATAAAGTTGTATGAATCTCGTATTTTATTTAATGCTCTTTTTTCTTATATTATATTTATAGTGTTTAATAAACTTCATCAACAGAGAAAAAATATATATTTTTTAACTGCTAATAAAAATATTCTCACATTTGATAACAAAAATTTAAATCTATAATATAAAAATTAGTACTTTTTTTCACGCGGATAATTTAATGTATATGCACCATGTGTACATTTAATGATCTTTCTCTTATTTTGGTAAAGAGTATTTACATAAGAAAATTAATTATGTTACTATTTTTATCTCATATATCAATAATTAGATTTATTAAGGAATCCTAAACCATAAAAAAGGAAAATCAATTTCCATGATTTTCCTAATAAACTATTGACACAATAAAGATAAATATTTACATTTGTGGATAAAAGTTAAATGGATGATTTGTTGTTGCTAAAAAAAATCAATATAATTAAGATGTATTCAAATACGAACGAATAGTAGAGGTTGTACATTGGTACTGTAAAGTAGTATTTTTTTTAAAAGGAATTTAAAGTAATTTTATACTTATATCAAATATGTATAAATTTATTTTTTATATATTTTTTTACTTTTGTTATAATTATTTATAAAAAAATATTAACAACATTTTGTATAATATAAAATTGTTTGGAAATCACATATTGCAATAAAGAATCTTCAAATACCCGTAAAATTACATATTTTGATAATTTGTAATAAATTTAATTAATAAAAATTAAAATAAATATAACTCTGTCTGCTTTTAGTTTTTAAAAAATATTTATTATTTTGAATTATTTATATTTTAACCATCTTTTCTTTGTCTTATTATAACTATGATGGGTGAAATGTTAAAATAAAAAATAAATAATATAATTAAGAAAAAAAACAAAATATTTTAAATTATGGTAATTATACATTTTTGGATACATATAATTGAGTTGTATTCCTTATTTATTATAAATAATGTAATAATATATGTTGTTTTTAGTTTTAATTAAATAATTTAATTTTAATATTGTATTTTTATTTTGAATTGTTATATTTTACATAACATTTATAATATTTTTCTATATATCATTTTATATTATAATATTAAATCATTATAAAATAATATTTAATATATCGTAAACAAATAATATTTTCTCTAAATAATATTTTGTATATGTTTTATATTTGTAATCAGTAATCATAATATATTAAAATTATATATAATAATATTTTAAATGTCAACAAATATTATCTTTTTTTAGTTTCTCTAAATTGTTCATTACTCTTAAGTCTTTGATATGTTGATAGCATTTTTGTTTTGTTTTTATTATTAGTTAAAATTAGTTAATTTCCAATAATATAAAATATTAATTAAACAATTGCATTGTTTTTAAGTGTATATTTTAATTAAGTGATATCTTGTTAAAAAGTTTTCTCCAAGCCTACCCTAAAGATATCGTTTTTTTTTTAATCTAACATTTCCACCAATCTTTACCATCACATGCAAGGATAAAAGAAACATTTTTAATCATATTTAAAAATAGAATTCGAAGATAAAATGCCTAAAGCTCGTATATAAATAAATATTATGTAAAAAATAATTTATATTTTAGTTAACGTAAAAAAAATCTATATATAAAATAAATATTTATCACGTGTGAAGAAGTGTCATGGAGAGTGAAGAAGAGGGAAGAGAAACGTGTGGCGTTATTCGTAGATTCGACGAAACGCAAGGGTATTTCGGTATTTGCGTACTGTTTTCTCTTTCACTTGATCCTCTGATTCATGTACTAAATACCAGAACACGATAAAGGGAGCAGAAGCAGTATTTGCGTCGTGTTCTGTTCTCTTCTGTTCTTCTTCTGTTCAGTCACCAAACATAAAAATCACTTCGCAAAACCCAAACCAATCTAAATGACATGAACGCCTGCTTCCAAACCTAGCCGCTATCGCCGCCATGTCCCTCACCACCTCCTCCGCTCACTGGACCGCCAACGCCGTCCAAGGCGGATTCCTCCGCCCTGTCGACCTCGACTCTGGCACTAATGGCTGGGCCTCCCCTCCCGGCGACCTCTTCCTCCTCCGCTCCACCAATTATTTCACCAAACGCCAAAAATCCCCCGCCGGTGACTACCTCCTGGCGCCTGCCGGAATGGACTGGCTCAAATCCCAATCGAAGCTCGACAACGTTCTCGCTCGGCCCGATAATCGCGTTGGCCAGGCCCTCCGCCAGACCCAGGCACAAGGTAAAGCCCTCAAGAGCTTCATCTTCGCTGTCAATCTCCAGGTCCCGGGGAAGGAACATCACAGCGCAGTGTTTTACTTTTTCACCGACGAACCGGTTCCCTCCGGTTCGCTACTCGGGCGGTTCATCGAAGGCGATGACGCGTTCCGGAACCAGCGGTTCAAGCTGGTGAACCGAATCGTGAAGGGACCATGGATCGTGAAAAAAGCGGTGGGGAATTATAGCGCGTGCTTGTTGGGGAAGGCGCTGACGTGTAACTATCACAGGGGACCGAACTACTTCGAGATTGACGTGGACATTGGGAGCAGTGCCATCGCCAACGCTATCCTGCGCCTCGCGTTGGGCTACGTGACCAGCGTCACCATCGACATGGGATTCGTCGTGGAGGCGCAGGCGGAGGAGGAGCTCCCGGAGAGGCTCATCGGAGCTGTTAGGGTTTGCCAGATGGAGATGTCCGCTGCCACCGTCGTAGATGCGCCCAACGCGCCGCGCGGCAACAAGGTCAACCACCTCAGTGGTAACGACGAGCAAAAACTTTAGAATTTAAAAATAATAAAAATTAACAGTGTATTTTTTTTTTATATATTTAATGTTTATTTAGATGATTTAATTTCGTTTCACCAACTTCTTTGTCCTCGTTCTCGGTGTAATCTTAGGCTCTTTTTTCGGGGAGTAATAAATATTCACCTGAATTTCGGTCCATTGGAATTACTGCTATTACTTTGTTTTTCGATTTTACTTGGAAAACTGGTATTAGTATGAAAAGGGAACAACCAAAAGGTTTGGATTAGTAATGCATTCAAGAAATTGTGATTGTGCACGTTGGGGTTGTGGCATTTTTTTATGGGATGAGAGAGGACAGGTTTGGTCGGTGAATCTTTTGGTTGGTGGGCGGCTAGTGAGGTGGGTAGGTGCTGGCTACTGGCTAGGAAGGAAATGTAGTGGAGTGAACCTCACATGGTGTGGAAAAGTTGCATAAAACTTACCACTACGAAACACTTTTTTAGTAGGTTGAAACTTAGAAATTATAATATTTTATGAAAACGATTCACTTTCATTTTTATTATTTTTCATGTTGTTAACACCATCTTATCTACGTAATGTGCTGATATCAAAATTTGTTTGAAGAAGATTGTGAATGTATTGATCATTATGCAATGGGTGCTTCGACTTGTTTTGGTTTGGTTTGGTTTGGTTTTTTTATGGTCGTTAATTCTTTTAAATTATTGATAAACAAAGGGTGTTAATTTTGAGAATCAAACAGCACACTAAACGTACCTTTTATGTCGTGTTAAGATCTTGTATTCTATTGGACGATAACATTGATAGATGCTGGGATTATGGGACGGCGATGATGATGACGGCGATTAGTATTTTATGGGTTATGCTGTCTTTTTGTTCAGAATATTATTAGCTTTAAATCAAAACTGTACAAAAAAAATAAAAGAATATATCTTTGAAAGAGCTTGTGGTTTTAATTTGGAATGAATGAAGAGGTGGATGTTTAATTTAGTCACAGAAACTACAAAAATGAAGTAAAGATGGTTTGGTTATAGCTTTAATCAGGGTTTTCTTAAATGTGTCTTTCATTTTGGATGTTTTCAATTTAATAATTTACTAATTACGATTATGGAGATGTATGATTAAGATCAACAATGACCTTTTGTCTCACTGTCTGTTGTTTTTTAGTGTCAAAATTGTTTTATTTCCTCCTCGTTCACTATGCCAAACTTTTTCAAATCAACTTTTCTGAGAAAGTGGCGATACCTTTGCTGTTGCTTGTTGGAATACTTAGTAGAAATGAGTAGAAAAAGAAAAAAAAAATCACTAGTTTAAGTTTTTTTCTTAAGGAAAAAGGATCTTTCCATGAATGAACTTGCAGAAAAGTAATTTTTTTTCCCTAGCATATGTTGAAATCAACTTGTCATTGGATTCATACCAATTATCGTAGCTCATGATTTGTCTTACAGAATCTGATTCTACTTTTAATTCCTTCTTTTAATAAAAACGACAATTGGTATTTTTGAATATGAAAGCAAAATGAATCAAAGCAAGTTGTTAATTGTTACCTCAGGAAGAGGAAAAGCGATTTCAAAACCAATCCTGTGGGGCGCCCAAAAAAACGCTGATTTTTCTGGAAGTCCTAAACAGAGCTTTAAGATGTTCAATTACAGTTTCTCTCTCAGGAGAAAACTAGAGTTTTCTCCCGAATACATTCCCCTTTATTTATCCAATTACTTTAAGATTATTAAATGAAAAATTAAAATCATCATTCTTCTTCATGAAATATTTTCCGTTCATCCACTCATCTATCTCATTCTTCTCTCGACATCCTCCCCTTCTCTCTGTCGTGCGTTGCCTGATATTCCAAACAAAGAAATGCAACAGCAAAAAAGTTAGGATACCAGTTCCTTTCTTTCATACCCACTAACTAGCATGACCCTACATTACAATTGAATTTAAGCACGACCTTATTTAAACAACATAAGAAGACTGTGTCGAGCCAAAGTTGATGGAAGTATTGAAAGAAATGATCCTTCATAATTCGGTATAGAAGGTTGTCATGAAAAGTTCATTTATTAAACCCATTTTCCATATCATGAACTGAAGTCACGGAAGTTGCAACATTTCTGCATAAGTGTATGGATTAGTTAAAGAAATGTATCACCACCAGATAAAAACCAGTGAGACAACATTTTTCCTACTTGCAGATATAAACTACAGAAGAGATTATTTAGTTCATAACCACTAAAAACTTCTCAGTAGGATTCCATTCAACATCCGTGGCCATAAAATGCTCAGTTGTTGCCATAGTTTCAAACTTATCAACATCATAAAATTGAAGTTGTCCATTTAAGCCTTTCAATCCTGCAAATATTATGAAGTAACCGACAGGTGACCAGAAAAGAGGAACTTGCTTACTTGTCCTCGAGAGTTGTGAGATTTAACACTCGGCCAGTGTCTTGAGCATTTTTCATGGAGCAAAAATTGACATCACGCCTTGGGCTATCATCGTGAATCACAGCAAACCTATGCCCCTTTGGCTCCCACCCAAATGCAATGACGTTGTCATTTTTATTCTCAACCTCCAACACTTCTATGGGTATATGGGTTTTTCTTGCTTTTTGGCACAATGATCAACCTTTACAGCAAGGTATACTCTCCACTGCTTAGCCATTACATCTTGCAATCACTGACACTGAAAGATTCTTCTGTTTGAGTTCCTTTTTCCTAGGGATCTGAACCAAACTCACCTACAAGAGATGGCAATAAAGAACATAGACATGGCAGTGCTCCAACCATGTATAATAAAATAATAAAAAGACAAGCAAATTCAGAACATAGATTTAGAGTTCCAGGGCATTGATTAAAGCTGTTCACAGCGTTTCCTGGAAAGCAAGTCTGGAAGATGGTGTGATTAAGGTCCAGTTTTTCTTTGATCCATACCTATTGAAAACATACTTTGTTCGATTAATAATTCTGAAAGGAGAAAAAGGAGCGAGCAAATAAAATTAAATAAAAAATATTACAGATAAGTAAATAAAATATCAAAAATAAAGAAAGAAAAAAAATTTCAGCCTTTTAGACTAATCTGGCATATTTACTTTGAAAATGAAATATATACTAATTTGAGAGAGAGAAATCTTGTTATTAGTAAAAAAGAGAAATGTAATAGAATAAAATAAAAAGGGGATAAAAATTGAAGTTTTTTACCTAGGAAGGAAGGAAGACACTGTCTCTAATAGATTTTTTATTTATTTGTTATTTTCAAAATTTAATATAACATTAATTACCTTTTTTTCATCAATTATACATTCTACCTATACTTAATTTAACTTATACAAATACAGTTATTATAAACAGAAATTGAAAAAAAAAAGAAGCTAGAACCCTCAAATTACTAAAATCAATTTAATTCCATTTCTTGAATTTTATGAAAAAACTTTAAAATAAAAATAAAAAGAAAGGGAGAGTAACTTTGTTAAATTGTATGTATTGGTACTTTTTGACCTAATGCATCCATGTTGAGCATGCCAGGTCAGCACAAAAAGGCTACAAGGCAACTTGTGATTTTTTCTCCAATTACAAATCATAATGTTATCAAGTCATGTCATAACATCTTAATATATTAGTCAAACTAGACCATTTCTGAAAATATAGATCAGAGGAAAACAAAGAATGGAGAAAGAAGTAGGTACAAGATAAATAAAACCATTAGAGACACTACTTTGGGATGGTATCATTTTCCATAATAATGCTTAAAGAACTTTGCTTGCTGCACCAATTTTTTTCCCTTATGCATTAGTTGATGCACAAGATATTCTAATTTCACCCTCATCACCAGTTTTTGCTCCAACACTAGTCAGCTTCAAGAACGACTGACCCCAATTCTCAAAAAAATGCTCTTGATCATTTGCAAAGCCCTCCACTAATATCCTTGTGCTATCATTGCTTATCAAAACAGAATCTGATTGGAACAGACCCTTGTGAGCCAGAAGATTTTGGTAGTACATATTGTCAAAGACCACAGATGTCTGAGGATCATTGTTCACTGTTACAGATGGTTGGATACCCGCTGGACACTGTTCCATTAGCACATTAGCATAGTCACTGTCAAGGGTTTTGTCAATGAGCCTAAGCTTTCCTGTTGAATCTTCTTGAAAACGATCCCTGAATGAGCTGCAATGTGCTGTGCCTATGGTATGAGCTCCTGAAAAGCTTAAATATCACTGCATAAGTATGTGTAGTACTAGTATGATTTCAAAGCAAACAGTGTGAAAGGTTAGCACATTCAATGGTTGACAATGAGGTATAATGTAAGGTGCTTATGTCAAGCACCTTTGTTTGAATATATCCAAAATATAGAAAGAGAAACAAGCCAATAATGTTTTCAAAATGGACTGAACTAGTTGAACCATGATATCCCTGTTTCTTTTAGGATCATATTTGATTTTGTCCGATTCCATATTGGTTACACCATTAATTTACACAGTTGAAACCACTCAAAGCATGACCTTAACTACTATATTCAAGTAAATTTGATATCAGTTGAGTTCTCATCTACAAAATCCTCTATAGCAGTTCTATCGACCAGAATGTCTTATTTATTGGAGTTTACTTGAAAACAAAACACTGAATGGTCCTATTTTGGACATAGAACATGCACCTGAAAGGACTACAAGATCAAGTAAGGATAATCCTTTGGTGGCAAAGAGTTGAACCATCTCATCCATTGAAAAACTGGTGTCCACAATGTTGGGTCTGACATTAGAAGCAACTGAAACCATGCCATCTCTCCTACCTGTAGGAATCATAATCCTAGGTCCACCAGCCTGTTAGTGCCCTTCAGTTAATAACCGTACCAAAGAGATGTCATGTCAATATATACCATTGAAGAACATCATGCATGCAATGAGGCAGAACTTACTATTTCAACAGCATCTCTAGCAGCTATAGCTATTATGTCCGCACAAGAGACAGTTCCAGGGCAGAACTTCTCAAGTACCCTTTTTGCTGAATCTATTACTGAAAATCCTCCAACAGACCTATTTCCTGGATCACTTTGTTCTGTATTGTTACCTTGTAGCATCAAAGAGGCATCACATCCCTGCATATAAAGTGTTCCATTACATCAAGGAAAATCATTGTAAAGGCATACAACATCTGAGCTCATTCTCACTTCAATCACATTTGAATTTTCCATTATATAATTGGTTCAAATCTGGTGAATGTTTAATTAGGACACAAGTTCCTTAGGAGGGTTATGATGAAACAAATTAAACAGAAAATGTATCTCAAGAAAATGATTCATAGCTGAATTAAGTAGTTTAGAATCAAAAGAAAAACACATTTCATGAAGCAGTTGAATACTAACCTCCACAAAGCAATCATGGAAAACCAAGCGAAGGAGCTTTCCAGGAATAGAAGGATCAGTAGAAGTGGATGAGCTAACAGTGCCTCTTACGATTAACTCAGCTGATGGGCATGAATCTGCATAGAAGTTGAAAGAGAGGCTACCCTTTACAAAGGAAACAAAAGAAAACATAAAAAGAGAAGAGATTGCTATGGAAAGAATTCCTGTTCTTGACTCCATAGAACCAATTTTTAGTACTTTTGGGGTAATGCATTGAATTTGCAGAGTCTTCCACTTGAAAATGATACAATACCAGAGGAAATGTAACTAGGAAAACGTGCATATTTAAAACTACATTTATGCGGTTGGGTGAAGTCAGTAGGTAGATAGAGAATTTGGTTATGCATTTCCCCGTCACTAATTACTAGATGGCTTCTTTCATCAAGCATTATTTTTGTAGAATTAATATGAAATGCTCAAGAATTGTTTTTGGTATTTTCATTACCTGTTATAAACTTTAAAGAACTTCTTCATTTGATTTAACACTTTTTCAGATTACAACATAAACTACATTGCTCACTGAACAAAAATATCCTAATTGATCAATGAACCGGAGGAAATTTAATTTAACCAACTACTTGGTCAGTGATTAACAATAAATTAAATCAGATTGTCATGTTATAAACAATTATTTAACACTTATGTACAAATATTATAAGAAAAAATAGATTAAAATTGTTCATATCACATATATATATATATATATATATATATATATATATATATATATATATATAGAGAGAGAGAGAGAGAGAGAGAGAGAGATAATAATTTTAAATAATGATAACACACATATATTTTTAAACTTAAAACAAAATACTAATACCCATTTTAAAAATTATCTCGTAACTAATTCAAATGAATTTGGGTGAGTAATTCTAAATAAATATACATCGTTTTAATTTAGTATGACAAGGAGAGAAAACATTAATAACAAAAATGGTATTGCAATGGACACTCAAATAGAAAGAAAACTCATATACAAACGTAACATTCTGAATGGGTGAAAGATGATTAAATATACATAATTTAATGGCATATACTCTCCATCTCCATCAAACATTTTCCTCTTACTCAGAAAGAAATGGTTCTCTGAAAGTATCGATAATAACATGCCTATAAAAAAAATGAATATAAATTTTAGTTTTAGTAATTGAAATACCTACAACATTATTCATACAGGTTCAACAATTTATGATTTTTGTTTTAACATGACAGACCTAAAACTAAATATTATATACTACTACTTACACTTTTGTAACGATTGATATATGTTACTTAAATTTATTTATGGTTTAATAATAAAAATAGGACTGAAGTAATGTAAAATTATTTGCAATTAAAAGTGTTAAACGTGACAAATTGACCATGCTTATAATTTACAATATGAATTAAATTTAAAATTTCAGTTTTATGAAAATTAGAAAAAACCATGGACAATTGACATTAGTAACAAAATAAAAATTATTTGTTCCCTACAAATGCATCAGTTTTACCTATGAAAGAAAACCAAAAACTATGTTGCATTTTAAATTTAGCATTTTAAAAAGCCAATGTTCGTATATTAGATTCATATTCCAGGTCTCAAAAAAATGAAAAAAAAAACTTCAAAGAATAAAATGCAGTGATAATTTATTAGAAAATGAAAAACTATTTATCATAATTAAACACGTGTTTAAGGAATTATGAAGTTGTTGAAATCAATAATTATAACTGCGTTCTCAAAAACTAACGACGGCATTTTATTTTCTATAATGTATCCTCGGTAAGCCTCAACTTATTTAAAAATATATATATATATATATATATTCCTCTAAATAAGTTGAGATAAAACAAATAATCTTAGTCATTTTAGAATTAATATTTTATCGGTCATGATTTGTTAAAGTAATAACAATTATTATTTTTTCTCATAAATAAATTTAATTGTTATCTAAAGTAATTCACATTTTACTGTTTCTTTCGAAAACTATGTTAATCTAAATGAGATTTTTTTACACCAAAGATATTCGCTAACCAATAATCAGAGAAATGGGCATTCTTTTTACGATGCAGAAATCACCGAAGTTAGTTTGAATTTTTAGTTTAAAATTTAAACTTTTCCAGTTGAATTAAAAAGGCATAAAAACGACATATCTTAAATCTTACTTATTTTCTTAACCCCCACCATTTTATAATCTTATAATTGTCTTTCAATCCTTAAATGTATATGAGATTTTAAATCCAAAAGAAAAGTATGGTTTCTGATCTTTGAATACCAAGAGATGGAAGGGGAACCGCAGTACAGAATTCCTGCAATTATTAATAGCAGCAAATCCCTTGAGAAAAGCTGGTTGAGAAAACGGCATTAAACAGCAGTTATAAGAAAACTGGAGAGACATTATGAAAAGAGCTTTCATTTTATAGGAAAAATGATCAGTTAATAATATTATAATATACATGCAACTTAACTACAGATTAGTGGGTATGAAAATCCACAATAGCGAATGCCCCATCAAGAGTCATTATCGTCTGTAAACACTAGGCATAAAATGCTAGTTGCAGATAATTACCAATTCAGTATGTGAATTTGAAACGACGACAGGTCACAAATTTGGGAGCTCTTTATCGTCGTCATCATCATCATCCACATCGTCAATGGGAATTTCCTCGTTATCATCACTAATTCCTAGAAATGTATACTAAGTCGTTAGCTGAAAATGAAAAAATAAAATAAAATAAAAAATTCAAATTTATACTTACAATTACAATACTAGAGCAATGCTATCAACAAAAATTTGCAATCAAAATTATACACCAATTCAAACGTTTTAAGTCGTCCCCCCAAAGAAAAAATTACATTATCTGAAAATGTAGCCATTTATGGTTATTGGTTGCCAGTGCAGTGTGGTATCATGTGTATGGTTATTGCTTGCCAGTGTAAGTACACCCATATGTTCTACTCTTACATAAAATTAGCATTGCAAATATAATAAATCTTTCGAAGGACCAGTTTGGGCCGATTGGAAAGATAAGTCGTCCAACTTATATTGGTAGAGGCCTATGAATGAAGGAGGACTAGTGAAAGACATTCTAAGAAGCCATCCTAAAGTTGGTAGGAGAAAATGTCACTACGAGGTGACCAAGCAATACGAAAAAGCTTCCCCTTTGGCAGTGACCCAATCTTCAACAAAAACACTACCAAGGGCAACATCAGTTAAGGACGCGGCTAATATAAGACAGACCAATGAACATGGGGGGTCACCCCATAACTAGACTTAAATTCCACATGTATCCTCTATTTCTGTTTCGTTATAATATCATTAAAAAACAAAAGTGCAAGCTGTGATAGAGTGTAGTAGATCAAGGACTGTGACTATAGTCAGAAGAGTTGCCAGCCCATATGGCTCTTCTGATCTTCTCCACAGGAATACTACAAGCCTCCAATTTATTAAGACCAAAATTAGATGTCAAATTTTCGCTACAGGCATGACATTGACATGTTCTTTCCCGGGATATGATATTATAATTTCATAACAGCGTAACATCAAGAGATAGCTCAAATTAAAAGAACAAGAACCCAACCATGAGAGAGAGAGATCTGAAGGAACAAATGTTAATTATGTTGACTAAAACGTTCACTCATGCCGGTATGTCCCAAAGATATTCTCTAGATTTTGCCCCAATCTCTTCTTTCATTTATTATAAAAAATGTATTGGCTTCCCAGCTATGACCATTAAAAAGACTAAACTTTACCTCCTTTAACTGAAGGAGAAGGATAAGGTGAAAAGTCCTTTGCGTAAGGATTGCTATCAAGAAGATATGGAAGTTCCAGAAGCTGCAAAAAAGATTCTGTCTGAGGGTTTCGGGGAATCACTGCAAAAAATAATAAATAGAAAAGAAAATTAAATAAAGCTAACACTTTTATAGTTACGTTTTAAACAATACCAGACATGACAAGATGAAATAATAGCAGAATCTTAAACTATACTATTAGAAAGATCAGAAATATTAATTAGTAAAAGGAGTAAAAGAGAAGAGTTAACTCACAAGCAGACATTCCCATCATAGAGGTAACTCTTAATTGTGACTAATTTACTATATAGAATGTGATTGACAATTTGACATTCAATTGAAAAAAGTAAATTTTTTAGTTTAAATTAGAGTCTATTCTACCGTATAACATCACAAAAATAAAAAATTCAAACTTTTTAATTGACTAAAAGAGATGGGAAGACACTGCCTAGTCATAACATGGATATAAGATATGCATGCGTGGAAACTCTCACAAAGTATGCATGAATAATATTAGACAGCTACAAGTTAATCAATTAAGTGATCATGATTAGAATATCTTTATCCAGAAAACAAGCTGGACAAATTTTAATTAGTGATTTACAATCTATACTTAGTAATGGAAACAAAAGAAATACCAGTCAAAGAACCATCGAAATTGGATTGCGAAGGGTCATAGCAAGGAGCTGTTCTAACAAATTCAAAGGGTTTGCACCCCCTCTCACGTAGCCTGCTTCTAACCCATTCAAGACAATCTTCCATCTCAAGATTTACACCTCTGTAAGCAAGTGCATACAGCATTATTATTATTATTATTTGGAGGGGAAGATGCAAGGGCAGAACAAACGAGAACTCAAATCCTAATTGTCAATTATGGTGCTTTCACATGCACATGCACACCTGAAGTCTGCACCTTTGGTGGTCAAAGGGAAGACAGGGTTGAACTTCCGTGTTATTGCTAACCATTCTTCGTCATACTGAATCTCATAAGGTCCTGCATCTGATTCAATTTCCACAATCTAAAGGCACAGAACATGCCATGATTGTAATCACTAACTCAAATGGCAATCACACAAGATTAACCCTGCAAATTACAATTGTATGCCTATACCTGTAAGAAATCACGACCGGAAATACATTTGTCCAGTGCAAGGAATTTTGTCAGTGGACCTCCTTCCCCATGTTGAACAAGAGCAGCAAACTTGCAGTGTAAGTGAGCTGAAAACCAATAATGTGGTTTGAGTTTTTCTAGAAGTTCAGCAGCAGCTTTACTCCCTAGTCTTTTTTCCTCTATCTGACAAAAATATATGCCTTATCAGGTAAAGAAATAAGATACTGTGTTGTTATTGAAAGTGTAATTAAAAACTTTACATGTTATCAAAAACTATAGTCCTATTTGGGTCAACTTCTAGATAAATACGTTTACGAGAAGCAAATAAATGATAAAATGAAATAAGAAAAAGAGTTCAAAACTAGTTAGTGACTTGTGCATAAGCTAATTTAGAAGTGCTCTAATTTTACTGCTCAAAAGCTTATTTAAACTTTTTGCATAAGCTAATTTTAACTCATAGGAGAAATTTATTTCACTTTATCTTTCCTTTTTTTTTTCTCTATCATAATTACTTAATAAGAAGTTTTATCCAAACAGGGCATATATCCCAATGATAATGCATATGATGGTTTCACATTCTTCCACTGTAATAAATCTATTTTTGTTATTTTTTTTATAAAACAAACACGAGACTATCATCCTACCTCAGTTCTTAGCTATCTCAATTTTGCTGAATCCTTGACCAAAAAATTGGAAGCAAATTAAAATCCAGCATTGCAACGCAGAATAAATATTATTAAACCCTTGCAATTTCATTAACTTAAAAATTTTAACAAATCCCACCTCTTGCTTAAAATAATGCTTGCGCCGAACAAGCTCCTTCCAATGCCCATAATCGGTGATTCTAAGCGGCCAATCATGCGAAAGAAAAACATCAATGGGCTCCTTAACTTCCATTAGTTTACGAACATCATACTCACGAACATGATACACAGACCTAATGGTACTCTGATCATAGGGAGGCCTTTCAAACCGTCCTGCTCAAACAAACACCTAAATTCATTCAGTATTCGGCAAACAAACGCCCCATTCAGATTCAATACTTCAAAAACCCACAATTCACAAACAGATAAACAACCTAATTTATAATCTCGACCATTATAAATCCCGGAGAGACCACCAATCCGTACATTCCCAAACCTCACCACCCCAGCGGCTCCCAAGAAGTAGATATTAGGAGCAACCCATCCTCCATAGTACCTAAAACAAGCACATAACCAAAGAGTTAACAAAATCCTAAACAACGTTGCAACAGTCAAGGTTTTAAAAGAATAGTATATGACCGTGATTTTGGCTGAGAATCAATGTTTTGTAAGTGTTTATGACCATAGTTGTCATCCTTAAACAAAAACTTGCCGAAACCTAAATCAAATTGCAACAGAACAGTTATTATAGTGTGAAGTTTAGGTGAACTAACAGTTCCCAGAGATAATTGGACGCTTCGTGGTTGCCGCCGATGAAGATGGTGGGGTAGGGGGCAACCTCGGCGCCGGAATAGTACTTCCAGAAGGAATTCATGGAGCGATACTTGGGTGGGACGTTCAAGCTCTTCAAGTCACACTCGTTCCTCACCGCTTGGAAATCGCCGCAGCAAAGGAGGAGATCGATTTTGGTGTTTTGGCATTTCTCCAAGTGTTGAAGGGTTCCGTACACGCTGTCCAGGTCGCCATGCATGCACCCTTCCACCGCTATCTTCATCCTCGCTCACTTCCCCGATCGGGAAACCCTCACAAAACCCTAATCACACTTCGCGTAGCACCCATCACTGTGTTTACTCTTTCTAGTTTCCGTTATTTCTTAGCGGATAAATTTAAATGGTCTCCTTTAATTTTTTTTTTTATTCGTTATTATTTTTTTAAAATTATAATATTCATATCTCTTCTAATTTTTAAATAGAGAATTCGGTAATAATAATATTACTGAAGAAATAAATGGTATGTAATTTATTTGTTTTGTTTTGTTTTCTTCTTACAAAAAGTAGTGGAAGATGGAACTTTTCTGGTAATAAATTATATGTTTCCGATGTAATTAACTATATTATCAATTATATTATATTAAATTTTAAAAATTAAATTCATATTAATTATTAGAGATTAATTAAATTTACATGGTTTAGTACAGGCAAGTATTAGGGCAGCACCTAAGAGTGTTTTTAGTTGGACTCCCTACATGACACGCATCATAACTTAGAATGAGTATTAGGTGTTGCATTAATTTATGTGGCCAGGAACAACACACGAAACGTGCAAGTCTTTCTTCTTCTCTTTTTCTTCATCTTTTTGTTTCTGCTACCTCCTTCTTTTTCTTCTACACCCTTCACTTCTGTTACCTGACATGGCGTTGGTGAATCCCTTTCTGTGTCCCACTCGAACTTCCCTCCCTTTGCGCGTTCCCGCGCCGCCAAAGAAGGTCCCACGTTGGACTCTCTGCTCCCCCTCCTTCAAACCATCGTTAAGATTGAAGCACGCTACATGTGGCGCCACTGCAGGCATCCAAGCTGCACCTTTAGCTGACGGGGAAGCAGATCGCGCGGTTCTGGTGGGTCCCACCAGCGAGGAGGAGAGAAGAGCTGAGTATGACTGGACAGAGGAATGGTACCCTTTGTATCTCACTCAGAATGTGCCCGAAGATGCACCCTTGGGTCTCAAAGTGTATGATAAACAACTTGTGTTGTTCAAGGATGGCAATGGCCAGTTACGCTGTTACGAAGATCGCTGCCCCCACAGGTTTCTGTTTATTATGATTGTAGTTGTGGGTTGAGTTTGGTTGTTTTCGGTGTATCCTCTTTTATCACACCGGAATTCGTAGTTTGTTTAGCTAAACCCGCATTCAACTTGTTGACAATACTTACTTGACTAAAATTTATTTGAAATTGTAAAATTGTGAACAAGACTCTTTAAGTATAAAGTGATGATGTAAATTTTTGTAATTTTTAATGATGGAAAGTCTGTTGCTATCATTTCTTGTCATGCTATTTGCATTCTGTGAAAGGATCAACCATAAATGCAACTTGATACTTTTTACAATTTTTCTCCGGTTGTAATTGAAATTTTCCCTCAATAATCTGGATTATAAAAGTTAATAATACCAAGATAACTATAATTCCGGGGGAATGACATTAAAAGTACAGAATGCTAATAAAACTTCTTTCATATATACTATATATAATCTTGCTGAATTTATAGGACTCAATTAATTTAACAAAAGTGTGTTGGAAAGTATATTAATAGCACTCTTCTAGTATAATTATGTGCTTAGCTTGTCTCAATTACTGAAAATTTTGTAGTTTCGCTGATTGCTGATGTTTGTGTTTCTCAAATGATGGACCTTATGTCTTCGTACAATTCAGGTTAGCCAAACTATCAGAGGGACAGCTGGTTGATGGAAGGCTTGAGTGTTTGTACCATGGATGGCAATTTGAAGGGGAGGGCAAGTGTGTGAAGATACCTCAGGTACTCTATGCACCTGCACTTATCGCTATATCAAAGTCCCATTCCCAGCTTAAGGCCACATGATGCTGACAAGTGACAGTTTTTTTCTTTTTTCTGTTTTCAACAGCTTCCGGCTGATGCCAAAATTCCTAGGACGGCTTGTGTTAAAACATATGAAGTGAGGGACTCTCAAGGTGTTATTTGGGTGTGGATGTCCCTCAAGACACCTCCAAATGATAGTAAACTACCTTGGTTTGAGAACTTTGCAAGGCCGGGATTTCAAGATAATTCAACAACTCATGAACTACCTTATGATCACTCTATTCTTCTGGAGAACCTGATGGATCCTGCTCATGTCCCAATCTCACATGACAGAACGGATTGGACTGCAAAAAGGGAGGATGCTCAGCCGCTGTGTTTTGAGGTGACTGAACGAACTGATAGAGGGTTTGCAGGTTGGTGGGGCAAAGAAAAAGATGGGTCCAAGTCTAACTTCTTGCGATTTGAGGCTCCCTGTGTTCTACAAAATAACAAGGAATTTGTTGATAAGAATGGTGAAACACACTACTTCAGTGGCCTCTTCCTTTGTAGACCAACTGGGCAAGGAAAATCCATGCTGATAGTGAGGTTTGGAGGAACAAAATCATCTCCATTAGTGAAAGTGTTTCCCAAGTGGTACTTTCATCAGAACGCATGCAAGGTGTTTGAGCAAGACATGGGATTCTTATCATCTCAGAATGAAATTCTCTTGAAAGAGAAGGTTCCAACAAAACAACTATATCTGAATTTGAAATCATCAGACACATGGGTTGCAGAATACAGGAAGTGGATGGACAAAGTGGGGCATGGGATGCCATACCATTTTGGTCACAGCACTATCTCTTTGCCCAAAGAGCCTGCTGTGATTGAACATGCACCAGCTGGACTCGTTGCAGGACAATCAGCTTCCTCACCTACCAAGGGGGAGACTGGAACAAAGTATGCCCCAAATTTAGCCAACAGATATTTTAGGCATGTAATACATTGCAAAGGATGTAGAACCGTAGTCAAAGCTTTCCAAGCTTGGCAAAATGCCCTTTCAGCTGTGGCAGTTACCTTAGTCGCTTTGGCAATTCTGGTATCTGGGAGACAGTGGAAGGCCATTCTCTTGGCATCTGCTTCCCTGTGCTCTATTGGAGTCTATGCTTGCTCAACCGCCGTTGCAATTAACACTACAAACTTTGTTAGAACGCATAGAAGATTTTGAATGACGATTTGGGAAAATAATTGTTCAAATATATACTTGTAGTTTGTCTGATGACTTAATGATTTACAGAGTGATTGTGTTTGGCAGAATATTTATATAGTTTTGAGTAATTTTTGTTTTACAAAATTAAATTTGGGGTAAAGTAATATATATTTTAAAGACTTAAATTGTTAGTTGCAGAATTTCATAATAAGATAAAAATTTTACCTAAAAATTAAATAGGAAGGAATTTAAAAATTAAAAACTTACTAATTTAACTTATATGTAAAATTGCAATAATCAATATTTCTATAGATTAATTTAGTATATACCAATTTAACTTGTGAAAAAAAGAATTATTTTACTTTCTCATTTTCTTCTCTAAGGAGAAATTTTTCTCAGTTGTTGAAATCAGACAAGCAACATTTTTTATTCCTTTATTTTTACATGAATGTGCAGTATTTTGGGCGACAAATAGGCCAAGAGAAAGTGAAAGCAAATAATTAAAGCACAAGACTGTTATATTATTGGTGGAGTCAGCATTATTTTTCTCAAATTAACCTCCATTGAATGGTCCCCTTAAAATGCGTTCTGTCAAGGTCCATAAGCGTTTAGATATTGAAACTTGAAACAGAATAACCGGTATCGCGGCTTCGACCTCCTCCATACTTCATTTAGTAAAACAAAGACATTTAAAAAACATACAAGAAATAATATTGATTGATTGCTTCTGGTAACAATTCAATGCTAAAAAATGAATAACTAGACAATATTTTTCAATGTAAAAGTACTCAGCGAGCTAAAGAGCCTGCTGCATTTGTCAGACACAAGTAAAACAAGGTATAATATAACTACAATTCACAGGACTTAGAAGCCATGCCTCCACCATTTGAGTGGTAGTTTGGTGCTAGGAAGTAGGAGGTTCTCCCAACCACTTTGCACGAAAGCCTGTTCCTTGACAATCAGAACAGCACATTGATCCCTGAATATTAACAAATGAAGAACAAAAATAAGTACCGAGTAACCATTATGCTAAGAAAAATTAAGTGAATTGATTACGTTATGTTTTGCCATAGAGATACCTTTCCAGTGCAAATGGTGCAGGTAGTGTTTCTGGATGGGACTTCGCAAAGCATGTTATCACCAAGAATGAAAAAACCAGTACCCGCACACCATTTACATTCGATGTGCCCTTTTGAGTCGCAAGACGAACACACGATTGGACTTGGTTGCTGAAAGCATAAAAAATATATCAAAAACCAGTTCAGAAACATCAAACATCAAAATTAATTTTATAGATTTTAAACTTGGTGTACAATGAAAACACATATTTTCTTACAAAATATCTCGCCTATTGATATCGATTGCAATGACTGTGCAGGAACAACTCAATAATCATGAATTCATGGTGCCCTTTGCTAAATATGTTCCATTTAGCATTGAATTTAATTGGCACACAAATATCAAGTAATAGGGTAAATATTTGTACGCTGAGTGTGAAAAAATTAAACTCGCTTACAACCCAAATAATAACCACGATCAGTCAAAATTTCCACAAACGCATTAAGAAAGAAACCTTGGAAGGATAACTGATCAGCATAGCCACAAGACTTGATTAGCTAACTACCTAAGCAATAAACATAGCCTTTAAATTCTATAACACAATTAAGAGAATTTGAACATGTCAAATAAAATAAACGGAAGCAGAGACTAAAAAATTATAAAAAGGGAAGCAAGTTCACGAAGACAAAAAACCCTAACACGAAGTTAGAACGAGGTAGAAAGGGAAAAATTGAACCTTGGATATTAACCAAGCTCGTTCGATGCGCTTGGCGAAATCAGAAGAGGAGGAGTCCACCATAGAAACGTGGACGCGGAGGCGACAAGTTCTAATTGAATTGGTGTTCCCCCTCACCGTTACTGCATCAATACCAATTGGAATTTGAGTTGGTGATTTCGAAAAACTCTTGTTGTGAATCACCGCAGAAACAGTACTACAAGAGACGCACCTACTCATGTTATAAATTCTTCTCTGGCGATGGAAGATGAATGAATGATTCCTGTTCCCGTGTAAACAAAACACTGTGCGTAAACATATTACAATATTAATATTTATGGAAAAGGTTGTGGCGTGTTCTCAATAGGACAATGGAGATGTCTCACACATTCTTGAGGCTTGACGGCGTAAAACAAACGGAACTGTTCTTTAGCCCAAATTCAACGGGAGCCCAAAGATCCATATGTTATTGGATCTTCAGCCCAAATGTTCAATGTTTAACTTTCTACACCTCAAAAAAGCCATCCAACACTCCCTTTCTCATTTTAGAAAGGGATTTTTTTTTTTGTTGACATGTGGTTGTCTTAAATTATGGAAAAAATAATTTTAAAATAATGAAACTATTTTTTAAGATGATATTTCAAAAAAATTAAAATAGAGAAATAATTTTAACTTAGAAAAGAAGAATAATGATTAGAGAGAGAAGAGTAGGTGTTAAAAAGAACGAGAGGTGAAATAGTGACTTCATATTTCTCACTCATCTTCAACCTTTTTCTCTTCTCCTCTCATCTTTATCTCAATCCCATCTCATCTCATCAACGCTGCCAAACCCAATGGACTTCACAGCTCATCAGCTCAGCCAGTACAACGGCAGCGACCCCTCCAAGCCCATCTACGTCGCGCTGAAGGGCACCGTCTACGACGTCACCACCGGAAAATCGTTCTACGGCCCCGGCGGCGCCTACGCCATGTTCGCCGGCAAGGACGCCAGCAGAGCCCTCGCCAAGATGAGCAAGAACGAAGAGGACATCTCCCCCTCCCTCGCCGGCCTCTCCGACAAGGAGATCGGAGTTCTCGACGATTGGGAGAAGAAGTTTCAAGCTAAGTACCCTGTCGTTGGTCGCGTTGCCAATTGATTTACTCTTCTTTCCTTTCTATCGCCATCTCTTTGTTTATGTAACTGAACTCAATCCATCACCCTCAATCTCGCCCTAGTAATAATAATCACAATAAAATTTCTCTATCCATGTTCTGGATAAGGGATCCCCTTTCTCTTTCTGTTGCGTTTCGAAATTTGGGTTTGCCTTGTGTTTCATGGAGAACAACAAATCTTCCTAGAAGTCTAATATTTTCACCAGTGACGTGTGTGAGAGAGAGGGGTGAAAGGGGAGGAAAGAAAACATAGAAATAAAAATCAATTTTTTCATCAATTCTTCATCGTCAACCTTCTTTTTTATTATTACTAATCTGTGGAGTGTTTTATTATGTTTATCATATTCATTGTAAGAGTGATTTGATTTATAGGATTTAGTATTATATTGATGGATTTGTAAAAGTAGATAGCCCTGTCATTGCTTAATCTCATGCTGTCACTAAAATCGAACAAAACTCTGTTTTTTCTTTTTTCTTTGCTGAGAAGGTCCAAATTATTTCAGAACAATTAGAAAGAGAATTTTCATGCATAAGAGTGAGAGTTACAAATGTGATTTAGGAGGTGTAAAGGTCACCATCAGAGAGAGAAATAAGGAATTTGCTCTGCATAATCCCTGGTTTAGACCGTAACAGACAAAAGCTGTGACAGTTCTGAATGGAACCATGATTGCCAAAATCAAAGGCCAAGTGGAACTCATACTATGCATCATATCACCAGCCTCATCAATGAATATGAATGAGGTTCTGTTGTGTAAGAATTGTTGGAAAACGAAAAGAAAATTGACAGCTTTTCTAAATGATCATAAAACGTCACAAAACAGAAAAAAATCCACCGTATCAAGCAATTTTTAACTTCTTGAAACTACCACAAAATATCTGCGTTTGTTTGGTGTGCCAAATCTATCATATCCACTTCTTTCTCAATCCAACACCAACTCATGTTTTTGTCTGTTTGGTGTGTCAAATTTATTCTCAGATTTTTTTCCCTGTTTCTTGATCCAAAATGGCTAATAAGATGAAGTAATCGACTCATTATAATAATGAGATAACTTATCCTATTCTATATATTCTAACATAAACTTCAAAACCACAACCACTCGTTAGAAAAACAAATATTTCTAAATAATAATTAACAACCATTTAGAGTTGTTGTAATTTCCAAATAAATTTTAATATTTCAACACTAATTTATTTTAACCCAACCAAACATATTCCAGCGATCTGTTTGGAATCAATAATTTTGATATTTTTTGTTCATGGAGAAATTTTTTTTTTTTTCAATTTTTATTAAATTGTGGAGTATCTGAACTTCTGAAAAAAAAAAAACGTAGTCTCAGATTGACTAATCATGACCATTGATCGATAAATGTAAGGTTCTTATTAAATTAGCTTGAAATTTGTTGAACATGAATTATAATTTCATAAACACTTTTTTTTTTTGTAAGGACTTCACATAACCTAAAATATTAAATTAACTTTCTCCAGTGTTCAGACAATATTGGAAAAATAAGAAAATCCTTAGATTAAATTTACATATCTTATTTTTATAATTAACTCAATGAAAACGTTAAATTTGCAAGCAATTAAAGAATCATTACGCTTGGTTCGGTAAAATCCATGAATTATTTTAACCAATTATGGCTTGAGAAAATTATTAATACAAACCATTGAAATATATATATAGAGAGAGATTGATAGATTTTATCGTGGTGTAATCTCTTAAAATAATAATTGTTTATAACTTTTTATTTTTATAATATATAATGTAATATCTTATTTTATTTTTAAATAATCAAAATAAATTATAAAATAAATTACTATTTAATAAAACTATTATTTTTATAAATAAAAAACAATACATTTATTTTATTTATAAATATATATAGATATAATTAAAATTAATATATGTTAAAATAAGATAATGTGATGAAAAATATAAATACATTATGATAATATATATGTTTCCGATAATATATATTAAATATAATTTTTAATCTTTTAATAATTGTAGTTGATTATATATTTTTTTTTCTATTAAAGTACCTTGGGCTCTTTTCACTTCTCTTATTGTTCTTTGGTGACATGTTTTTTCTTTCTTTCATTGTCTGATTCTTTTTTGTTGGGCAACGTTCTCCCCACGCGTCATTATTCTTTGGCGAGGTGATCTTTGATTCCAAGGGAATACTGTCACGTCAACAGATTCATTCATAGCAAATATATGTGCGAATAAAAATAACGTTATTTATAACATCTACTTTGTGAAGTCAACTCTTCTTTTGTACTAGATTTAGAAGATGGAATGCAAAAATTAGGGTTATCAAGGATTTATATTAAATAATATTTTTTTACATATTTTGAAATATTCATAGACTAATAATTAAAAAAATTAATTCATTATTTTAAATATTTTTTTACATGTATCAAAATAATAATACGAATGATTCAAGAAATAGATTAAATTATATTAAAAATTTATGATTTTACGTATATTTTGTAAATTATATAGATAGATTGATTTTAAAGAATAATAATTATTTTTTTAAAATAAAAATAATAATATTATTTTATTATATATATTATAATTTAATTTGATAAAAGATTTAATTATTTTCAAAATAAATATAAAAATAAGTTTATAACAATTTTTATTTTAATATTTAATGGTTAAAATTCATTAATATTTTAAATCAATAAAAATTGTATAAATAAATCATAATAATGAAAAATAAATTTATAATTTTTATTTTAATACTAAATGAGTTAATTCTCTTATAATTTATGTTTTAAATTATTATATCTTAAATAAAACTTAATTTTATTAATATAATTTAAATTTTAAAAATATTTTTTTAAATATGTTTTAATTAATTATTTTAATATATATATATATATATATTTAAAATTTTTAATCAGATTAAAATTAACTCATTAACTCCTTGATTTATTATAGGATACTAAACTAAAAATTTATGATTTAATTTGAGATATATACATTATATTGAACAATTAATTTTTTTTAACTTATGAATAGGTAAAACTATACTGGAGCACCCATTTTAATAAAAGAAAAAAGAAAAAGAAAAAAGAGTGGAAGTATTAGTAATTGGATGAAATACTTGAGCAATTACTGTGACAAGTGAAAATGTGAAGGTTTCAGGAAGGTCTATCCTAAATTAATGAATGTGATTGATCATTTTAGTGTTTCATTCTGTTTAAACGGTCTCGTATAGTCCATCAATTTCACGGGTTAAAGGTTGATTTATTGATATTTTTAAAAATATATTTATATATTAAATTAAAATTAAAAATTTATAATTTTAAATATTAATTTTAAATATTTTTTATTAAAATATATAAATATATTATAATATTATAATAATTAATTAAATTATATTTTTTAAATTTATTTAATAAAAATATTAATTAATAAATAGATATTGAAAAATATTTATATAATTAATGATATATTTTTTTTAAAATATAATAAATATTTTTGTAAAATATAATAAATTGATGAATTAATTCATCAACCCAGACAAAATAGGTTAAAATTTATAATTCTAATTATAAGATTATTTTTATTATTATTAATTAGTGATAGGATGAATTAACTCATTTTAGCCGAATTAGTTGAATTTTGAGTCCAAGCCCAAGCCCAAGGCCCATGGCAGCTATAGCCTAACAAACGGTGTGTGCTACACTGGGTTCATCCCTTATTCCGGATTAGGGTTAAGTTTTCAATATTGCGCAAACTTGGACACACCGTCTCACGCTTGACTCAAAGCTCCAATCTTTTTCCAACCCTTTTATGTTCAAACTCATAAGTCATGATTTTGTTTCTTCCAAACACATTTTATGTCTGTGGGCACTGTTGTTGCTGACAAATACACACTGGTATTTCGTAAGGATCAGGCAATGAGTGGCCAAAGCCAAAGTTTTTTAAGCAATGGCACCGAACGATCAAGGATGCATTGGACTCCATTGATGGAACGCTACTTCATTGATCTCATGTTGGAGCATTTGCATAGAGGGAACAGGGTTGGCCACACTTTCAACAAGCAAGCTTGGACAGACATGCTCACCTCGTTCAATGCCAACTTTGGTTCTCAGTACGACAAAGATGTCTTGAAAACTCGGTATACCAATTTGTGGAAGCAATTCAATGATGTCACGAGTCTTCTTTCTCAATTCGGTTTTTCGTGGGATGCTGCCCGGCAAATGGTTGTGGCTGACGATGGTGATTCTGTTTGGGATGCTTATTTGAAATCTCATCCAGATGCTAGATGGTACAGAACAAAACCAGTATTGAACTTTGATGATTTGTGTATCATATATGGCCACACTGTAGCTGATGGAAGGTATAGTTTATCTAGCCATGATGTAAGCCTCGATGATCAAGTACAAGGACTGCATTTGGGTAAGTGTTGCTTCCACCCTATCAATGTCAACCAATAAAATATCATGTTAGGTATGATTTTTAAAGTAGTTATTGTAAAAATGAAGAAACTTTAACATACATGACAATTTCTTATTGGTCGACACTATAAAAAACCTTAAAATTGTCAGTACTTGCGCTATTTTCTTTTGTGAACAACATTGATTTTTCCGGTGATTAACGCGAAATGTGCAAGGAAATTAATTAATTGTTCAATAGTAATGGGAGCTAATGTTAATTATATATTCTCCGAATTGCAGTTGATGGAACAGGAAACGTTGCTGTACCATGTAGTGAGCGTACCAAGACAGATTGGACTGCTTCTATGGACCAGTTTTTTATAGAGATTTTGGTTGATCAGATGGATAGGGGCAATCAAGTGGGTGGTGGATTCAATAAAAATGCTTGGACAGATATGCTAGCCATTTTTAATGCTAAGTTTGGTTGTCAACATGGTAGAAGGGTTTTAAAGAATCGGTTCAAGAAACTGCTGAAATACTATCGTGATATAACAAATCTTGTAAAACAAGGCTTTTCGTGGGATGAACA